TCTCTAAACCTGTTCCAAGGGTATGACGTCATCTGGCTTTTATATGTTTAAAACTGTTGTTGTAAACACTCACTGTCAGTGACACATGCGAGTGATGTTACAAGGCATTCTCTTGTTAAAGGTAGAGTCTTTCCTTGACGCATTAAACTGCTGTGTCTACAAGTAAACTCCTGGGCAAAAGAAGTATACACTTGAAAATTGGATTTGACAAAAAGTACAAGGCTGAAAACAGTCGCCGAAACACAGCAAACCTTAGGTTAAAAAAACATTCATGACACCCGTTTCAAATACATCACCACCGAACACCCATTTATTGTTTATTTCACTTTTAGCCACAATCAAACATGGGTGTATACTTTCTTCTGCTCGGTAGTTTATGGTTTGACTTCAATGGTTTCGATTGAATGGTATTTGGGTTGGTGAAAAACTAAGAGACCCACATTCATCATTTATTTGTTTGTTTGTTTGTTTGTTGTTTAACGCCACACTCTGCAGTATTCCAGCTATATGACGGCGGTCTGTAAATAATCGAGTCTGGACCAGACACTCCAGTGATTGACATCATGAGCATCGATCCACGCATTTGGGATCGATGACATGCATCAACCAAGTCAGCGAGCCTGAAACACCTGTTCCCGATAATCGCCTCTTTCGACGAGCATGGGTTGCAATTCTTATCCGGATCTACACGGATTTTTCTCAACTTAATGAATTAATCTTTGCATTTGACATCAAACAAAAACTGTCCCCTAAATCTCCTGTTATGCCCGAGATCTGCCGACAATAGCGTGAAATAACATTCATATAATTATTTAACTTTAACCAACCACCTTCAAATACCCATATATTTAATTTTTGTCGAAAACAAACCGTGAATAAGGATTCGAAATCGAAAACCGGAAGTAGTAACATGACCGTTTTGTCTTCTAGCATGTCATCTCAACCAGCATTGGGTGAGTCCAGTTCCTACTGGATTTGCCAGTTTTACTTTACCAGTTGGCAATATCAAAACATTATCTGTCGGCAGTCGTGACTCTTGAATAAATGCTGCTCGATATTAAATTGTAAGGCTAATTTCTACTTTAGTTGACGTGTTGACGTACACATGTGTGTACTTTAATTGACGTGTTGACATACACATGTGTGTACTTTAGTTGACGTACACAGGTGTACTTTAGTTCAGGCATTGGCGTAAACAGGTGTACTTTAGTTGACGTATTGGCGTACACAGGTGTACTTTAGTTGACGTGTTGGCGTACACAGGTGTACTTTAGTTGACGTGTTGGCGTACACAGGTGTACTTTAGTTGACGTGTTGGCGTACACATGTGTGTACTTTAGTTCAGGCGTTGGCGTACACAGGTGTACTTTAGTTGACGTGTTGGCGTACACAGGTGTACTTTAGTTGACGTGTTGGCGTACACAGGTGTACTTTAGTTGATGTGTTGACGTACACATGTGTGTACTTTAGTTGACGTGTTGACGTACACAGGTGTTACTTTAGTTGATGTGTTGACGTACACAGGTGTCTACTTTAGTTCAGGTGATGACGTACACAGGTGTTACTTTAGTTGATGTGTTGACGTACACAGGTGTGTACTTTAGTTCAGGTGATGACGTACACAGGTGTTACTTTAGTTGATGTGTTGACGTACACAGGTGTGTACTTTAGTTCAGGCGTTGGCGTACACAGGTGTACTTTAGTTGACGTGTTGGCGTACACAGGTGTACTTTAGTTGACGTGTTGACGTACACATGTGTGTACTTTAGTTGACGTGTTGGCGTACACAGGTGTTACTTTAGTTGACGTGTTGGCGTACACAGGTGTACTTAAGTTGATGTGTTGACGTACACAGGTGTGTACTTTACTTCAGGTGATGACGTACACAGGTGTGTACTTTAGTTGATGTGTTGACGTACACAGGTGTGTACTTTAGTTCAGGTGATGACGTACACAGGTGTTACTTTAGTTGATGTGTTGACGTACACAGGTGTGTACTTTAGTTCAGGCGTTGGCGTACACAGGTGTACTTTAGTTGACGTGTTGGCGTACACAGGTGTTACTTTAGTTGACGTGTTGGCGTACACAGGTGTACTTTAGTTGACGTGTTGGCGTACACAGGTGTACTTTAGTCGAGTATTGGCGTACACAGGTGTACTTTAGTTGATGTGTTGACGTACACAGGTGTGTACCCTTTAGTTTAGGTGTTGACGTACACAGGTGTTACTTTAGTTGACGTGTTGGCGTACACAGGTGTACTTTAGTTGACGTGTTGGCGTACACAGGTGTACTTTAGTCGAGTATTGGCGTACACAGGTGTACTTTAGTTGATGTGTTGACGTACACAGGTGTGTACCCTTTAGTTTAGGTGTTGACGTACACAGGTGTACTTTAGTTCAGGTGTTGGCGTACACAGGTGTACTTAAGTCGAGGTATTGGCGTACACAGGTGTACTTTAGTTGAGGTATTTGCGTACACAGGTGTACTTTAGTTGACGTATTGGCGTACACAGGTGTGTACTTTAGTTGTGTTGGCGTGCACAGGTGTGTACTTTAGTTGACGTATTGGCGTACACAGTTGTGTACTTTAGTTGACGTACACATGTGTGTACTTTAGTTGACGTGTTGGAGTACACATGTGTTACTTTAGTTGAGGTATTGGCGTACACAGTTGTGTGCTTTAGTTGAGGTATTGGCGTACACAGGTGTTACTTTAGCTGAGGTGTTGGCGTACACGGGTGTGTACTTTAGTTCAGGTGTTGGCGTACACAGGTGTGTACTTTAGTTGAGGTATTGGCGTACACAGTTGTGTGCTTTAGTTGAGGTATTGGCGTACACAGGTGTACTTTAGTCGAGGTATTGGCGTACACAGGTGTGTACCCTTTAGTTCAGGTGTTGACGTACACAGGTGTACTTTAGTTGAGGTATTGGCGTACACAGGTGTACTTTAGTCGAGGTATTGGCGTACACAGGTGTACTTTAGTTGAGGTATTTGCGCACACAGGTGTACTTTAGTTGACGTATTGGCGTACACAGGTGTACTTTAGTTGACGTGTTGGCCTACACAGTTGTGTACTTTAGTTGACGTGTTGGCGTACACAGTTGTACTTTAGTTGACGTGTTGGCGTAAACAGGTGTACTTTAGTTGACGTGTTGGCGTACACAGGTGTACTTTAGTTGACGTGTTGGCGTACACAGGTGTACTTTAGTTGACGTGTTGGCGTACACAGGTGTACTTTAGTTGACGTGTGTTCCAATGTGTTTTTAGTGGAGATGTAACAAGTTCACGTTTGGTGGTCAGTAGTTTGACATTCGTAGGTAGTGATTCTTTAATCGCACTGACGCGCAACAATGAATAGTGTGCACTTCTTCCTATAGACCTGCATGAGTTATGTCCCTTTATACTGTCCCCTGCCCTACTGTGATTGTCGTACGAGGCGTCTAACGGGATAGGGTCGTCATGCTCGCTGATGGTTGATGAATGCATAGACGGTTCCAGAGGGAGGTCCATGGGCTCCGGGACCCTCCTTTTGAACACCAAATGTGGTATGTTGTTGGCAAACGCCCCACGAGAAAGAATTTTGATATTTTGGACCCCCCCCTCCCTTTTTAAAAATCCGCCCTTGGATCCATGTTATCTTATCCCAGTTGCGTGGATCGATGCTCATGATATCAATCACTGGATTGTCTGGTCCAGATTCGATTATTTACCGACCGCCGTCATATAGCTGGAATATGGCTGAGTGCGTCGTTTAACAACAAACCAACCAACCAATCATAAACTGTAATATCACCATGACTTTCGGGGACTGACGATTCTGATTTGTCCGTCAGATGTTTCAACTAACACGTACATGCCTCTGTAACCGCCTGGTATTTCCTTCCTTGTGTTCAACACCTAGTCAATCATTAGAATTGCCTTTCCTTGTGTTCAACACCTGGTCAATCATTAGAGTTTCCTATCCTTGTGTTCAACACCTAGTCAATCATTAGAATTTCCTTCCTTGTGTTCAACACCTAGTCAATCATTAGAATTTCCTATCCTTATGTTCAACACCTAGTCAACCATTAGAATTTCCTTTCCTTGTGTTCAACACCTAGTCAATCATTAGAATTTCCTATCCTTATGTTCAACACCTAGTCAATCATTAGAATTTCCTTCCTTGTGTTCAACACCTAGTCAATCATTAGAATTTCCTATCCTTATGTTCAACACCTAGTTAATCATTAGAATTTCCTCTCCTTGTGTTCAACACCTAGTCAATCATAAGAATTTCCCCTACGGTGTGTTTAACATAGTCACCTCGTCAATCATTCGTGTTTCCTTACTTCTATCACCTGCGATAAGGATCGATTCCCTACTTCTGTCACTTTGATTAATCCCAACACTATTTCTGTCACCTCGGATAAGGATCGATTCCCTACTTCTGTCACCTTGATTAATCCCAACACTATTTCTGTCACATCGGATAAGGATAATTATATTCCCTACTTCTGTCCCCTGGATTAATCCGAACACTATTTCTGTCACATCGGATAAGGATAATTATATTTCCTACTTCTCTCACCTGGATTAATCCGAACACTATTTCTGTCACATCGGATAAGGATAATTATATTCTCTTCTTCTGTCATCTGGATTAATCCGAACACTATTTCTGTCACATCGGATAAGGATAATTATATTTCCTACTTCTCTCACCTGGATTAATCCGAACACTATTTCTATCACCTCGGATAACTGGTTTGTCTTTTTGTTTGTTTGTTGTTTGACGCAGCACTCAGCAATATTCCACCCATATGACGGCGGTCTAAATAATCCAGTCTGGCCCAGACATTCCAGTGGCAGACATCATGAGCATCGTTCTACGCAAATGAGATATGATGTAAATGCATCAACCAAGTCAGCGAGTCTGACCACCCGGTCCCGTTAAACGCCTCTTACGACAAGCATAGTCAGTCGCCTTTTCACCTGGGATAAAGATATATTCCCAACTTCTGTTACCTGTGTCAATCTACTTTATTCCACAAGGATGAGTTGAAACCCCTAACTTGAAGGCTCTGATAATAACAAAACACACCACACAGCAATGCATTCATAGCTGACGAATATCTTAAATTAACATCACAGTTATCTAGAGAGTTTGAATCTGTATTGTGTATTCCGTCAGATCCGAGTGTTTAGGCCCATTGTATTATTGTTTGAGAACTTCAAGAAATATTTCTTTCTCTTTGAGGCAGAGCCACGCATCTTCAGGAGACCACAACAATTTTTCTCAGGACATCTAGTATGTGTAATAAGCAATATTTGTTCTGCTAGAACCAAAGGATCTTTTTTCAGTATATACTGGAACCCTGCATTTAAGAAAAAGGTGAGTTAGGACGCATGGTCAAGGTATACTAGTTACTCTTCAGTCTTAACACAGAATCCCCCTCACATGTCGGAGTGATGCTCTCGATAGAACGCCACCGCCTCCTCGTAGAGCATTTCGCTCATCAAGTAGCTGTCCGTGGAGATGGTATTGGATCTGGAAATAGAGCCCAAGATTATATATTTATGCTTTTTGTGCTGTGTGGCAGTAGATATAGTTGGAGGGTAATTGTTAGTTGCCTCACGTGAAGCACTCGTACAACATTAAGGTTCTACTACACTAAATCAGAACCAGTTGTGACTGTGCCGTTTTTGTAGCAGATCCAGAGATATCTGGAGGCTGTGATTGGATGATTTTGTGTAAGATTTATATGTCTTTTAAATGTACATCCATTGAAATATACAACGATTTTTCTTCTTGTACCGAGCAGGACTTTCACGTCATATTGTTTGATTTGCGCCTGGTGAGGTGCAAAACTTGTATTGTTCTCGTAAGGCAGTATATTATGAATTAATTAAAGATGAAATATATATATATATACGCAACCTGCTCGTTCTCCAGTATACGTTACATGAAGCAAATGTTTTAATCTCTGATCCATGAACTTTGATTTGCCTGACAGACAAGATAAACAAAAACATCATACATGGAAATAATAAAAGCAGGCAAACAAATAAATAAAGCAATACCTTCGGCCATCGATAAAGACGACATCGAGTACGTCTGCATCTCCTAAGGTTGTGACCTTCCTAACCTGACCCGGAAGGAAATGCGCGCTGTCGCTGTCAACGAGTGCCAGGATGTAGCTGTCGACCTTGAACTTGATCATCTTGGAGAAGGTTCCATAGATGTGGATGGACATCTGTTCCCCGCACTGACCATCCTCCCATGTCACGGTGTACCTCTGCTGACGTCCTATCTGTTTGTTTACTCTACCTGGAAAGGTAAAAGTATTTGTGTATCGACCACCATTTCGTTCGTGGCACAACAAAACAATCACAAAATCCAATCCAATCAGGTACATTTTTCTGGTGACCTACCCAGTCTATACGCCCCGAGGTGTCTCGTGACCTACCCAGTCTATACACCCCGAGGTTTCTGGTGACCTACCCAGTCAATACACCCCGAGGTGTCTGGTGACCTACCCAGTCTATACACCCCGAGGTGTCTGGTGACCTACCCAGTCTGTACAACCCGATGTTTCTGGTGACCTACCCAGTCTGTACAACCCCAGGTGTCTGGTGACCTACCCAGTCTATACACCCCGATGTTTCTGGTGACCTACCCAGTCAATACATCCCGAGGTGTCTCGTGACCTACCCAGTCAATACACCCCGAGGTGTCTGGTGACCTACCCAGTCAATACACCCCGAGGTGTCTGGTGACCTACCCAGTCTATACACCCCGAGGTGTCTGGTGACCCACCCAGCTGTACACCCCTAGGTGTCTGGTGACCTACCCAGTCAATACAGCCCGAGGTGTCTGGTGTCTGGTGTCTGGTGACCTACCCAGTCAATACACCCCGAGGTGTCTGGTGACCTACCCAGTCTATACACCCCGAGGTGTCTGGTGACCTACCCAGTCTGTACACCCCGAGGTGTCTGGTGACCTACCCAGTCTATACACCCCGAGGTGTCTGGTGACCTACCCAGTCTATACACCCCGAGGTGTCTGGTGACCTACCCAGTCTATACACTCCGAGGTGTCTGGTGACCTACTCAGTCAATACACCCCGAGGTGTCTGGTGACCTACCCAGTCTGTACACCCCGAGGTGTCTGGTGACCTACCCAGTCTATACACCCCGAGGTGTCTGGTGACCTACCCAGTCAATACAGCCCGAGGTGTCTGGTGACCTACCCAGTCAATACACCCCGAGGTGTCTGGTGACCTACCCAGTCTGTACACCCCGAGGTGTCTGGTGACCTACTCAGTCAATACACCCCGAGGTGTCTGGTGACCTACCCAGTCTGTTCATCACTGACTCCGCGGAGATCCTGTTTAAAATGGTCTTCAGCAACCAATGCTGAAGCGGCTAACGGGATCGGGTGGTCAGGCTCGGTGACTTGGTTGGTGCATGTCATAGTGTCCTAATTGCTTTGATTGATGCTCATGATGTGAATCACTGGATTTTCTGATTCAAACTCGATTATTTACAGATCGTTGTGATAAAGCTGTCATATTGCAGAGTGCGGCGTTAAACAACAAACAAACAAACTATACACCACTGACATGTCTCTGGTGACCTACCCAGTCTGTACACCCCTGACTCATCTCTGATGACCTACCCAGTCTGTACACCCCTGACTCGTCTCTGGTGACCTACCCAGTCTGTACACCCCTGACTCATCTCTGATGACCTACCCAGTCTGTACACCCATGACGTGTGTCTGATGACCTACCCAGTCTGTACACCCCTGACTCGTCTCTGATGACCTACCCAGTCTGTACACCCCTGACTCATCTCTGATGACCTACCCAGTCTGTACACCCATGACGTGTGTCTGGTGACCTACCCTGTCTGTACACCCCTGACTCGTCTCTGGTGACCTACCCAGTCTGTACACCCCTGACTCGTCTCTGGTGACCAACCCAGTCTGTACACCCCTGACTCGTCTCTGGTGACCTACCCAGTCTGTACACCCCTGACTCGTCTCTGATGACCTAGCCAGTCTGTACACCCCTGACTCGTGTCTGATGACCTACCCAGTCTGTACACCCCTGACTAGTCTCTGGTGACCTACCCAGTCTGTACACCCCTGACTCGTCTCTGGTGACCTACCCAGTCTGTACACCCCTGAGGTGTGTCTGGTGACCTACCCAGTCTGTACACCCCTGACTCGTCTCCTGGTGACCTACCCAGTCTGTACACCCCTGACTCGTCTCTGATGACCTTCCCAGTCTGTACACCCCTGACTCGTCTCTGGTGACCTACCCAGTCTGTACACCCCTGACTCGTCTCTGGTGACCTACCCAGTCTGTACACCCCTGAGGTGTGTCTGGTGACCTACCCAGTCTGTACACCCCTGACTCGTCTCTGATGACGGCCTCCATCCCCTCCCAGTCTTTCTCTCGCTGTTGAATGTCCTCCACGTCCTTGAGATGTTTCACCCGGTTCCTTGCAGGATACACGTTGTGTCTGGGAACGTCTGACTCCTGGTCGTCATAGAACCTCACATTCACGTAATGTCTCTGAACGCCAATCACCAGCCCTGGTGCGTAGAGCCAGTGATATATGGGATGTCGAGCCAAAACGTATCGCCCATACTCTTTCTAAAGATCATAAAATATCACAATGTCATTGTCGAGCCAAAACGTATTGCCCATACACTTTCTAAAGATCATAAAATATCATAATGTCTTTGTTGAAGAATGTTTTTCATATTTTTGTCAGACATATATGTACAAATTTGCATGTTTGTTTGTTGTTTAACGCCGCACTCAGCAGTATTCCAGCTATATGACGGCGGTCTGTAAATAATAAAGTCTGGACCAGACAATCCAGTGATTGGCATCATGAGCATCAATCCACGCAATTGGGATAAGATAACATGGATCCATGGGAGAGTCACAGAGAGGAAAGCCCCAAGTCCTATTTGGTGGTTATCTTCACACTAAGAACTCACGACAGTAGGAACCGTGATGAGGAATGCTACAGAGCATAACCATGCCCCTGAGGATAGCCAGAAGGTCCGGTTTATGAGCACCCCTACTCCCCCAGAACAAGATCCAGGACACGTGGGTTGACGCAATGGACAACACACCAGATGTACCAAGAGCTGTCGCCTTCAACGACTACATCGTCACTACCTGGGTCGACCACGGAGCACGATTCCCCCTACCACTGTGGAACCATCACGGTACAACAGGTCCCAGGACGAACAACAACCTGGAAGGCTTTCATAACCGACTCAACCGAGGTCTCCCTCACCGACATCCCAACATCTACCGATTTGTGGCGGTAGTCAGGAAGGTGGAACAGGCAGTTAAGGTTTTACAGCTCGTCTTTGGAGCAGCTCCAAGAGGCAGGAAGAGAGTTACAGAGAGGTGGAGAACCGTCTCTGCCGCCTGAAGGACGAGTTGAATAGAGAGGCGAAATCCCCAATGCAGTTTCTGGATGCGGTTGGCCATCTCCTCAGGCCGGGATAAAGAGTGAATTGAACATTTGAGATGAAATTTATCATAATGTATTATGAATTTTGAAAAATGAACATTTTATTATAATGTATCATGAATTTTGAAAAATGAACATTTTATTATAATGTATTATGAATTTTGAAAAATGAACATTTTGTTATAATGTATCATGAATTTTGAAAAATGAACATTTTATCATAATGTATTATGAATTTTGAAAAATGAACATTTTGTTATAATGTATCATGAATTTTGAAAAATGAACATTTTATTATAATGTATTATGAATTTTGAATAATATCGTAATCTATTCGTGTTTCTTGGGTTGTCTCATTGTATGAGATAGGTAACAGACTAGGGGTTAGCATAGCCATGGACCGTGAACTTTGTTGTCTTAAGCTGTAGGGGAAATGGGATGTAGGGGTTTTGGGAGGTTACCATTGGGATATGATGACATGCATTAACCAGGTAAGCGAGCCTGACCACCCGATCCCGTTAGTCGCCTCTTACGACAAGCATAGTCGCCTCCTACGGCAAGCATTGGTTGTTGAAGACCTATTCTACCCCGGATCTTGACGGGTCTCAAATTTGCATGTCCTGGATTTATGTATGGTATTATGCTCACTCGAGAATCGCCGTGGATGATTGTTGCATTATAACTGTAGTTATACCAAATATACCACTCAACTTTTGATAGGGATAATTAGATATGTAAAAAACTTTAAATAAAATGTCAATTTACACTTGATACCAGTTTTGTGTATCATTGAAATGCAGATGAAAATCAGATGCAGATCAATAGATAAGTGAGTGAGTGAGTGAGTGAGTGAGTGAGTATGATTTAAAGCCGCTTTTAATAGTATTCCAGCAATTTCACGGCGGAGAACACAAAAAATGGGTTTCACACATTGTACCAATGTGGGGAATCGAACCTTGGTCTTCGGCGTGAAGAGCGAACGCTTTAACCACTAGGCTACCCCAACGCCCTGTAATATATATGACAGTAACGGAACTCACTCAGAAGTTGCTGATGATTTCAACAAATTTCAATTTCAATGTTATAATATACTCACACGCAAAAGAAACGCAAGTGGTTTTAAGCAAATAGGTAACAAACACGGAACCATAAATTGATACGAGTTTTAGCATGTAGTGAAGCCTGATGGTGTTATCAATATTTTTGGTTGCATTTTGGAAGCCCCGAGTAAAAACGCAACATAAAAAACGAATCGCCAAAACGCACCATTTCAATGAATATGTGGGTATCATGCACCCATTTCTCGCGGAATCGAAAATGCACGAACTGTCACGAACTGTAGTTGGTATAAAACTGTGGCCGATTCTTGGACCTTTGTCAACAATGACACGCCTTACTCAAATTCAGAGAAACCAGGCTATCGGACGTTTGGAAGCTGGAGAGTCTGTCCAAGATGTTGCCCGTCATTTCAACGTTAACATAACCACAATTTACCGTCTCCTGCATCGATACAATGCTAGACAGACCACAGATGACCTTCCTCGGAGCGGTCGCCCTAGGGTCACCACACCTCGACAAGATCGGTAGATTACCCGTCAACATCGACATCCGTTCCTAACTGCAAGGGAAAGTGCTCGACAGACCATAGGAACACATAATCGACACATTAGCCGGGACACTGTGATCCGACGTCTCCGTTCCAACAACCTCAGATGTCGCCGACCAGCACGTCGTCCTGTTCTCCAAACACGGCATCGACAAGCACGACTTCAGTGGGCACAGGGTCATCACAGTTGGTGTCATCGTGAGTGGAGGCGTGTCATCTCCCATGCAGACGGAAGAGTCAGAATTTGGCGGCGTCGAGGTGGTCGTTTCGCTGACAGAAAGGTTGTGGAAAGGGATCCATGGGGTGGACCTAGCGTCATGATATGGGCAGGGATTGGACTTAATGCGAGACTTGGACCAATGTGCTTTCTGAATGTTGGTCAAGGTCGGGGACACGGCGTCACTGCTCAGCGGTATATCGACCAAGTGATCAGACCCCACGTTGTTCCATTTTTTGCACAACATCAACAACACATTTTCCAGCAGGACAACGCTTGTCCCAATGTTGCCAGAGCTACCATGGCCTTTCTGCAACAACACATCATCCGTGTTCTACCGTGGCCAGCCCTCAGCCCTGATCTGAACCCCATCGAACACTTGTGGGATGAGGTTCAGAGGCGTCTGCACAATGTGCGCCCAGTCCCTACAACTGCCGATGAACTTCGCACCGCTGCTCTGGATGTGTGCAGGAGGATCCCTAGGGCCTTCACAAATCGTCTGATCCACTCAATGTACAGGAGATGTATGGCAGTGATCAATGTTAATGGTGGTCACACCAGGTATTGACTGACATTTGGGGTATTGACTCGAAACTGTAAGCCCTTAACATTTGGAAAAATCAATTATGTCAACTGCCTTTTAATCCATTAAACTGTCTTCAGTCAATTTTTTTTGTCAATCTTGCCCTATTAGTATTTCTTGTCTTTACTATTGAAAATAAATAACATGTATACTGCATACTCGACTTGCGTTTCTTTTGCGTGTGAGTATATTGTTAAATTATTAACGTGAAAACGTTTACCGTAGATGTAAAAATGCGGCATGGTCTTTGTAGACGTTTAAAAATGGCAGACCTCGAAGATCGCAAGATAAGACTCATAGCGCTAAGGGATACATAACAGACAGTCTTTTGGAATTAGTGAGTGAGTGTGGTTTTACGCCGCATTTATCAATTTTACAGCAATATCACGGCGGGGGACACCAGAAATGGGCTTGACACTTTGTACCCATGTGGGGAATCGAACCCGGGCTTTCGTCGTGACGAGCAAACGCTTTATATCCAAGAATTAACGAGTGAGGGGAGGTTAGATGAGCACACTGTTTGCAATCGGTTAGAATTAAAACCCTGCGTCAGGCCGTTGCGCTACGCCGTGTTCACGGACGAATCGAGGCTCCTTCTGGGCGACCGATGAAGATCCGGGTTACAAGGAATGGGAACATCCGGGTACTGCCTTGGTCAGATAAACGTCCGAACCTAACCCCATCTATGACGCAACGCGTGTCGTCGCCTTAAGCGCCTCAACAAACTGTACTATCTCTTTACAAATGACGACCGCCTCCGTGGTCTAGTGGTAGAGCGTCCGCCCGGAGAGCGGAAGGTCCGGGGTTCGATCCCCGGTCGCGTCATACCAATAGACGTTAAAAGATGGTACTTGTTGTTACCCTGTCTGGCGCTCGCCATTAAGGGGCTAAAACAAGGACTGGTCAGCTCGGTGTCAGTATACTGTGTCTGAGTGGGGTATTCATGTTAAACTGCGGCATGGTATCTCAGTGAGCTAGCTCTATAAATCGGCATCAGTCCGGAATAGTACAAGCAGCCACACAAACACACACACGTACATGCACGTCGCTATATAAGTGCAATAATCTTGGACGCGACGTTAAACCCCATTTCACCTCACCTTTACAAATGACATAGAATCCGTTAAGATCCGGGGTAGAATTGGTCTTCAGCAACACATACTTACCATAAAATGCGACCATGTTTGTCGTAAGAAGCGACTAAGGGGATCGGGTGGTCAGGCTCGCTGACTTGGTTAATGCATGTCATCTTATCCCAATTGCTTAGATCGATGCTCATGATGTCAGTCACTGGATTGTCTGGTTCAGACTCAATAATTTACAGACCGCCGTCATATAACTGGAATATTGCTGAGTGCGGTGTTAAACAAACAAACAATCAAACAGAGGACATGGGTACAATGTGCCTATTCCTGTTTTCCCGACAGTGATATTGCCGGAATATGGTTGAAGGTGGGTTAAACCATTCACAGAAGAATGGCAACAGTCAGGTTTTCGTTCCGTCCATCTTTGCGTCATGGGACCGCCTCCGCGGTCTAGTGGTAGAGCGTCCGCCCGCAGAGAGGAAGGTCGGGTATTCGAGCCCCGACCGCGTCATACCAAAAGACGTTCAAAGATGGTACTTGTTGTTACCCTGTCTGGCGCTCGACACTGAGGGGCTAAAAACAAGGACTGGTCGCCTCGGAGTCAGTATACTGTGTCTGAGTGGGTATTCTTGTTAAACTGCGGTATGGTACCCGAGTGGGCTATCACTACAAAATCCGTATTAATCCGAGCAGCTACGCACGCACACACACACGTTTCAATACCCATATCAAAGTTAGAAGAATTTGAATATGCTGAATATTGGACATATATCCCCCACCCCCTCTCCCCATTCCCCGAAAGCAAACAAATCTAAACAAAAAGGGTGACACGGGTGGCCCAGTCGTCTGAGGCGCCGCGATTCGCTGTGCAGAGTTGCGTCCCTTGGGCACGCCAGAAACTATGGTTTTGGGTTCGAATCCCGGTTCGCCCCGATTATGTTTCTAGGTTTGTCAGCACCATGCCCGTGCTCGTGGGTTTCACAGAAGTGGTAAACGTCTGAGACCTGCATCACTTCGGGCTTTCCTCCCACATTTAGCTGACACGCCGTGATATGACGGGAACACTGTTAAAACCGACGTTAAACTAACTCACTCACTCAAAACATTTGCGCCGAAGACCTTAATTCGATTCCCAACATACCGCATGAGTACACTGCCATGATATGCTGAAATACTTCTAAAAGCGATTAAACCCGATAAAAAACGGCGTTTAACCCAACTCACTCACTCACTAAACAAAAAAAGTGACTTTGGTGACAAATGATGGAGAAAATCGTTTATGATCTTTGTGAAAATAGTTCCAACATTAGGCTACACATTACCGTGGTTGTAGTCGAAGGATCGCCAAGGTATCCTCTCACAGGGTGAATGTCCTCATCAGTGACAACCTCTATTCGTCCAGGGAAATCCTGAATGACGCTATAGATTTTCCTTCCTTCTTTATGTTGTATCCTTCCTGGAAATATAATAATACAGTAAACTACGGTTATAACGAACACGCTTATAACGAACTGACGGATATAACGAACTAACTTTTTAGTCCCAACTATTTGCTGTAGTTATGCTGTATATATGCTTATAACGAACTACGGTTATAACGAACTAAAAATAGTAGTCCTTTTGAGTTCGTTATAACCGTAGTTTACTGTATATAATATTTTGTTTGTTTGTTTAATGCCGCACTCAGCAATATTCCAGCTCTATGACGGCGGTTAATATAAAATAACATTAACTCTGGAACGTATATAGTAAGTGTTTTCTGCAATTGACTTGCAACATTTCTACTGGACTCGAAATGTTACAACTGAATACTCTCACACTTTTATTATTTTTTGGTTTTATTAATTTTCTCCTGAGAAATGCTCGTCACAAGGTGGGAAGCTACATTTAAGAATTTTTTCTTCTTCAAAATGTTATCTGAATATATTTTCTTTTCCCTTCAGTTTTGAAAATTTATAGACTACATGCATATTTGTTTTTGTGATTAATAAGATACCCACTTTACTTTTTAAGGGTGGGAAGAATTTTTTTGCCTGAAAGCATTTTCCATGTCCCGAATGTCGTTTTGGTGACACGACTTTTGAGAAATCTCGTTCCAAACTATCATCACTCACCTCTGTAGTACCATCCATCTTCCTCACAACGAGCTAGAACCTCCATGCCGCTCACTGGGTAACAGGTAAAACGTATGTTTGAAATACATAAATGTATTTGCCTGTTGTGCGGTTTTCAGTACACCTGTCATACGCTACGTTAAGTGAGTGAGTATTGTTTTACGCCGCTTTTAGCAATATTCCAGCAATATCACGGCGGGGGGCACCAGAAATGGGCTTCACACTTTGTACCCATGTCGGGAATCGAACCCGGGTCTTCGTCGTGACGAGCGAACGCTTTAACCACTAGGCTACCCGACCGCCCGCTACGTTAAGGTAAGCTGGTGTTTCAATAAGGGTCAGACCATTTCATATTCGTGTGGTTTGTGGTGTGTGTGTGTGGTGCTTCAAACTGTTGAGAATATCAAGTGGCAGGTCCCTAAGTTAAGAATTGACTCTAATGTTTTGCGTTTATCAAGATATTAACGTAAAAACGGTGTGTACACTGTAAGTCCCTCAGTGGGCATGGGCGTGGGCGTGGGCGTGGGCGTGGGCGTGGGCGTGGGCTAATCATGTTTCCATAGACTTTACTCATTATGTTATCTCAGTTTAGTTTTTAAGGTACAAGACAATTATTTAAGCATTGACTTTGGTATGTTTTGTATTTACGGAAGTTTAAACGTAAACATCAGTAAACGTAAACGCAAAACATATATTGAAGTAAATTCTTATGAATAAATAAGTGAACAATAATAATTTCAGAGACTGCTTATTTAATCAGGAAGACAAAAGAACCGTAGATCATGATACGAAACCAATGACATCGTTCAGCGCACTAATGCAACACAAGCCAACCCACTCTGATCAGCCAATCAGGAAACAGTAGTCCGCTAGTGGGCGTGGTCTACTTTAATTTCGGTTTATTGAAGCAATAAACGCATATTGATTTCTTCGTGAGCAATTGACATGTAATCACTTTATGTCCCAATGAAACAAGAACAAGGATAATGTGTACGTTACTATAAAAAACCTGATGAAAATATCGGTGAATGTCACCCTAACCGTAGGCTGAGCCAACCTCGTGACCCTGTAGGGTCTATTGTTAAATCGTGGCCCCTCATGTAAAATAAATAATAATAATAATTAAAAAAAAATATCCCTATGAAAAACAACAACAACAACAACAAAAAGAACCGTAGGCTACATGCTGTACGAATGTATCAACCTGTCTCTCATCCTCTCCGTCCTCACATATGTCTCTCCACCCTCATATCTTGTTACTTTGATTCATATAATTTCATATAATTCATATCATTCATATCATTTCATATGTCATATAATCTTTCCATTCATATAATTTTTACAGCTATTTTACCCTTCATTCTCTTGCATTGACGTTTGATAGTTACTCTTCAATGAATTGTGATTCAGTATTAAAATATTCACTTTAAAAGCATTTAACATACCGTATTCGACGTAATAAGCGCCCAGGGTGCTCTATTACAAATAGGGGGCTCTTATCAGAATATTATTTGGTGGAAAAAACCGAGTTGAAAGATAAATTTCGTGGTTTATGCTGACAGCCTGAAATGTTTATGTACGACAGATATATTTTTTCCAGAATTTAATTGCCCATAATTAAGGGTGCATATAACACACGATTGCGTATTATACGCGAATAAATAAGTCTTGTGTACATTGATCAATCGGCAGGGGTTCTAATTGGGATTGTTCACTAGCTAATATGTTAGCAATTATCGCCATGGGCGCTTATTAAAGCGGGGCGTTTATTACGTCGAATACGGTAATGCGAATCTCAGGAACGTTTGGGTCTTGTTGTGTATTAATGAGAAGTTCTTGTTAATATTTGGATTTTATAATCTGGATACATACCCACTTCATTGTTTGGTGATTGAAACTCGCTGAAAAAAAGTAGCAAAGTAACAATGATGAATGACATACACTTCGCAGACCGACACTTACATAGATACGCCAGATACGTACATAGGCACAGCACATATACATAAACAGAGGCACTGACACAGAAACCTAAAAAACACACACACTTCTAAGATACAGACAGTTCACAGACACGACACAGACACAGACGCAGACACAGATACAGATACATACACAGATTCTTTACAAACACGACACATATACGTACAGATACTTTACAGACACGACGCAGACACAGATACAGATACGTACACAGATACTTTACAAACACGACACAGATACGTACAGATACTTTACAGACACGACGCAGACACAGATACAGATACGTACACAGATACTTTACAAACACGACACAGATACGTACAGATACTTTACAGACACGACGCAGACACAGATACAGATACGTACACAGATACTTTACAAACACGACACAGATACGTACAGATACTTTACAGACACGACGCAGACACAGATACAGATACGTACACAGATACTTTACAAACACGACACAGATACGTACAGATACTTTACAGACACGACACAGACGCAGACACAGATACAGATACGTACACAGATACTTTACAGACACGACACAGACGCAGACACAGATACGTAAACATACACTTTACAGATACGGACAGACAGACATGTGCCAGACATAGACACCCGGACTATGCTTCACATCCGACCACAATTAAGACAAGTTTCATTCACTACAGCAATCCGATGGCCATCTAGTGGTCACTCTCCTCGCGCCATGGATGCCGTGAAACGTGCCGCTTTACCCTCGTCCATTGGACGTGATAAAGTTGATACATTTGTTTGTTTGTATGTTTGTTGTTTAACACCGCACTCAGCAATATTACATGCATAGAATAGAGTATTATCGATCATGAATCGAAGAATCACTTAATTTACATGTATATATTTATGTGGCATTTATCAGTTAATGATGAGGGATCAACTATTTCGATATTTTTGAAATTTATGCAAAGAATAATTTTGCCTCATGCTTTACATCTCCACCCCACAACCCCCCACCCCAACACCTCCAATCCCCTCCCTAAAAAAACAACAAACAAAAATACAACAAATAATATAATAATAAGATGGAGAATAACCAATCAGTTAAAAAAACATATGTTATAGGGCAGAAACACTGACATGAATACCCCCTACTGTACCTTCGGGGTGCCTGTAATACGTTTCATAATCCAAAAGCGAAATTGATACAACATATCCAATTTCTTTAAAAAACGTATTCAATCAACTGAAAATAATCAGTATTATACGATACACCACTACAGCGCATTGATCATTCATGTCTGTTTATTTAACGGACAAGATTCGCTAATTATACTGTTTTGTGCTTTAACTACGTAGAGTAAGCCAAGATTGTGTTTGTTTGTTTGTTTGTTTGTTTGTTGTTAACATTATTCCAGCTATAAAACGGCGGTCTGTAAATAATCGAGTCTGGACAAGACAACCCATTGAGTGACATCATGAGCATCGACCCACGCAATTGGGATACGATGACATGCATCAACCAAGTCAGCGAGTCTGACCATCCGATCCCTTTAGTCACCTCTTACGACAAGCATAGTCGCCTTTTAAGACAATGAATGTAGACGACTCAAATGCCGAATAGGTCTTCAGCTACCCATGCTTGCCGTAAAAGGCGTCTATGCTCGTCGCTGACTTGGTTGACGCATGTCCAGCATCCATATTGAAACATTATTATAAACTTTAACAGAATACATACTTGTTATCGTCGTCATGGTTATTGTCAGCTGCGTGGCTCCTGTAAACATAGTATGTTATGAGGAAGTGCCATACAATATACACTCTTCAAAAAAAGAAACGCACAGGTAGTATGTTGTTCATTGTGGCCTTATGTGACATGACAATGAACAGTTTTCAATGCCTTTGTACAACGACAACATGTGACTGTCGAGGTCCAAACTGTCATATTTGTATCTATGATATTAAATTAAATATGTCGACTTTAATAGGTACAATAAATTTCTAAAAATCTACCTGTGCGTTTCTTTTTTTGAAGAGTGTACATTTAACAAAATGTTCAAACAAGACGACACAACACACAATCTAAAGAATGGCTACATCAACAAATACACAAACAGACTGAATAACATGACCTTTTGACACAAAGGTGTCTTAAAAGCCTTAATAAGCTGGAAAAAACATACGTTTTCTCTTAAATTTCATACGTTTTTTCTTGTTTTCCCCAGTTCGTGTCTGTATCATCACAGCGACTGGGAATCCCATGGGAAAATAGTAATCAGCATTATGTTATATTTTGTTGTTGAGTTGTTGGTTTACTGTTTTACGCGGTTGCTGAAGACCTTTTCTACCCCGTATCTTCACGGGGGCGGTCGGGTAGCCTAGTGGTTAAAGCGTTCGCTCGTCACGCCGAAGACCCGGGTTCGAATCCCGACATGGGTACAATGTGAAGCCCATTTCTGGTGTCCCCCGCCGTGATATTGCTGGAATATTGCTAAAAGCGGCGTAAAAGCAAACTCACTCACCGCATCTTCACGGGCCAGGCGGATAAGTAACGCATATCAGCACTGAAGGCTGTGCATGACGTCTTAGATCAATGGTTCACCAAGCACCATGAAATAATACTTACACCAGGTTAACGACGATTTTGATGAAATCTTTTCTGCGGACTTTATGCTGAAATATGACAGGTAGACTTAAAGGTGTAATGTAGGGAATACTGCAAGGGACGCTTTCTCGACTTTTGAAGAAAAGTACAACAAGCAAACAGTTCGATAAGGATCGGACTTAACACATGGAAATAAGATATCGCGTTCTTGTGATTTCGTGTTTAGTCGCATGATTTCACAAGGCGAAATTTACATCATGTACGCATTCACGCGTTCTCGTCCATTGAAGAAAAATACAGTCTTCTCAAAACGCGATAACGCGAGATTAAGACAATTTGGTCAAATTTCACACACTTGACATTTTCAACTGCTTAGAAAAGTCGCACATGTCGAGAACGCGACAATGTCCTTTCAGTATTCCATACTAATGGCCAAACATGCAAAGATATCTGAAACATTTACGAAAGGTGATAAATGTACAAAAACTCTCGCAATTTACAAAATGAAGCCATAGGGTGTTCCTTATACAGTAACTGTCTGCCTTCAATGTGTGTGCATTTTAATGTTGTATTAATAGTGTAATAAGCATTCCACCGCCAACGGTTAGAGGCAACGATCCATTCGTGACCAACTCGTGTTATTCCGGGACAAGCCGAATCTTCTTGCAGGCTACGGAAAGGGGCGAGTGGTGACGAATGGCAACGATCGTTTCGAAAATCTAGGCGCTTGAATATGACGTTCGAGTCATCGGTAGAAAGGTTGCTGAATAAATGTAAAAAGTGATTAATACAAGCTATTTTATTTGGATTATATTTCGATACTGCATAACAGTAGTGCAGATAAAGTGCAAAACATAGGAAATGTTAGGATGATGATACAAACATGGAAGTTGATATCATATATATTTTTTTACTCTTACTGGCTTATACCATGACAAAAAAAACGTTAGCCATCCGAAAATCCAGATTGACCGCCACATTTTCTAGATGGCCGCCGTTTATCACATTCATTTTCTATTTGTGTCAGAGAAATTTATAATAATCATAACAATAACAACAACAACAACAACAACAACCACAACAATAATAATAATAATCATCATCATCATCATCATCGTAATAATAATCATAATAATGATTAAGCGAAAACCCTTTCCTTATCCAAATAGAAACCTCTGCATAAAGCATGGTCGATTGTACGATTCCGACTATATCACGAGCATGTGTTTTTGAATCACTATAGAGTCAAAATTGAGTCAAAATAGGGCATTGCATCGGATATAATTTTTGTCACTGAATTATCCGATTTTGTGTTTTCATTAAATTTGTGCTTCTTTCATCATTTGGACATTAACACCTGTTATCTGCTCCACAATAAGTCAAAAGCTAATCGATGATTCCATATATAAGTACATATATGTGAATACCTTTTTGTGTGCTCCTTGCAGACTGATGTAGTAGAGACACGTGTCCTTGACCCGTACATACTGTCGTCCCGCCAAGCATCGGACGAAGTGAAAGTAGAGCCCTCTACTTTTTGGTTCCCCCTCTACGCGAGCTAGGTGATTGGATAGTTCCTTAAACTGCAGGTTGTTATGAAAATAGTTAAATTTCAGCTACATGTAAAGAATTGAGAAAAAGCTCGGATACATTTTCTTAAGGGCAGATTGTGTAGTAGGGGAAATAGTTCTTAGGCAGTGGACCTGCTCATAGGTAAAAGGGGGGCGGTCGGGTAGCCTACTGGTTAAAGCGTTCACTCGTCACGCCGAAAACCCGGGTTCGATTCCCGACATGGGTACAATGTGTGAAGCCCATTTCTGGTGTCCCCCGCCGTGATATTGCTGGAATATTGCTAAAAGCGGCGTAAAGCCATAATCACTCACTCACTCATAGGTAAAAGTTCATCAGAAGATCCAAATCAAACCTTTTGCCCCAAATTCAGACGGGCCAAAGAAAGTTTTGTTTTTATTTGTTTGTTTGTTGTTTAACGACGCACTTAGCAATATTCCACCTATATGACGGCGGTCTGTAATAATCAATCTGGACCGGACAACCCAGTGATTGACATAATAAGCATCGACCTACGCAATTGGGATACATTGACATGCATGAACAAAGTCAGCGAGCCTGACCACCCGATTCCGTCGTCTCTTACGAAGATCATTGTGGCATTTCTATGACAAGCATGGGTTGCTGAAGACCTATTCTCTACCCGGATCTGCACGGGCCCCACAGAAAGTATACACCCATGTTTGGTGGTGGCTAAAAATGAAACAAACCAATGCTTCATCGTTGGGGATGTTGTTTGTTTGTTTGTTGTTTAACGCCGCCGCAATATTTTAGATATATGACGGCGGTCTGTAAATAATCGAGTCTGAACCAGACAATCCAGGGAATGACGCCATGAGCATCGATCCACGCAATTGGGAGACGATGACATGCATCAACCAAGTCAGTGAGCCTGACCACCCGATCCCGTTAGTCGCCTCTTACGACAAGCATAGTCGCCTGTTACGGCAAGCATTGGTTGCTGAAGACCTATTCTACCCCGGATCTTCACGGGTCCGTTGGGGATGTATTTGATACGGTTATCACAGTTTTGTTTTGGACATTAGGTTTCGGCGACTGATTACAGGCTAGTTTCGATAACGTTTGTAATTTTTTAAGTCAAATCCAATTTTCTTGTGTATACTTTCTTTTGCCTGACGACCGCCTCCGTGGTCTTGTGGTAGAGCGTCCGCCCGGAGAGCGGAAGGTTCGGGGTTCAATACCCGACCGCGTCATACCAAAAGACGTTAAAAGATGGTACTTGTTGTTACCCTGTCTGGCGCTCGGCATTAAGGGGCTAAAACAAGGACTGGTCGGCTCGGAGTCAGTATGCTGTGTCTGAGTGGGGTATTAATGTTAAACTGCGGCATGATATCTCAGTGAGCTAGCACTATAAATCGGCACCAGTCCGGAATAGTACAAGCAGCCACACACACATACACACACGTGCATCCACGTCGCTATATAAGTGCAATAATCTTGGACGCGACGTTTAACCCAATTTCACCTCACCTTTTGCCGGACAGTTTATCTCATGTTATACGTTCAACAGTTGTTAATGATAGAAAGAAAGGTTTTGTCAAGTCACGGAACATGTCCGATAACAATTATATCAAGTCACAGCTTTCATACAATTTGCCATTTCAACGGACTCTGTCATTTCCTGGTGAATCTGAAAGCTTAATGTTGAAACATCAACAATGACACCTACCAGTCATGCCTACAGAAGAATGAGTCTTAACCAGTGAACAGAATATTGTTCGAACTCGTATTTTTTAGATTGTTTGCAAAGCAATCAGTGGTATTCGAACTAATATATCCGTAATATACACATGAATTGACCCTAGCAACACAGCATGTATTGGCATTAATATGTATGGATTGCTGTTAGTGACATTCTGGAGTTCCCGCGATCTCGACCTTTGGAGAGAACGCGAAATTTGGACAAACACGAGTAAATGAAAGGTAGTTTTCTCGAGATTTCGTGTTTTTGTTACTATTTGAAAAGTCGAGAATTCGAATTTCACATCATGTCCACATGACGCTTTAGCGTGGCCTCTACTTTTTATAACATGAAGTAATTTAAGTAACATGTCCTTTCAACATTAAAACCAATTTCGTAGTTTTTGCATCTTTAGCTCGTTCACAAAGATCGAGATCGCTATAGGCCACCAGAAGATCATGTCCCTTACAGTATACCATAGAGGAATAAATTTGTATAGGATTCACATGAACGAAAGGCTCTTCATCAGGGAGGTCCAGGTGTATGGAGATGACGGCAGGATGGAGGCTGGACATTCTGGGAACACTCTTCACCGTGCACGTGGTCGTCGGACCCTTGTAAAACAACTCTCCATGTCCCGGATGTACGCGTGACAAGGGACACCACACCTCCTGTACAAAGGGATAATATAGAAATTTATATTATTTTTTTCAGCGTTCTTAGTATATGACGGCGACATGTAAATAACGGAGTGTTTGTTAGGGCGACTAAGGGGATCGGGTGGTCAGTCTCGCTGACTTAGCTGAGGGGCGGTCGGGTAGCCTAGTGGTTAAAGCGTTCGCTCGTCACGCCGAAGACCCGGGTTCGATTCCCGACATGGGTACAATGTGTGAAGCCCATTTCTGGTGTCCCCCCGCCGTAATATTGCTTGAATATTGCTAAAAACGGCGTAAAACCATACTCACTCACTCACTGACTTAGCTGATGCTTGGCATTGTATCCCAATTGCGTGGATCGATGCTCATGATCACTGGACCGTCTCTATCCAGTATCGATTATTCACATATTTGTCATATAGCTGGAATATTGCTGAGTGCGGCGTTAAACAACAAACAAATCTAATTATCAGGGTTGCCGAACACATATCAAACAACTCCACGCTACCAACTGTGACGGTATCAAATGAGGTGGGGTTAGGTGAAATGGGGTTTAACGTCGCGTCCAAGATTATTGCACTTATATAGCGACGTGCATACACGTAAGTGTGTATGGCTGCTTGTGCTAGTCCGGACTAATGCCGATTGTTATAGTTTTATAGTCATGCCTCAGTTTAACATGAATACCTCACTCAGACACAGTATACTGACTCCGAGCCCTTAGTGCCGGAGGGGCTGTCGGGTAGCCTAGTGGTCAAAGCGTTCGCTCGTCACGCCGAAGACCCGGGTTCGATTCCCGACATGGGTACAATGTGTGAAGCCCATTTCTGGTGTCCCCCGCCGTGATATTGCTGGAATATTGCTAAACGCGGCGTAAAACCATACTCACTCTCACTCACTCACTTAATGCCGGATGCCAGACAGGGTAACAACAAGTACCATCTTTTGACGTCATTTAGAATGATGGGATCGAACCCCGGACCTTCCTCTCTCCGGGCGGCCGCTCTACCACTAGACCACGGAGACGGTCGGTATCAAATGAAATTTGTTACGTTAAAATATTTATTATATACCTCAGAGTGAAAGACTGAGTTTTCTGAAGTTGAGAAGTTATATTTTATTTGCAGTGAACATAACACTTGATATTACACTGCAGTGAACATAACACTTTGACGGAACTATTGTCATACAATAGTTACCTCCCCTTAAATTGTCTCCCTTTATCGTAAGTGTCTGACCCGTTCACAAACTGTTGACTTCTTTTTTACGTAAGTTCCACTTTGACAAGGCAAAATAATGAAAGATGATCATTTACTGAATTAATATCACTTCTTGCCGTTTGTTATTCTCTCGAAAATGTTTCGTTACAAACTGTAAATTTCTCACTTAACTCGTCAATCGAGACTGTTCGTTTCACAAAGCGCTATTTTTGTTACTTGACCAGCGTGTATTCTTTCGCTTCCAACAGCGGTCTCCTAGTTTTCAAGAATATTTTTGGTTAAAGCTGAATTTGTATATAATCATATTAATCAAACGTATGATACAGAATTTTCGTAACCCTAAATATCTTTTGATACTATTGTTTATATATTTTTTTAGATTTTGGAAACACGAAACTACTTTTTAAGTCGCAAATACAAGGGGCTGTGAACCGTCCCTGTGTTTTAGGTAGGGAGAACTTACGTTTCAATGTTTTATTATTTAACTACACGAAAAGTATATAATAAATAGGATATTCCATGTGTCGGGTGAAATATCATGTTTTTCTCATCTCGTGACAGGGAAAAAGAAGATATTTCCTTCCCCCCAGTCACTCAATGAGAGAAACATGATATTTCACCCGACACATGGAATATCCTCAATATATGGATTATTGTTCAGTCGATATAACACTTAGTTCAGGGATAATGTACGTACTGTTCTACACGGCCTCGTTATACGGCTGCTCAGATAGATGTCCCACGGGATCCTCATTGCGGCTCTCGGCATCCTTGGACAGCAGCAGGGCACCGCTCCTAATACATTTTAAACACATGCTTTGGCGAGGACAGAATTATTAAAGGGGTATTAATCTATTCTCCCTCTCTAAGGCTTAACCATACACTTAGACCCCGCTTAAACCAGTACCGACCAATGTACAGTCTACTTATGTACAGTCATTTATGTTGCGCTTAATCCAGACGAGAAAGGTTGCACAAAGCGCTGCAAGGAAGAACAATGAAAATTAATTTCAATGAAATATTACGCATTGGAGATAAATTTAAAAAAATGCAAAAGTAGATAAATATGAGGTTTTCAATACTGCTATAGCAGCTATCAAACATGTTTTGATGAGAAAATGTTGAACAGACCACACTAACCCCCCCCCCCCCCCCCCCCCCCCCCCCCCACACACACACACACACACACACACACAAACACACACACACCACCACCACCACCCCCAGACCCGGTCTACATCAGTACAGACCAGGGGCGGTCGGGTAGCCTAGTGGTTAAAGCGTTCGCTCGTCACGCCTAAGACCCGGGTTCGATTCCCGACATGGATACAATGTGTGAAGACCATTTATGGTGTCCACTGCCGTGATATTGTTGGAATATTGCTAAAAGCGGCATAAAACCATACTCATTCACTCAGTACAGACCACCCCCACCTGCCTATATCAGTACAGACCACAACCCCCACCTGCCTACATCAGTACAGACCACTCTATACTCACCGACCCCACCCCACCATCTTCGTCCACAATGATGTCCGCATCCCACAGCTAGAGGGACTTTTCGCTTCCATAAGATGCCCCGAGTAGGTATATGGTGAACTTTGTAGACCTGTAAAACAGTAAAACCCCGTTAGACCAGAACACGTGAAGTCCCCGTGCGAATTTGGAATGTGTACCGTGTGTATACGATTGATGGGATATTACCATACAAATCCTTCCAGGAATCGTTCATCCAGAAATATTTCGTACATGTAAGGACAAAAACCATGATGTAAGATAAGTTCCCTTTTTGGCCCGCTGGAAAAGTCATATTTTAATGTTTTGGAAAACTTTGTGATAATGCTATTTTAAAATGAAATCATCAGACATGTTCAAATGATTGGTAGTTAATCTTTATTCTTTCTAACACTTTCAAGGTTTTACTTTCGGCATGTTCAAGTACACAACGATTTTTCCATTTCAAGGAAACAAACTGACAATGAGCCAGTCCGATTTTTGTATTTTACCACATTTTTGTTCTCTCCTTTTTATCTGGTGTGGTCGGGTAGCCTAGTGGTTAAAGCGTTCGCTCGTCACGCCTAAGACCCGGGTTCGATTCCCGACATGGGTACAATGTGGGAAGCCCATTTTGGGCGTCCCCCGCCGTGATATTGCTGGAATATTGCTAAAAGCGGCGTAAAACCATACTCATTCACTCACTCTCCTTTATCTTCTCTCCGAAGAAAATAAGCTTGGTCAAAGACTTGCTTATGTTCAAATAGTTATAAAAATGCTTCACGAAATACTTCAAATTCAGCCTTTTCAACACGTTTTAGTCTTACATTAAGTTTTTTTTTGCTATGTGCAGACCCCGTGAGCCCAATAGGCCCCCTCGCCATACTTTGTCTTGAGCACATTTGTCCTAAGATACGACATAATTTTTAATTTTGCTCAGTAATAATTGCCGAGGCGAAAACAAGAATGAGTGCACTTGTTAGTCTCCAAATTTATTTAACAACCAAAGGAGGCTGGTTTATTCTTCCCGTGGTGCTTATTTGTACGATAAACACCCCACCCCCCATCCCCCACCCCCCCTCGTCGTATAGTAATAACTCAGCCTTTTAAAAGTAAAAACATCCAATGTTTATTTCGGCAATAGGCGCAAACGTGAATGAACGCCTTAAAGTACCAAACTAAGGACTTGTGGCGAAGACACCGAGGGAGTCTCATTTCTGCATTACTGTATGCACATATGTTTCGAATTATTGCTGGTTTATATTATCAAGAGGGGGCGGTGGGGTAGTCTAGTGGTTAAAGCGTTCGTTCGTCACGCCGGACGCCCGGCTTCGATTCCCCACATAAGTACATGTGTGAAGCCCATTTCTGGTGTCCCCTGCCGTGATATTGCTGGAATACTGCTAACAGCGGCGTAAGAAACATACGCACTCACTCACTTATATCATCAAGTTAACTATATGACCATTTGGGCTATAAACGTTGGCATGCCGTCACAATATTACAGTAAGTGAATAGTGAAAACATGCCACGACTGACTGAAGCCCAACGCATCGACGCCATCGGCCGACTGTAAACTGGAGATTCAGGTTTTTTCCACGTAGCAACAAGCACCATTACGCGACTGTGGTTCCAACCGTTTTCAGACACACGGGACAACACGGGACCTTCCCAGATCCGGCCGACCACGTATCACAACTAGAGCACAGGATAGATCCATACAGCTACGCCACCTACGCGAAAGAACCACCACAGCCACCTCGCCTACATCAGTACAGACCACCCTCCACCTCGCCTACATCAGTACAGACCACCCTCCACCTCACCTACATCAGTACAGACCACCTTCCACCTCGCCTACATCAGTACAGACCACCCTCCACCTCGCCTACATCAGTACAGACCACCCTCCACCTCGCCTACATCAGTACAGACCACCTTCCACCTCACCTACATCAGTACAGACCACCTTCCACCTCGCCTACATCAGTACAGACCACCCTCCACCTCGCCTACATCAGTACAGACCACCTTCCAACTCGCCTACATCAGTACAGACCTCCTTCCACCTCGCCTACACCAGTACAGACCACCCTCCACCTCGCCTACATCAGTACAGACCACCTTCCAACTCGCCTTCATCAGTACAGACCACGATCCACCTCGCCTACATCAGTACAGACCACCTTCCACCTCGCCTACATCAGTACAGACCTCCTTCCACCTCGCCTACATCAGTACAGACCACCTTCCACCTCACCTACATCAGTACAGACCACCCTCCACCTCGCCTTCATCAGTACAGACCACCTTCCACCTCGCCTACATCAGTACAGACCATCCTCCACCTCGCCTACATCAGTACAGACCACCCTCCACCTCACCTTCATCAGTACAGACCTCCTTCCACCTCGCCTACACCAGTACAGACTACCCTCCACCTCGCCTACATCAGTACAGACCACCTTCCAACTCGCCTACACCAGTACAGACCACCCTCCACCTCGCCTACATCAGTACAGACCTCCTTCCACCTCGCCTACACCAGTACAGACCACCCTCCACCTCGCCTACATCAGTACAGACCGCCTTCCACCTCGCCTACATCAGTACAGACCACCTTCCACCTCGCCTACACCAGTACAGACCACCCTCCACCTCGCCTACATCAGTACAGACCACCTTCCAACTCGCCTTCATCAGTACAGACCACGATCTACCTCGCCTACATCAGTACAGACCACCTTCCACCTCGCCTACATCAGTACAGACCTCCTTCCACCTCGCCTACATCAGTACAGACCACCTTCCACCTCACCTACATCAGTACAGACCACCCTCCACCTCGCCTTCATCAGTACAGACCACCTTCCACCTCGCCTACATCAGTACAGACCTCCTTCCACCTCGCCTACATCAGTACAGACCACCTTCCACCTCGCCTACATCAGTACAGACCACCCTCCACCTCGCCTACATCAGTACAGACCACCCTCCACCTCGCCTACATCAGTACAGACCTCCTTCCACCTCGCCTACATCAGTACAGACCACCCTCCACCTCACCTACATCAGTACAGACCACCTTCCAACTCGCCTACATCAGTACAGACCTCCTTCCACCTCGCCTACATCAGTACAGACCACCCTCCACCTCACCTACATCAGTACAGACCACCTTCCAACTCGCCTACATCAGTACAGACCACCTTCCACCTCGCCTACATCAGTACAGACTACCCTCCACCTCGCCTACATCAGTACAGACCACCTTCCAACTCGCCTTCATCAGTACAGACCACCCTCCACCTCGCCTACACCAGTACAGACCACCCTCCACCTCGCCTACATCAGTACAGACCACCTTCCAACTCGCCTACATCAGTACAGACCACCATCCACCTCGCCTACATCAGTACAGACCACCTTCCACCTCACCTACATCAGTACAGACCACCCTCCACCTCGCCTACACCAGTACAGACCACCCTCCACCTCGCCTACATCAGTACAGACCACCTTCCACCTCGCCTACATCAGTACAGACTACCCTCCACCTCGCCTACATCAGTACAGACCACGATCTACCTCGCCTACATCAGTACAGACCACCTTCCAACTCGCCTTCATCAGTACAGACCACCCTCCACCTCGCCTACATCAGTACAGACCACCATCCACCTCGCCTACATCAGTACAGACCACCTTCCACCTCACCTACATCAGTACAGACCACCCTCCACCTCGCCTTCTTAAGTACAGACCACCCTCCACCTCGCCTACATCAGTACAGACCACCTTCCAACTCGCCTACACCAGTACAGACCACCTTCCACCTCGCCTACATCAGTACAGACCACCTTCTACCTCGCCTACATCAGTACAGACCACCTTCCACCTCGCCTACATCAGTACAGACCACCTTCCAACTCGCCTTCATCAGTACAGACCTCCTTCCACCTCGCCTACACCAGTACAGACCACCCTCCACCTCGCCTACATCAGTACAGACCACCCTCCATCTCGCCTTCATCAGTACAGACCTCCTTCCACCTCGCCTACATCAGTACAGACCTCCTTCCACCTCGCCTACATCAGTACAGACCACCCTCCACCCCGCCTACATCAGCACAGACCACCTTCCACCTCGCCTACATCAGTACAGACCTCCTTCCACCTCGCCTACATCAGTACAGACCTCCTTCCACCTCGCCTACACCAGTACAGACCACCCTCCACCTCGCCTACATCAGTACAGACCACCCTCCACCTCGCCTACATCAGTACAGACCACCTTCCACCTCGCCTACACCAGTACAGACCACCCTCCACCTCGCCTACATCAGTACAGACCACCCTCCACCTCACCTACATCAGTACAGACCACCTTCCAACTCGCCTACATCAGTACAGACCACCTTCCACCTCGCCTACATCAGTACAGACCACCTTCCAACTCGCCTACATCAGTACAGACCACCTTCCAACTCGCCTACATCAGTACAGACCACCTTCCACCTCGCCTACATCAGTACAGACCACCTTCCAACTCGCCTACATCAGTACAGACCACCTTCCACCTCGCCTACATCAGTACAGACCACCTTCCAACTCGCCTACATCAGTACAGACCACCTTCCAACTCGCCTACATCAGTACAGACCACCCTCCACCTCGCCTACATCAGTACAGACCACCCTCCATCTCGCCTTCATCAGTACAGACCTCCTTCCACCTCGCCTACATCAGTACAGACCTCCTTCCACCTCGCCTACATCAGTACAGACCACCCTCCACCCTGCCTACATCAGCACAGACCACCTTCCACCTCGCCTACATCAGTACAGACCTCCTTCCACCTCGCCTACATCAGTACAGACCTCCTTCCACCTCGCCTACACCAGTACAGACCACCCTCCACCTCGCCTACATCAGTACAGACCACCCTCCACCTCGCCTACATCAGTACAGACCACCTTCCACCTCGCCTACACCAGTACAGACCACCCTCCACCTCGCCTACATCAGTACAGACCACCCTCCACCTCACCTACATCAGTACAGACCACCTTCCAACTCGCCTACATCAGTACAGACCACCTTCCACCTCGCCTACATCAGTACAGACCACCTTCCAACTCGCCTACATCAGTACAGACCACCTTCCAACTCGCCTACATCAGTACAGACCACCTTCCACCTCGCCTACATCAGTACAGACCACCTTCCAACTCGCCTACATCAGTACAGACCACCTTCCACCTCGCCTACATCAGTACAGACCACCTTCCAACTCGCCTACATCAGTACAGACCACCTTCCAACTCGCCTACATCAGTACAGACCACCTTCCACCTCGCCTACATCAGTACAGACCACCTTCCAACTCGCCTACATCAGTACAGACCACCCTCCACAACAACGGCGATACCAGGATTGCGTAGGATATAACCCAAGATGGTGAGGAGCCGTTTACGCGCTGAAGGTATTGCTCTAGGTGACCGTCATTTTGACGGACGACGTCAATGGTGTCAAGGTCACAGAGTATGGCAGCTTCGCCGTGCGGATGGTTGACGTCGTGTTTACAGGCGTCGCGGGGTACGTTATGCACGAAACTGCAAACGGCAAGTGGACAGATGTGGTGGTGGTAGTGTGATGATGTGGGCAGCCATCTCCTACACTGCTAGAACAGACATAGTGCAAGTTCTGGGGAATTTAACGGCACAGCGTTACAAGGATGAGATTCTTCGGTCACACGCCGTTCCCTTTACGCAACAAGCGAAAGTCATTTTCCGACAGTTGGCAGGCAGAGTGGGAGAACATTCCACCTGCCATAATTCGGGACCTGATTGCTTCAATGGGGAGACGATGCCAGTCAGTTTTGGACTCTAATGGTAGCCACACAAGATATTGAGAACAGATGACCTTCACTTGAACATCGACTGTTCCGTGCGTGGAACCTGGGTCAATGACAATGCTGTGTGCGAAATTTGAACAATCGATTAAAATCAGTTGATTATTCATTATATTTTATCAGATATACATCTAAAATCACTTTTTAATATTTTGTTCTCGTTGCAATTTGGCTGAAATAATGTCGATGCAACGTTAAATATGTACTCTCTCACTCTTTTGGAATGACTGGGCCAGAGGAATTTATCCACCAGCCTTCATCTCTCCAGGCAGACGCTCAATCCGTTACGCCACGGAGGCTGTCTATCCATTGTTATGTCCGCTTGATTTGGCACACTGACTGACACAGAGCCTGTCAGACTGGCACCAGTCCCTGAAGCTGTTATCGATGTATTTGAACAAAGAGACCTATTTGCGGAATGTATTGATCAACACGAAAGCGACAATACCTTTCCTCGAAAATGTAATTCCTGGAACTGCTAACATATTGATTGTTTGGCTCTTAACACTTCCGTCGTCTCAAGATTAAATGGTATCGAAATAGTTATATTGTTGAAGATATTTGTACCTCGTTGTGGGGGCACGGGTGGCCCAGTCGTCTAAGGCGCCGTGATTCGCTGTGCAGAGTTGCGTGCCTTAGGCACGCCAGAAACCTATGATTGTGGGTTCGAATCCCGGTTCGCCCCGATTATGTTTCTAGGTTTGTCAGCACCATACCCGTGCTCATGGGTTTCACCGAAGTGGTAAACGTTTGAGACCTGCATCACTTCGGGCTTTCCTCCCACATTAAGCTGACACGCCGTGATATAACTGGAATACTGTTAAAAGCGGCGTTAAATCCAACTCACTCACTCACTGTACCGCGTTGTCATGTAATACAAATATTCTTTATGAATTATTTTTTTAATCAAGTCAAATCAAGGTGTCACACACTGAGTAAATCTTTTGTTTCCGATTTAATTAACTCATGTTATCCCGCCCGATAAAGTCTATAATGAAGTAGGGTAGCTTTTGTCAAATTAAGTAATATTATACATACAATTCATAAGAAGCGGACTTTAAAAACGCAGATATTAGTTATTAGAAGTTACTTCCTGACTTTCTTGCTCAGTCTGTCACTCAGCACAATAAAGCTATTTTGGGTCAAAAACATAGTATAACGTCGGACATTCTGAGTTATTGCTTTCTATCGGAACACAGCTTGAAATGGCATGTGCTTCTCGTAACGTGACTGAACCGGTATTTGCACGTGCAAAACGCACTTCGTGCATTTAGAGAAGTGACACCGCTTCACTGTAGCATCTCTCCTTATACCGCGCATCGCTGTATAGAAACACAGCTTCACTTTCACTCAGACCCCGATATTGTGCAAGATTACATCACGATTCGGGACTAAATTATTTTCATGGGAGGCAGGGACCTTCCTTGTAAAACCTCGGGCTTTAGAAGCCCGTGTCTGCAACCCTCGGGTCTTACAATCTCGGAGTAGTCTTCTATTCTTGACTAAAACATCCGTTACTCCGTCATTTGAAATATGCTTCTATCAATTTGCAAAAAAACAAGCATGTGATGTGCAGCTAATGTATCCAAGGCTCTGCTTGTGTAACAAAAGGAATTTTCTTGTGCGTAAATTCAAACATGGGCACGATTCATGATATAACAATATGCTTACCGACACTCCGGGGTGTTGACACGTGAAAGTCCCGTACGTCAATATCTCACACATGGCCTCAAATGCGCCACATTTATCCATGCCAATTCTTTTCCCCAATTCTCCTGTAAAATCATATGCGAAAGACCCAAAGACGATCTGTTGTTAGGATTGTCTACAGCGACATACTGTTATGGTACGAGATAAGTCACGTGATCATATCGATCACCTTATCCAACATTATAATTAAAATTACATATTTATGTCAGGGGAGGCTCGGTCACTTGGTTGATGCATGTCATCGTATCCCAATTTCGTGGATCGATGCTTATAATGTCAGTCACTGGATTGTCTGGTCCAGACTCGATTATTTAAACAACAAACAAACAAACAAACAACAAACCAAATTAAGGTGGTCGGGGACTGACTGGCCTAGTATTGTGAGATTTACTATTCGTGTGTTGGTTGTACCCATTTGTTTGATCCTGAACGCCAAAAGGATTGTTGTTTGAGTGTCTTTTGGGGGGCTTGACAGACAGGGACAGGGATTTTTTTGGTCCAGGTGCACAGCGCACAAACCAGACGTAGAGTTCAATCCAGACTAAAACGGCGGAGTGAGTGAGTGAGTGAGTGAGTATGGTTTATCGCCCCTTTTAGCAATATTCCAGCAATATCACGGCGGGGGACACCAGAAATGGGCTTCACACACTGTACCCATGTCAGGAATCGAACCCGGGTTTTCGGCGTGACGAGCGAACGCTTTAACCACTAGGCTACCCAACCGCCCCCTAAAACGGCGGAAAAGGGCATACATTGACCCATTGAATATCAGGTTTATGTAAACCATGACAGCCAGTGAGTGAGTGAGTGAGTGAGTGAGTGAGTGAGTGAGTGAGTGAGTGAGTGAGTGAGTGAGTGAGTGAGTGAGTGAGTGAGTGAGTGAGTGAGTGAGTGAGTGAGTGAGTGAGTGAGTGAGTGAGTGAGTGAGTGAGTGAGTGAGTGAGTGAGTGAGTGAGTGAGTGAGTGAGTGAGTGAGTGAGTGAGTGAGTGAGTGAGTGAGTGAGTGAGTGAGTGAGTGAGTGAGTGAGTGAGTGAGTGAGTGAGTGAGTGAGTGAGTGAGTGAGTGAGTGAGTGAGTGAGTGAGTGAGTGAGTGAGTGAGTGAGTGAGTGAGTGAGTGAGTGAGTGAGTGAGTGAGTGAGTGAGTGAGTGAGTGAGTGAGTGAGTGAGTGAGTGAGTGAGTGAGTGAGTGAGTGAGTGAGTGAGTGAGTGAGTGAGTGAGTGAGTGAGTGAGTGAGTGAGTGAGTGAGTGAGTGAGTGTTGTTAAAGCCGCATCAGCAATATTCAAGATATTCGCGGCTAGAAAACAAAATCATTTTCCTATAGAAAAGAACATTACATAAAAATGATGACGAAGATCACTAAAACCTCAGCCCATAGTAAACAGTAAAACATGACAGCCAAACCTGGGACATCGAGCATTGCATCGGTGAGTGAGTGAGTGAGTGAGTGAGTGAGTATGGTTTTACGCCGCTTTTAGCAATATTCCAGCAATATCACGGCGGGGGTCACCAGAAATTGACTTCACACATTGAACCCATGTCGGGAATCGAACCCGGGTCTTCGGCTTTAACCGAACGCTTTAACCACTAGGCTACCCGACCGCCCGCATCGGATGACATATGCCACCGAACCAGTTGTATCCTCACTATAACATCTTCAGTTATACATTATATAACATACAAATAGTCCTGGGGTAGCTTCGTTGAGCAGGACCCAGGACGCTGCGTCTATTTGTCAAATAGAGTCGACCTTAAACAATCTCCCTTCTTTATTCATCATTTTCGGTTGTGTCGAACCTCGGATAACTCGAAGTATCAGGAAGGTCCTTTCAACTTCGACACAACAGTGTTTGACTAGTTAATTCATCTTCGTCAGATTAATTCATCCTCATCAGAACATAAAGGTCTCCTTTACAATAGCATTCCTCCTTTGCTATCCTGATTAAAGTGACTGCCATTGTACCCCCAACTTACATCTTTACAGTTGCCCTGTTCATAATGTTGCGTATGTGCTATTGAGTTGACAAACTTTAGGTTATAGTCAAAGAAGGTTCGCAGTTTACAAAGTATGTAATAAACACACTTTACAAGGTATGTAATAAACACACTTTACAAGATGTGTAATAAACACACTTTACAAGGTATGTAATAAACACAGTTCATAGGGTATGTAATAAACACAGTTTACAGGGTATGTAATAAAGACACTCTACAGGATATGTAAGAAACACACTTTACAAGGTATGTAAGAAACACACTTTACAAGGTATGTAAGAAACACAGTTTACAGGGTATGTAATAAACACACTTTACAAGGTGTGTAATAAACACACTCTACAGGGTATGTAATAAACACACTCTACAGGGTATGTAATAAACACACTCTACAGGGTATGTAATAAACACACTTTACTGGGTATGTAAGAAACACACTCTACAGGGTATGCAATAAACACACTTTACTTGGTATGTAAGAAACACACTCTACAGGGTGTGTAAGAGACACACTTAACAAGGTATGTAATAAACACACTTTACTTGGTATGTAAGAAACACACTCTACAGGGTGTGTAAGAAACACACTCTACAGGGTGTGTAATAAACACACTTTACAGGGTATGTCATAAACACACTTTACAAGGTATGTAATAAACGCTTGGATTCAGTAATTTTTACACCTAGCAGACGAAGAGTTACTTCATAAATGGTCTAAAAGTAAAATATGTTCTTCAGTATTGTTTAGCTGGTTATCACAGCACTGTTGTGAACGTCGTATAATGAATGGACAGTTCAACGTTGTGTTGATGATGTTAAATGTTTTTTTTTAAGAACTCTGATTAATATAACTGGCCCATCTCTTTGTAGTAGGATAAGGAAAAACTTAATGGAAATAAGCCTAGTACATATAGAACATATTAGGTAACTCCCGCTGGTGAAAAGTATTTATAGAGACCACAGTCGTACATGTCAGGCTATCAATACAACATGTCGAGAGGCATTGTAAGTATTGCATTTTATCTAACTTGACAATTTTAATATAGAGGAAGATGGATGTCGTTTCCAACTCCACTGAACTTTTACGATAACTCGGATTTGCTTTCTTATCTTTTGAATGTAGCATTGGTACAGAATCCTTAATCTTGTCATTTTATTGATGAAGAACGCTTATATGCCTTATGAATGATATTAAACTTTTAGCTTCAACGCTTTTTAATATGTTTTAAAGAAGACCATCAATGTCATAACGTATTTCTTGTTAAAGCCGTTTTAATTACCATTTAATGTATTCTGTACGTGTACAAACTTGAGTGTCTCATAAACCAATTCATGGCTGGATTGTTTATTAAGTGTGTATTTTATACATATTTTACATGTACAAGTTCGTGTGATAAACAATAAACTACTGATAGTGATGACACCAGGTGCTCATGAAAAGCTGAGTGTGTCCTGTCCAACCTTTGAAAGCTGCATTAAGGCCTTGAATGTTATAATCCTGATCAAATAACTAGCAAGAGTCACATGACACTCTCTGACGTCTTGATAAATTGTATCTCTTAAGGCGTGATATGTAAACACCAAACGCAGGATCTGGTGGCATATTGCTCGACATTTTGCTCCTCATACATTTGGATTCATTCGGATTTGGAGTGAGTGAGTGAGTATGGTTTTACGCCGCTTTTAGCAATATTCCAGCAATATCACGGCGGGGGACACCAGAAATGGGCTTCACACATTGTACCCATGTCGGGAATCGAACCCGGGTCTTCGGCGTCGGATTTGGAAAGATGCCTAGCACTGACATTGAATGTTAGGAGTAATACATATCTATTCCACCGTTTAACTTGACTAAAGAGTTGTTTGATACACCCCGGAAGAAGAATTCAACTGCTTCAGGAAACAGGCATTTGTGATAACAGATATTTATACATTCAAATAAGTCATTTCTTGTTGTCACACATATCTACTATATCCGGTTCGCGAGTGTTTGTCGGCTTTAACGCCAGTTTTGTAGGTTATCGCACAACCCAGCTTAACATTAACGTGCGGGAAAGTCCGAAGTGATGCAGACCTCACACATTTGTAACACTGGTAAAACCAGCGAGCATGGGTGTGGTCCAAATAGTGAGAAGACCTCCTCAGTGCGTCATATCAGCATTTTATCTGTCTGTCCACCACTGTCTAAACGGAACTTCTTACTTGCTATATCCTCGTCTGTTTAGTCTCCATTGTTTTCTGACTCACCCATATCAAGCCCAAGTTAACGTATACAACTTTCAAATGAAGTAAAAAGCACAATTTCGAATTTATATAATTTTCAAATGTTGTTATTCTTGATTTACAAAAACACAAAATTGTGTGCTTCGGGTAAAGTATCCATTATTAAGTGAGTGAGTATGGCTTTACGCCGCTTTTAGCAGGATTCTACCAATATCACGATGGGGGACACCAGAAATGGGCTTCACACATTGTACCCATGTGGGGAATCGAACCCAGGCCTTCGGCGTGACGAGCGAACGCGTTAACAACTAGGCTAACCCCACCGCCCCTCCATTATTTAGTATTTTATAACATACAGTAAACTACGGTTATAACGAACACGCTTATAACGAACTGACGGATATAACGAACTAACTTTTTAGACCCGACTATTTGCTGTAGTTATGCTGTATATGTGCTTATAACGAATTACGGTTATAACGAACTAAAATTAGTAGTCCCTTTGAGTATGTCATAACCGTAGTTTACTGTATATAGAATTTCAATACGTTTATAATTTCCTCTGAATTGGGTTTTCTTTGAATTAACGTATGTTGATAAATAGAATTTAAGATTCATACACACTTTTAGCTATCGCGAAAAGCTATTTGACAAGGCCATTTGTAGTTAAAATTAACTGTACTAGCAATTGACTTCCTTGTCGAGTTAAACTACATGTAGTTGTTGTATGCGTTCAGACGTGTTCCGAGGTGTTTGTCGCTGTGATGTCTGTGTATGATGTTGTTTCACTCTGCCTTTGTTTGTTAACTACGTGTGAATTTACCACAGGGTTACAACGAAATGCGTAAGTATATTCTCACCATTTAATTTGTGATATATTTGCATCTGATAACATGTCTCAAACGACGGCCGTGTTCTAAGTAATATACACTTAGTATAGCATCATTCACAGATTTAAAAATGTTATCCGGGGTAGAAAAGGTCTTCAGCAACCTATGCTTGCCGTAAAAGGTGACTATGCGTGTCGTAAAAGGCGACTAACGGGATCGGGTGGTCAGGCTCGCTGACTTGGTTGATGCGTGTCATCGTAACCCAATTGCGTGGATCGATGTTCATAATATCAATCACTGGATTGTCTGGTCCAGACTCGATTATTTTCAGACCGCCGTCATATGGCTGAAATATTGCTGAGTGCGGAGTTAAACAACAAACAAACAATCAAACAAACAAACAAACAAACCAACCAATGTAATCATGGAGCTAATTAGGATGACGTTTTGATACTATGCCACCTATAAAGAGTAACACACAACACGATGGAGTGGTATGTTCAGAGCGCATGACATTATCACCCTAGTAACGGATCAGTGAGTATGATTTTACGCCGCTTTTAGTAATATTTCAGCAATATCACGGCGGGGGACACCAGCAATCACTTCACACATTGTACCCATATCGGGAATCGAACCCGGGACTTCGGCGTGACGAGCAAACGCTTTAACCACTAGGCTACCCGACCGCCCCTAACGGATCACTGTGCATGCTAGACAAGCATTCGTTGCTTGGTTAAATTAAGAAACATTTCCAACGAAATCACGTGCCTTAAGAGACTTTTCGAGATTTTAACTATCCGTGGTTCCAACTTTGATTCAATATTGGAACATGCCACAATGTAAATCCCTTCAGCACAGGACGCCCGTGATATAAGTAGCCGATAGGAGCCGTGGACAGACAATTTCCGTCCGCCAAAAATAACACGTTGACATCAACCTCGTTTAGAGATTAAACAGCCATTGAAACGAGAGGTCGATGACTACCTTTAACAGCTACCTTTCATTTCGTCACAGGTTCTTGTTTTTTGTATATTACTGTAATTTCAATGTAGAATTTTGTTATTCACGGATTCAATATTTGATTATAACGGACTGTAATCTTGACTGGTTTGACGTGTGTTCAGCCCAAATTGACATCTGGTGATTACGAGGGCTAATTAAAACGGCGCAGGCGATACGACTGAGAGTTAGATTGTTGTTGTTTAAGTAACCCGAGGATTCAATGGAGCTAAATTGAATTGGAACCGAATGTGCATCGTGAGGTTACACGTATTAAATATTATGCGGTTAAATCGACATGTAACCTGGCTCTAAAGTGAAAACACAGTAGGTTTATCTCCAAACGAACATGGCAAAATAAAACGCGAGCTCTTTGGTGTTGGCGATTATATTGAGTAGCCAATACACAAGATATGCTCAAACATTGTTTTCCCCCCAATCATAACACTTCACTTCTACACTACAGCCATTAAAAGCGTGTAGCATAGCTACGTGTTCTTCGTTAGCTAACAAGCACTGGGCACCCCTAAAGGAAATGAAGTCTTGCAGGTATTGTTTCACTCCACGTCAGAATTATGACGTCACACCGCTCATTGTTTGAAGTTACTGTCGGATAATGAAATGGGCAAAATATTACAAAAAAATCTTGATATGCATCAGTCGATTTCTTTTGTGTTTTTTTCCCAATATATATTGTCAAACATACTTTAAATATTGTAGTGAACAAATTTTGGCATTTTGTTATCCATAATTGTCATCTCGTTCGTGGTGGTCGAGTAGCCCAGTGGTTAAAGCGTTCGCTCGTCACGTCGATTCGGGTTCGATTCCCGACATGGGTACAAAGTGTCCTCGCCGTTATATTGCTGGAATATTGCTGAAAGCGGCGTAAAACTATACTCACTCATCTCATTCATTGGCAATAACTACCGACACTTATCGAGAGAGAAATGTCTTTTCTGCAAATATCAGCTTCTCCGCTTTGACGAGGTCGTCAAATCAGCTGTTGCGATTTAATACCACTGATTGACCAATCAGAATCGAGTAACTTCAAATTCATGCTAATGCCGAGAAAGTCCTTAAGTTCATTAATGCCTTTATTTTTAGAATTAACGTGATAACAACGTATACCTACACTCAAAGTAGTTACACAACTAATTGTGGATTCCTTTGGCTTGGTCGATGTACCAGATACAGGTGAGGATATTTCACAGTCATACCTTTTAAGCATACATTCTATTTAAAAGGCATCATTTGTGTACATCATGCATGTTATTTGTAATTGTGACACAAGTCATTTGGAAAAGTTTAAGCGTAACTTTGCCATTAAAAGATTGTGTACGTGGATATGACTATGAAGGAAGAAATTGTAACAGGTATGCATGTGTATACATATATATATATATATATATATATATATATATATACATACACACACACATATACATATACATATACATATATATATATATATATATATATATATATATATATATATATACCTGTTATAGATATATACTCTTTAAAAAAAGAAACGCAATACGGATATTTCTGGCCATAAAAGCAACATAAGCGGACAAAGAAGTGCACAATGAAGAGGTTTAATGTGTTATAGTGTCATTGACAAATGAACGGTATTAAAGTGAAAGGATTTTGATTGCCTGGCATCTGCGTCAATCGAACAGTGACAGTTCAACAACATGTCAAGATCAAGATTAACAGTGCAAAGAGACAACGTCATAGGCCGCTTGCAGGCAGGGGAATCCCGATCGGCTGTAGCTGGGTTTCCAATGTAGCGTCCAGCATCATCACAAGGCTATGGGGTCGGTTTCAACAGCATGGGTCAACACGTGATCGGCCAAGGTCGGGACGACCAAGCGTAACCACCCCGCCCAAGATCGCTACATCCGACTGCGCCACCTACGTGAAAGGACGACCACAGCCACCTCAACTGCATCCCAAATACCCGGACTGCGCAGAATCTCAGACCAGGCGGTACGAAACCGTTTGAGAGCAGCAGGTCTACGAGCAAGACGACGCGTCAACAACGACTGCATTGGTGTCGTCAACACAGGATATGGCCTCAACTGCGATGGAGAGATGTCTGGTTCAGCGACGAATCAAGATATTTTCCTAAGTCGAGGGAATGGAAGAGTACGGGTCTACATACGTCGAGGAGAACGTAAAGCCGGAAACTGCGTACAGGAAGTGGACAGGTTTGGTGGGGGTAGCGTTATGATGTGGGCGGATATCTCTCATCATGGCAGGACAGGTTTGGTCCATATCAGGGCAATATTACGCCTCAACGATACATCAACGAACTTCTCCTACCACACGTCCTCCTAATTGCAGCCAACGACAACGGTGTATTCCAACAGGACAACGCTCGCCCGCATACAGCACGGATCACAAGAGCCTGTCCACACAACACAAGGTTGATGTTCTCCCCTGGCCCTCCAGATCCCCGGATTTGAACCCGATGGAGCACCAGTGGGATGAATTGGATAGACGGATACCCCGACGTAAACCACAATCCAAGACGTTGCAGCAGTTGGCTTTTGCGTTGCAGGCCGCGTGGGCTGCCATTCCCCAGGATGTTATTCGCACACTTGTCTCTTCCATGGGCAAGAGATGTCCGGCCGCTACATCTCCTGCCCGCTATCGATTTCAACGTGGGACATACGCGTTATTGATGGTAGCTGACCTTCACCTTGGACCTATGTAACTTCACCTATGTACTGATAACTGAGATGACTACAATCACCAAGCGTTCTCTCCACAACATTTTGGCTCAATACCTTGTACGGTTTCTCGTATAAATGTATTCTCCTACCTCACACAAATCTGGCTTTGCGTTTCTTTTTTTGAAGAGTATAACTGTCACTAAGTCAGAACAATGAAATATTGTATGTATCTTACACAAACGAAAGGTTTAACGACTGTTATTTTGTTTGTTTGTTTATTGTTCAACGCCGCATTCAGCAATATTCCAGCCATATGACGATCGTCTGTATATAATCGCGTCTGGACCAGACAATCTAGTCGAGAGCATCGATCCATACTAATTGGGATACGATGACATGCATCAACCGACCACCCGATCCCGTTAGTCGCCTCTTACGACAAACATAGTCGCCTTTTACGGCAAGCATGGATTGCTGATTGTACAATTATTGCAATGGTCTATAGAACAACCGATATTAATGTATTCGTAACGTAAAATACAAATTTACAACAAACGAAATCATATATAGGATATATGTAGATTTAACACGATTTCATTCCAGTCGACAGTCCAGGTGGACTTCCAGATGCAAGACAGGGTATCGATCAGAGGATAATATAGGATGCCCATACAGTGAGTTCTGTCTTCTGTTCTGAAACACTACAAAGCTTATCGTCATTAACTTGTCATACATAGTACTAGCACTGACAAATACACTTTCACATTTGTCCAACACTCACTCAATTGTCCACAAAATCCCTGAACGTACTTGAGTAAGGCAACTGTTTTATATCTACATGTTATAAGGATAAAATGCCAATAAGTCAGGGGCGGTGAGGTAGCCTAGTGGTTAAAGCGTTCGCTCGTCACGGCGAAGACCCGGGTTCGATTCCCGACATGGGTACAATGTGTGAAGCCCATTTCTGGTGTCCCCCGCCGTGATATTGGTGGAATATTGCTAAAAGCGGCATAAAACCATACTCACTCACGCACCCAATAAGTCATTGAGCATATCTTGTTTTACGCCACAGTAAGAAACAAATTCATTCAAATCACGGCGAACTATAATAGTTAACTCTTTCTGGACTTGGTAGACGAATGGTTTACCAAGATTTCAAACAGCGTCACGCGACTCTTATTCAGAATTTGTTTGATCAAGGTTACAGGTGAGGTGAAATTGGGTTTAACGTCGCGTCCAAGATTATTGCACTTATATAGCGACGTGCATGCATGTGTGTGTGTGTGTGGCTGCTTGTACTAGTCCGGACTGATGACGATTTAAAGTGCTAGCCCACTGAGATACAATGCCGCAGTTAAGCATGAATACCCCACTAGGACTCCGAGCCGACCAGTCCTTGTTTTAGCCCCTTAATGCCGAGCGCCAGACAGGGTAACAACAAGTACCATCTTTTAACGTCTTTTGGTATGACGCGGCCGGGGATCGAACCCCGGACCTTCCGCTCTCCGGGCGGACGCTCTACCAATAGACCACGGAGGCGGTACGATCAAGGTCCGTAAAGCTTTCACTATGTTTTATGGTAGACATGTGGAGGACATTTCCATATTTGACGCATCAGTGACAAAAATGACGTCGCAAATTCCTATTTTGACTTGTACCATATGTTCTCATGCTTTTTCATGTGAATAATTGACTTGCCTTGCATGCGTTTGTGACGGGTGCCACCGATGGGGCAGGATACACTCACCTTTTCACGAACACCTGGTATCATTAATATTTGATAGTGATTCATAAACCCATGCTCATGATAGGGTCGGAATCGTACAATCGATATTGCTTTATGCAGATATTTCTATTGGATATGGAAAGGGTTTTGTCGCTTTATTTAGAGAAGAGCACAGTCATGAACTGCGATGTCAGGGGACCGTGACTCCCAATGAGTGAGTGAGTGAGTTTGGTTTTACGCCGCTTTTAGCAATATTCCAGCAATATCATGGCGGGGGACACCAGAAATGGGCTTCACACATTGTACCCATGTCGGGAATCGAACCCGGGTCTTCGGCGTGACGAGCGAACGCTTTTACCACTCGGCTACCCGACCGCCCCGACTCCCAATGAACCGGGTCACACATTACGTTTGTCAACCACCAGACAAGGCGTTGCAAGGACCTCCCAACAAAAGAACAATCTATTATACTTGGATGCAGCGAAGTAATGATTTAACCAACCGGACTTTGGCCCTCACACAGAAGAGTGAGCCCGGCTTCCGGTGACACCAGTGGTTGTCATCATCATCTGTAACAGAGTTGGACAACGGCATGACTTCCTTCTTGTGTCCGATGAATGCTAAACTTAAGTCCGTCCACGCGTGGATTCCTAATTAGATACGGATATAGTGAAAGCAGGCCTCATTTATAATATGTACATCCGGTTATTAGATCTATTGTGTTCCTTGTAAGGATAGGGACATCACAAAATAGTGTCAGTTTGTTGATTTAAGCAAGTCAGCTCTGGGTCATGGCACTATGCCATTATTTTATTCTGGCCCAGATAAACCAGTGGCTGATGTCATGATCAACAAATTACGTCGTCGTTTTGTTTGTTTGTTGTTTAACGCCTCACTCATCAATATTCCAGCTAAATGACGGCGGTCTGTAAATAATGGACCAGACAATCTAGTGATTGACATCATGAGCATCGATCCACGCAAATTAGATACGATGACATGCATCAACCAAGTCAGCGAGCCTGACCACCCGATCCCGTTAGTCACCTTTTACGATAAGCATGGTCGCCCTTTACGGCAAACATGGGTTGCTGAGGACCTATTCTACCTCGGATCTTCACGGGTCCTTACGTCTTTGTGGTACGATGACACATAATCAGTCCAATCACAGAGCCTGAAAACCCGATCCAAATGTAAGTCGGCTCTATAACAAGCATGATATGCCCGGGCCTTAATCTAAAAAAGAAATACCACACCACCCACAAGTGACATCAATGTGAAGAGTGTGATAGTAACGACCAGTCTGTTTCAGCTCAGTGTCTTAAAGGTTAAACCACGTAACATTAGATGTGCTTCTACCAAAGTCTTTTCTTGCCCACTGATAAGAAGAGGTGACAATATGGCCAATATTTTCTTGACCGAGATAATGTTAAGGAATTTCCTTATTCATACAGTTTTGTGATGTTTGTGATAAATCATTGCGGTGCATTCAACTAACTATCCAACAAAATGTTTCGGATACAAGCGTCACTTCTTACAAGAAACAGTGATTGATGAATGAAGATAAATGTTAAAACTGGAGGTTAAAATCTATTCATTTTCATTTTATCTGAAGTTACATGTAACTGTTATCATACAAAAGTTATCACGATAAGAGTTAAGAAGCTAACTACGGAAGCTTTTTAGGGCCATTCTTTTCTTAAAATTTCAAGATACTTACTTGAAATTTCAAGATGCAATGCTGTTTTTTATAACAGATACCTGCTAAGTTGAAATTCCAAGATAAGTTGAAATATTAAGATAATAACTTGAAATTTCAACTTAGTATCTTGAAATTTCAAGATACCAAGTTGAAATTTCAAGATACCTAAGCTGAATTTTCAAGATAATGATCTTGAAATTTCCAGATCATTATCTTGAAAATTCATCTTATGTATCATGAAAACTCAAGGAAAAAACAACCCCCAAAAACAAATGACCCTAAAAGGCTTCCGTAGCTAACAGTCATAACCAGCACAAAACAAACGTGAAAAATGGTAACGAATCGTGGACACACATCTGAGTATCACAACTTATCTTTTGAGTGGTGTTCCAGGCGTGTACTTGTGTCAGAATGATCAATGATATCTGTCCAATTTGCAAATGTAATTTGTTACTTGTTGTTACTGTCACAGTCATGATCTTGGTCTGCGTGACACTGTGTCGTCCTACCTCAAATGGCTGACTTTTCGGTAGTTTTACTGCTCCATTCCTGGAGAACGGAAGTGTCTGGAATGGTATAATAATTGCATTCTTCCTGCTGTATGTCCCTTGAAGCGAGTGTTCATTAATTGATCTGTGGTCAATCATTGATGCTTTGCCCTGACTCTTGAAGCCAGTGTTCATTGTCTGATCTATGGTCAAGCATTGCCCAGACTCTTGAAGCGAGTGTTCATTGACTGATCTGTGGTCAATCATTGCCCAGACTCTTGAAGCGAGTGTTCGTTGACTGATCTATGGTCAAGCATTGCCCAGACTCTTGAAGCGAGTGTTCGTTGACTGATCTATGGTCAATCATTGACTGATCTATGGTCAAGCATTGCCCAGACTCTTGGAGCGAGTGTTTATTGACTGATCTATGGTCAATCATTGATGCTTTGCCCAGACTCTTGAAGCGAGTGTTCATTGACTGATCTATGGTCAAGCATTGCCCAGACTCTTGAAGCGAGTGTTCATTGACTGATCTGTGGTCAATCATTGATGCTTTGCCCAGACGCTTGAAGCGAGTGTTCATTTACTGATCTATGGTCAATCATTGCCCAGACTCTTGAAGCGAGTGTTCATTGACTGTTCTATGGTCAAGCATTGATGCTTTGCCCTGACTCTTGAAGCGAGTGTTCATTGACTGATCTATGGTCAAGCATTGATGCTTTGCCCAGACTCTTGAAGCGAGTGTTCGTTGACTGATCTATGGTCAAGCATTGATGCTTTGCCCAGCCTCTTGAAGCGAGTGTTCGTTGACTGATTCTTTGTTCCAAACCCGGGGGAGCAGTAGAGTGGTTTCGCTTGTTCCGCCTTCGGCTGTTTTGATGAACTTGTCATCACCGGACAATTGTAAAGCAAAAGAATCAACACATTTATCCATTAACAGCAACAACCACTATTCACAATATCTACATCTGTGCAGGTACAATAAAACAGTATGTCTAGTGTACATTGATAGAAGCTTGTACACCACATGGGATGTACTGCAATACAGTAAACTACGGTTATAACGAACACGCTTATAACGAACTGACGGATATAACGAACTTATTTATTGGTCCCGACTATTTGCTGTAGTTATGCTGTATATATGCTTATAACGAACTACGGTTATAACGAACTAAAATTACTAGTCCCTTTGAGTTCGTTATAACCGTAGTTTACTGTACTTCCTTTTTGACTAGAATACCGCACTTATGTTAATATTTTTCGAGCAGTGTTCTCATGAACTGTGATCATATATTGCCCCTCTTCAGAGTGCACTGCCATCAGCAACTGTCAAACAGAACAATGTACCAGTAATCGAGACCAGGTGTGCACACGCTGTGATGGGGTCGTGTCTCACGAACCGGGGCAAAGAGCATATCTCCTTACCACAAACAAGAAAGCATGTACAAGTAAGTTTCAAGTCAATCGGGATGAAGCGATGTAAATACAGTAAACTACGGTTATAACGAACACGCTTATAGCAAACTGACGGATATAACGAACTAACTTTTTGGTCCCTAAAATTTGCTGTAGTTATGCTGTATATATGCTTATAACGAACTACGGTTATAACGAACTAAAATTAGTGGTCCCTTTGAGTTCGTTATAACCGTAGTTTACTGTATATTAATTCCAAACAAACAAAGTGAAAATGCTTGTTCCATGTTGCTAAATTTGTATGCTGCCATTCTGCTTATTTACGAATAGCACATCAAACTCCCTCAGTCGTTATTATCTCCTTTTTACCTTCCTTGCCCCGTTTAAATGTGGAATTGTTTCCATGGATTTATCATTTTGTCTGAAATATAGTTTGCAGTTAGCACAAATGCATTGTTCCATTTCCAGAAACCTGTTCTTGGCGTAATGACAGCACCAGGTGTTATCCAGGAACATGCAGGGGCGAGTATGCCAGTAACTGTTCCTGCTCAAGTGGCTTCACTGGACAACACTGCCAGACAAGTAAGCTTCTAACTTGATCAAAGGGAGATATTTATAGGTGCGATCGCAGTGCATAAGACGTAACCGTATATTTGTACATTCTAGTTCTACATTCCTTCTTGTTCTGTTGCAGCCCTTGGGCACGCCAGAAATCTATGGTTGTTGGTTCGAATCCCGGTTCGCCCCGATTATGTTTCTAGGTTTGTCAGCACCATACCCGTGCTCGTGGGTTTCACCGAAGTGGTAAACGTCTGAGACTGGCATCACTTCGAGCTTTCCTGATGTAACTGGAATACTGTTAAAAGCGGCGTTAAACCCAACTCACTCACTCACTTCTTGTTATGTCATCACAAGGATTGTGTGCATTCTGTGCTTTTTATTACTTGACCTTCTAGTTACAACGAAACCCGCAATAAAGTTGAACCTGTTTCGCCTGACTGCCAGCAATGGGGACACGGCCCAAGCACCTCCCAGCATCAACAGTGGCCCATCGCAGTCCAGCAGCTGGTCCAACATATAGTCTCCAGCAATAATGTACTACAAGTTTACGGCAGAATACAAAATGACACCTCCATCCAGACATGCCTTCATTGAAGGCTTCAGTGCGGGCATTGTCAGCGTTTATGCATCCTTCAAACTTAAAAGAAGTAAGTCATTACCTACCATTCTAAATATCAAGAACATACCCATTACAGTAGTTGAGTCATGCTGCAATAATACATTAACAGGTACAGGTTGACTTATTGTTCCCGTTTGTCTTCCAGGGTGGCGTGTGGTCTCAACCAAGGGATACAACTGTGGGGGAGCAAGCAGAAGCAGCCCAGACACAGACCTGTACACGTGTGAAGGGGCGCCTCTCCTACCTCTACCCTTCCAACACAGAGATATGTGAGAGAACAAATTACTAGTATTTAGCCACAAACAGGGGCTACTGTAGAAGAGATGCATATTGGGGGGTTATCACACTTGAGTGAGTGAGTGAGTGAGTTGGGTTTAACGCCGCTTTTTTACAGAGTTCCAGTTATGGCGTGTCAGCTTAATGTGGGAGGAAAGCCTGAAGTGATGCAGGTCTCAGACGTTTACCACTTCGGTGAAACCAACGAGCACGGGTATGGTGCTGACAAACCTAGAAACATAATAGGGGCAAGCCGGGATTCGAACCAACAATCATAGGTTTATGGCCTGCCCAAAGGACGCAACTCTGCACAGCGAATCGCGGCGCCTTAGACGACTGGGCCACCCGTGCCCCCCTTATCACACTTGAGGATAAGGTGATTGATGTGGGGTCTAGAATACGGTAAAGTCAATCACATATGAAAGTTACGTTTCCGAATCGAAATGTAAAAAAAGAAGTAGAGATTGTTGGGCAGGCCTCTATATATCACTTGGCAGCATAATTGTCTTCAATGAATGAATATGTTTCTTCCACAGTATTGAGTTTTCCTATAAGGCCAGTAATGGAGGATATGTTAAAGTACGGAACAAGGAGACAAAGAACCTAGTGACCCACTACTACAGCGGAGCCACACAGACCCGCACCTTTACAATGACCATTGACCTGGTGGCTCCCTATCACTGTACTGGTACTACTGCCTGTATCAGCAGCATGTTGACAGCTCCCAATGTCATCACTACAGTACGTATTCCACAGTGTTACTTAAGTTACAGTAAACTACGGTTATAACGAACTCAAAGGGACTACTTATTTTAGTTCGTTATAACCATAATTCGTTATAAGCATATATACAGCATAACTACAGCAAATAGTCGGGACTAAAAAGTTAGTACGTTATATCCGTCAGTTCGTTATAAGCGTGTTCTTTATAACCGTAGTTTACTTACAACCTTCTTTTTGTCTGTTTGCATTCGTAAATATATATTCCATCATTCTTTCAGCCAACAGTGAATCTACGCTGGAGTGGCTGGTCAGATGCCGCTGCAGGTGTTGACCACTTTGTGAGGGACGTGTATGAACTCTACGTTGTTGGAGATGTACTCAGAGATAAACGCCGGATTGCCAGGAAGACGTTTACAAGCTCTGTGGGGAGTTCTGTATATGTAGGTTGTTTTGAATCTGATGAATGAATTGTTAGCGCTTCGTCAATATGGCGGTAGTAGCATGCCATATGTCAGTGACTAATCGCTTAATTTCTCACATCTTTAACGTGTTGTTGATTTTTAATAAGAGCAGTTTTATACCGATGGGGCCCCAATTGTACCGCCTGACGCGCCACACTCCGTGTTGCATCCCTCAGTTGTTTGTTTGTTTGTTTGTTTGTTTGTTGTTTAACAATATTTCAGTTATAGGATCGCGGTTAATAATCGTGTCGGACCAGACAATCCAGTGATTGAAAACATGAGCATCGATCCGCGCAATTGGGATACGATGACATGAACAATATTTCAGTTATAGGATCGCGGTTAATAATCGTGTCGGACCAGACAATCCAGTGATTGAAAACATGAGCATCGATCCGCGCAATTGGGATACGATGACATGAACAATATTTCAGTTATAGGATCGCGGTTAATAATCGTGTCGGACCAGACAATCCAGTGATTGAAAACATGAGCATCGATCCGCGCAATTGGGATACGATGACATGAACAATATTTCAGTTATAGGATCGCGGTTAATAATCGTGTCGGACCAGACAATCCAGTGATTGAAAACATGAGCATCGATCCGCGCAATTGGGATACGATGACATGAACAATATTTCAGTTATAGGATCGCGGTTAATAATCGTGTCGGACCAGACAATCCAGTGATTGAAAACATGAGCATCGATCCGCGCAATTGGGATACGATGACATGAACAATATTTCAGTTATAGGATCGCGGTTAATAATCGTGTCGGACCAGACAATCCAGTGATTGAAAACATGAGCATCGATCCGCGCAATTGGGATACGATGACATGAACAATATTTCAGTTATAAGATCGCGGTTAATAATCGTGTCGGACCAGACAATCCAGTGATTGAAAACATGAGCATCGATCCGCGCAATTGGGATACGATGACATGAACAATATTTCAGTTATAGGATCGCGGTTAATAATCGTGTCGGACCAGACAATCCAGTGATTGAAAACATGAGCATCGATCCGCGCAATTGGGATACGATGACATGAACAATATTTCAGTTATAGGATCGCGGTTAATAATCGTGTCGGACTAGACAATCCAGTGATTGAAAACATGAGCATCGATCCGCGCAATTGGGATACGATGCCATGCATCAACCAAGTAAGCAGGCTGACCACCAGATCCCGTTAGTCGCCTCTTTCGACAAGCATAGTCACCTTTTACGGAAAGTATGTGTTGCTGAAGACCTATTCTACCCCGGATCTTTACGGGTTCTCTCAACTGTACCAGAATCGGATGATCGTTGGCTTCAACCCCAGAATTTACCTCATTATAATTTTTCGTTTGGCAGCACATTCATTCCTTTTAAAGCCCGAAGAATTGTTTAAAACAGCATTGAACGCAACCCATTCACTCACTGGTTTGTCCATATAAAGATGCAGAATGATTTATTGTACGTGTTTTTCAGACTGACTGGCATCTTATTTCAGACAACCGACAAGTTCAGACTGTTGACATCCGGGGTTTACTCTGTTGTCCTGTCTGCCTATGACAAGGCAGGTAATCACAGGAGTGCCAGACGTATCCTGATATATGATGGCACTTCGTCTGTAACCACTCAGGCTAATAAAAAACTCCGTGTGACGACAGCAGCATCAGCAACGTCAGAGTGGCAAACGACATCATCAGCAGTGACAGTGGACTGGACCAACAGATACATCAACACAGTGCATCACAACAAGAAGTGGCTCCAGAGCGTGGCTCCTCTTGCTGACATCGGCTCTGGCTATGATGACAAGGAAGGAAGCAGAGGTGTAGATGAAGTCAGAAATGTTCAAGGTATGTGGGATACTAGTATTCGAGGCATGTCAGCTGGCATGTGGTTCGCTTAGGTGATCCATTAAAATTTTAATTTGAGAGAGAATCATACTGTCCCTTAGCCAATACTAATTACAGGTTTTCCCTTAATAAAAGCGAATTATCAAAATGATGATTTCATTGGCTGTCAAGAAGTTTCGTTGCCAAATTGTGGTTTTAGCCCGAATAACAAAGGACGAGTAACAGTGGACGGTAATTGCCCGGATCTTTTTGGTTGTCAAGTTATATAAATAAAGATGGCGTTTTTACCACGTTTTCTGTCTTGCCTATGCACTGGTGATACAGTAAACAACGGATATAACGAACTCAAAGGCAGCTCTAATTCTTGTTGGTTATAACCGTAGTTCGTAATAAGCATGTATACAGCCAAATGCCGGGACCAAAAAAGACAGGTCGTTATATCCGTCAGTGCGTTATAACCGTGTTCGTTATAGTGAGTGAGTATGGTTTTACGCCGCTTTTAGCAATATTCCAGCAATATCACGGCTTCACACATTGTACCCACGTCGGGAATCGAACCCGGGTCTTCGGCGTGACGAGCGATTGCTTTAACCACTAGGCTACCCGACCGCCCCGTGTTCGTTATAAACGTGGTTTACAGCCAGAGCAAATTTATAATGTTAAATTGGATTTTTTTAACCTAGGTATCACAAGCTTCCGCACTTCTTACAAAGTCGACCATAAAGGAGGATCGTCCATCACCAGCCCACCAGCGGTGTTCACCATTCAAGGTCTGAGTCAGTCACAAACTATAACACCCTCTCTTGTGGATGGGGACACTGTGCGCTTCTGGGTGCGAGCCTATGATATCATGTCGGACACGAAAGAAGAGAGTGTGACAGTCCACATCGACACATCACCCCCAGTCATAGAGAACCTGTGGCTCACCAGAAACGGCAGCCTCAACATCAGCGTACATGGTGTGAAGGAACTCAATGATGTCATGTAAGAATGGTTATTGTAGTTTCACCCATGTGCAATTTGTCACTTCAGTTGTTAATTTTAATCTTTAAACAACAGGGACCCGTTCTACAAAGCGATCTTAGCGCTACGACTGTCGTTAGTCTGTGTTGAAGAATGGGAGTTACGATCGACTTAGCGCTAAGATCGCTCTGTGGAACGGGGACCTGCACAATAAAAATTGACGGTTTGGGAGGTTTTACCATTGTGTTAAAACAAAAAGGTGGGAAAACTCATGTTATATCAAGAAATAATTGTATTCCTGTACCCTACCTTAGATTGATATTGAAACAGTTTATCTACCAAGCATATCTATCTGATCCTAGAATGGAGTGGAATTTGTACGATGGGCACAGTGGAGTTGAGGCGGTGGAATGGAGAATCGTAGAAAAACGACAAGATGAAGACATGGTGCTGGCTGTTCATGGCATTTCTATTAAAAGCTATCTTGTATGTCACTCTTTTCTGTTGGTATCCGGAATAAGGTTGTCAATGATAAAATGACATAAGAAAATGACATTTATGACAAAGTTCAACTAACCTTGCCCCACAACTGTTGGTACTCTTAGCGTGTGTAGGGGCGGTCGGGTGGCCTAGTGGTTAAAGCGTTCGCTCGTCACGCCGAAGACCCGGGTTCGATTCCCGACATGGGTACAATGTGTGAAGCCCATTTCTGGTGTCCCCCGCCGTGATATTGCTGGAATATTGCTAAAAGCGGCGTAAAACCATACTCACTCACTCACTCACTTAGCGTGTGTATTTCGAACAAACAAATGTTTGTATTTGGAACTCAATATGAACTAATAAATATAATGAAATGATAACATATTTGATGTTTGAATGATGATTTCAGACTATGGGTGCCTGCAACACAATATCTGGCACAAGGGATGGTGGCTGTTATTGTACGCCCCATGGGAGATGCTATCATCCCCACTTCCAAGTGAAACCCTCCCCTGCCGACATAAAGAAAGTCAAGGTCAAGTTCGCTGATGGAAAGGAATACTGTTTCCAGGTCAAGGCTACAAATCATGCTAAACTGAAAACTGAACAGGAAGTCAAGGTAAATGGCTAACAAAGTTCTTAAACGAAGTACACCTTTAATTGAATTGCTTGTATACCCCAGTAGCCATAGCTGAAATGATGCATGTCACGGTTCTGTACTCACGATGCCGCAGCCTGCAGTAGAGTAGCGCTTCACTAACAGTGAGTGAGTATGGTTTTACGCCGCTTTTAGCAATGATATCATATCACGGCGGGGGACACCAGAAATGGGCTTCACACATTGTACCCATGTCGGGAATCGAACCCGGGTCTTCGGCGTGACGAGCGAACGCTTTAACCACTAGGCTACCCGACCGCCCCCTTCACTAACAGAGGAACCGACTCGTTATTGTCACAAAGGTCATCAATAGCGCACGCACTTGGGACATTGAGGAAAAACAAATAGACAGACCGATTGCATCAAGGGGCATTGACAAAGATAAACTGATAAACACTAAGCAAAAAAAAAAGGTGAAGCTTTAAGGCTTTTAGTAAGCGGTTACAAGTTGAACTCAAACTGACACAGGTGTTAAATCTAACACAGCTATACAATTGCCATGATGTCAGTCCAACCAGGTTTCACAGACAGTGCCTCAAACTACCTGTTACGTAGACAGCTGCTGTCTTCACAGACTCTAGCGGGGCGGTCGGGTAGCCTAGTGGTTAAAGCGTTCGCTCGTCACGCCGAAGACCCGGGTTCGATTCCCGACATGGGTACAATGTGTGAAGCCCATTTCTGGTGTCCCCCGCCGTGATATTGCTGGAATATTGCTAAAAGCGGCGTAAAACCATACTCACTCACTCACTCACTCACTCACAGACTCTAGCCTTTGATCTTGAATAGGGACACGTGCGAACTGATGTTCAGGAGTCGAAATAAACTTTTATAGCTGAGATGCGACAAGGCGCGGACGTCCGAGTAGGCCCCTTTGCTCCGAGTATCTTTCACCCCGAGCCAAGACTGTTAAGTGTGTTTGTAAAGAAACTTCAATCCGGTAATTAATACGGATTAGCATTTACACTAAAAGGAGTAATAATACCATCATGATAAGGTGCACAAAGAGAGGTTCAAATCTAATTTATAGCCATGCATCGGCCACTGTTTTAAGGTTAATGAAATTCGTCATACATGTAGCATAGCAGTAGGTTGGGTTTGTTATTTTTTTGGTATTTTGAATTTATATGATTTGTCTTTTGACCATGCTCTTAGGTTCTCTGAAAATGCATTCTTGGCTATGTAAGCTTATCTTCCTATGAGCATGATAGGCTGATGAAAATGGACCTTTAACTATTTTATTTAGATCACAATAGATGCGAGCCCCCCTCGTTCTGGCATTGTCCACGATGGTCAGTCTGGACAACCGGAAGTGGACTACCAAGACAGCCTACAGCTCCATGCCCACTGGGACGGGTTCTTTGACAGGGAGAGCGCAATCTCCTTTTATCAGTACACCTTCGGCCCCAGATGTTTACAGGGAGACCTGTTTGACCTTAATCAAACCAAAAACGTCAGTCCTTCATTGTTTGATTGTAACAATGGTAGCTATAAAAATACAGTCAACATATAAAATATTCTAGCTATTTTATGAAAATCGTTCAATGTAGTACATTTATTGTAATGAAAATATATACTTTTGCATTAACATGTCAGCGATAATGGTATACAGCGGAAATTTATATGGTGTTATTTTTCTAACGGCAGATGGAATCAACACGCTCTACCGAGGTCTCATGGACAGCACCTTCTTGTGGAACGTTTTATGTAACGGTTGTTGCTTATAATGGAGCTCAGCAGAGAAGCGATGCCGTCTGTTCTGATGGAGTGGAGACGTGTAACCCCACTCCTGTCCTCAGTGAACCCAGTAAATCCGAAGGTATGTCAAACCTGATCTCTCTGCAGTCTATTTTCCAATTCCTTGAGGTCAAGACTTCTGTTATTATTGGTAGCTCGCCTGGCTGAATGTCAATGAGCGTATGCCATGGCCTGATTGTCCGTGGTCTGTCAGTTTTCAAGCTGGCAGCAATTATCTAAACAGCTTATTCATAAATGTTATAAGATGATCATACACAGCTAAAATTTAGGTGAAACAGATAATGAATATTCCTACATTCACGACTGTTCAGGGTATCGCGATCGATCTTCACTCTTAGTGCCGAAGACGATGCTTAAATTTTTTTCTTAATTTAGTTTTTGCACCATATGCAATTTAATTCAACAAAGATGTCTGCATCCATAAGAGGGTTTTTTCAGTTGAATGTGTATCAAATACATAATTCACTGTTAACACAAGTATTTTCTTCAGAAAACAAATTATGAAGAAAGTGGAAACTTTGTGCGAAATTGATAAATACTTCCTTGAAACTTTCACTAGAATGATGATCATTCAAAGCGTGTGTAGATAATTTGTTGTGTTTGGAACTATGAATCGATTTTCAAAAGGAGGCTTTTTCAATGAAAGTTCAATGGTTTAAACAGGATGGAACCTTAAAAAAATATTGTTCACAGTATTTCTTGATTGTTCATAGAAAACGTCGGCTTTTCTTTACGGATATGGTTGCAATTATTTTCTATTAGCAGTGTTAAGCTCATCCAACATAATGATAAAATGAAGGCAAGAAGTGAAATGTATTATGCCAAACATACTCAATGTCAAACCAATCAACAATCAAGAAATGTAACGCCAATTAGGCATGAGAGAATAATTGTTGTGATCTTGACTGCGTGAATTCATGATAAGAATATTGTGTGACAATCGAATAAAATACCAGGTCAAGGTATTCAACGTCACTCATTTTCCTTCAGGTAATCCATTGGTCGGAAAAACCCTTGTACTGATTCTGTCGGGGACTGGGTCCGCCGTGGTTGCAGTTGCTGGCATCATCGTTGGAGTTGTTGTCTGGAAGAGGAAACAAAGGTTTTCTGTTCTCCTGAAATGCATGTCATAAACCTTGACCTGTCTACTAATCGTATTTATCACATAATGGCTATTGACTCAATATAATGTGTTATCGACTTAGTCAACCAACCAGATACACCTTGTATCACGATCCGATACAGGTGCAAATGATGTCACATCGCAGGATCTACACTTAAAGGGCAAGTGTACACGCAAAAATCACTTTCTTTCTTTTTCTAAACAAAACGCAATTTTAGAATTAATTAGTATCTGTGTTTGAAAATATACACTCATTTTATTCACAGTGAAAGTAGGAAGCTCATAATAGTGTGAAAATGATATGCCGTTATGAGGCCTTCGTTTTTCGAGCTAAACAGGCCTGAGTTATCCCCCTTAGATTATGACGTAATTGGTGCCAATTCAACTGGGTCCCTGTCTATTCTCAACGCAAAAAATATCAAGTACCAGTTTGCGGTAAAACTACATGGCCTACGACACACTCCGGCGCAGTGGTGACTCAGCATAACACTATGCTGGCTGGCATCTGAGACGCTAGAATCACACACCTAGACCTACACCACGTGAAGCGGCTCTAACAAAGCATGATGACGTCATAATGTTTATCAATTGGCACCAATGACGTCATATTGCAAGGGGCATAAGCCATGGTGTTTTTGTTGTGGAAATAGAACACTTGGTAAATGTGAAAATATAAATCGTTTAATGCGAAAAATATGTTAATTAATTGTGATATTTTTATATTTTTGTCTATGACACTTCTAGGTTAACACTTTTAATGTGGAAAAAGTACAAGAAAAATAGGTTAATTTCCGTGTGAACTTGCCCTTTAAGCTCCAAACAACGATGCAATGTGTGCATCGACTAAAGGTGAGGTGAGGTGAAATGGTGTTTAACGTCGCGTCCAAGATCATTGCACTTATATAGCGACGTGCATGCACGTGTATGTACGTGTGTGTGGCTGCTTGTACTAGTCCGGACTGATGCCGATTTATAGTGCTAGCTCACTGAGATACCACGCCGCAGTTTAACATGAATACCCCACTCAGACACAGTATACTGACTCCGAGCCGACCAGTCCTTGTTTTAGCCCCTTAATGCCGAGCGCCAGACAGGGTAACAACAAGTACCATCTTTTAACGTCTTTTGGTATGACGCGGTCAGGGATCGAACCCCGGACCTTCCGCTCTCCGGGCGGACGCTCTACCACTAGACCACGGAGGCGGTCGCATCGACTAAAGCCCCTAATAGGTTAGCTATGGGTTTCACGTTGTATTGGTGATTTTGAAGACAAACGTGGCTGCAAATCATTGACAAATAGATGATAAAAGGGCGGTTCATTCAGTTGTCGTCATATAGGGTTTCCACAGCTACTTCTTTGAGCGAAATTACCTCCGAAAAATTGGACAAACTTTTCTAAGAATGACATTATTGAACCCATGTGAGGAATCGAACCCGGGTCTTCTGCGTGACGAGCTTTAACCACTAGGCTACCCGACCGCCCCTGTTTGTATCTACCCCTATCGCAAATCCTATACATTTGGGAATAACACAATCTTATTAATACATTTATATGTAAGTCAACGGTTTTATTGTGTGATGGCATCAGCTATGTGGGGCGGTCGGGTAGCCTAGTGGTTAAAGCGTTCGCTCGTCACGCCGAAGACCCGGGTTCGATTCCCGACATGGTTACAATGTGTGAAGCCCATTACTGGTGTCCCCCGCCGTGATATTGCTGGAATATTGCTAACAGCGGCGTAAAACCATACTCACTCAGTCATCAGCCATGTACAGAATTTCACGTTTGGTTACAGTGAAAGTTATGTAATGACAATATATAAAACAGACTGCTTTAAAAATTGACATGGTTCGTAAAAAGCATAATATAAAAAATACTGAGATAATCTTGTCAAATCTGTGTTTACAGTTGATGATAATGTTTAAATTTGTACATCTTAAATTAACACGATTACAAGAATGATCTGATCGATATTGTTTGTAAAGAGAGCAAAGGAAGACAAAAAGATATTCTTCTTATATTCGCTGTTTTACAAATCGGGCATACTGTGAAAGGAATATTAAATGTCAACCATCTACTGTCGTTAATCTAAGACCAGAGTTGAATTTTATTGGTATATTCCGGAATCTGCTGCAGTTTCATATCTCAGATACAATTCCAGCTTGTATCCGTATCAAAATAGACAAACATTTGATATATTGTTTCAAACAACTACAGTAAACTACGGTTTTAACGAACTCAAAGGGACTACTATTTTTAGTTCGTTATAACCGTAGTTCGTTATAAGTACATATTCAGCATGACTACAGCAAGTAGTCGGGACCAAAACGTAAGTTCGTTATATCCGTCAGTTCGTTATAAGCGTGTTCGTTATAACCGTAGTGTACTGTACAGGGTTCTTAACACGATACTTTAAAGTAAATTACACAATGCTTCCATTATAAGTGAGTGAGTGAGTATGGTTTTACGCCGCTTTTAGCAATATTCCAGCAATATCACGGCGGGGGACACCAGAAATGGGCTTCACACATTGTACCCATGTCGGGAATCGAACCCGGGTCTTCGGCGTGACGAGCGAACGCTTTAACCACTAGGCTACCCGACCGCCCCTCCATTATATTTGACCGTACGTTAACTAACTGAACATGACCATTGGGTGTAATTGCTGAAATGGTTAGTTCGAATCCAACTGACCATTTCCATGATTGGACAATAGTTCCTCGAGGTCTACCTTGAACATATTGATGTTTATTTATTACAGACGCCAACCGGAGAGTCCCGGCCAAGCTGTGTACTACAATACAGGGCTATCGAAAAAGGTTAAACCTAAAAAGACAAAACCTCGGACCAACAGAAGTAAACCTGAAGCCAGGACGTACGACACACTTGATGTCAACTCGCGCGACACAGGTCCTGGGGAAGAAGCATATTGTTCTATACAGACTCCTGGGGCGGACGATAATATCATGTATGAACCCATTGACAGTCAGATGTATTTGAACAGTTGCCTACCACCACGCGTGACGTCCGACACAACATCAAATGATTTATACGAAGAAATTTAAACACAGAGCGTGCGGCCTCACAAACATAACTCTCAAACTACCGTGGGGATTCCAGGGGTTAGATATGGAATACTGTAAGGGACGTTCTCGCGATCTCGCATTCTCGCGATCTCGACCTTTAGAAACGAGGTAAATATGCCCAAAACACGAGAATGCGAGATCGCGAGAACGCGAGATTTGGCCAAATTTTCGCGTTCTCGCGATCTCGCATTCTCGTGTTTTGGGCATATTTACCTCGTTTCTAAAGGTCGAGATCGCGAGAATGCGAGATCGCGAGAACGTCCCTTACAGTATTCCATAGTTAGAATAGTTTCCTAGCAACCTATAATTATATTAGGCACGGCCAAATGGATCGGGTGGTCAGGCTCGTCATTGAAACCCGGAGGCGTGGATCTCATTATGTCAATTACTGGATTGTCTGGCTCAGATTCGAGTATTTTCAGACCGCAGTCAAATACATGTCCATGTATCTGAAATATTTCTGAGTTCTTTACAGCAACTAGTATAGAACCATTAGTCTGTTTTGTTTAGTGCCTCATATCCCGACAGTCCTTATTTACAGCATCTCTAGCTAAAAGGAACCAGAATTTCTATAAATACGTGCGCCCGCATGATTTAATTTTATCATCACGCACTGGAAATTAATGCCAAAAAATCCTTTTTCGTAAACGCAGTCCTCTCTATTTTGTCGGTGTTCGAAAAAGGGAAGCAACTCTTCCTATGTGTTCATTTTTATTGTTTTGCAAGTTCTCCTTTTTTCTGGTTAAACGGCAACTGTTGCACTACAATATACAACAATAACTATGAACTGAGTTACGGAGAAATACACATTTGGCAAATGCTCAAAATTACTAACCACTTTTTGACACTTGAAACCAAAACTTCAATGTGAAACATTCTTACACATAATTTGACACACAATAGTCGTATTCTCAACAACAAAATGGCTTCAAGTTTTCAAAAACAAACAATATTTTTTCTGCATGTAGTATATTCTGCCTGTTAGTATCTGTTAACCAAAGTATGGATAGTCACATGTTTGTAATAGTATTATCATAGCCCATTGCTCAATCAGTACCTGGTATATACTCAACTATTGTGTAGACCATCATCAATCATGATAACATCCCCCTCCCCCCTCTCCACCTCAAGGGACACTTTGTTCCTCACATTTGTTTTATTGTTATATTGTTACCCCAGTCAACTCTTTGTCGTCACACCCATTCCAGTCACTCTATTTCCGGCCCGTAAAGATCCGGGGTAGAAAAGGTCTTCGGCGCCAATGCTTGCCGTAAAAGGCGACTATGCTTGTCGTAAGAGGCGACTAACGGGATCGGGTAGTCAGGCTCGCTGACTTGATTGATGCATGTCATCGGTCACAATTGCGTGGATCGATGCTCATGATGTCAATCACGGGATTGTCTGGTCCAGATTAGATTATTTACAGACCGCCGTCATATAGTATGAATATTGCTGAGTGCGGCGTTAAACAACAAACAAACAAACAAACAAACAAACAAACAAACATAAATGAGCTTTGCAACTACATCATTATTTATTATTGGTAAAAATGTCCGTTTAAAAAAAATATTCATATACTCACCTACTTGCTCATCGACATGGTTGGTTCCAAAAGTCGAAAGATCAATTTATTCAAAAGAAGTGAGAAAATATTTGAATGTTTATGTTACCAACACTCTAAAACAATTCCCAAATTTTAAAATGTTCTATTAATTAAAAAACCCAACACACTTTCAGAAGTTCTGTTCTGTCATTTACTTAGAAGGCAACCCATTTTTATATCGAATGTAATAGTGCCATCGAAAAACAGATGGAGATAGATTTCGATTACTTTTTTTCAAAGAATATTATTTTCCTGACCTCCATGTTCATAAACATCTTCATGACAAAAGACAGAAAATGTAAACATAAAAAATATATCCATGTAAATCGTTAATGTCTTTTGAATTTGAGGATATTTTATCACCATGGCTCATGAGATAAAAACGTCGAAATGTGTAAATTAATGCCCCACCTCATTCCGTTTGAACTCCGCAAAAATAATTACATGTTTTTTACGTTACTACAAGACACCAGACATGTGACTACGCTTATCACTGGATGTAACCAACGATAGATGCACTAGCTAGGCCGTGTTCCACATGAATTAACACAGGTCTCAAAAGACATGTACTTTCAGAAATGGGATTGCTCCGAGACTCTCTCTCTCTCTCGTTTTCTAATCAGACAACCCATTATTTTGATATCAGATGTAATAGTACCATCGAACAACAGAGTAAGATTTTTACCGGTAAATATTTCTCAAAGAATAGTATTTTCTTGACCTCAATATTCATAAATTCTACATTTCAATGATAAATGACAGAAATTGAGGTTATAAGAAATCTTTGATGCCTTTTGAATATGAAGATATCGAACAGCCTTAATAGTGTGTCGACCTGTATACGTCACAGTCAAATGGACAGCCTGTGCTAGTTGCTTACAACATGGCCTATTGCTTATTTAGCATCATGAATGTATATTGATTGAGGAGTAACATAAATCAATGCTATTGATATTCATGTCACACATGTTGTCCTTTCTTGTTTGATTGTTCTTGTTCTTTGTTCTTATCCTGCAACATAATGAAGCATAATTTAATTAGCTCTTCAGTATACAGTTATAGAATAAATTAAACAGGAATTGTCGAGTTCAAAACCTCATGCTTTATTTACCAAATGATGATTAAAACTACAGTAAACTACGGTTATAGCGAACTCAAAGGGACTACTAATTTTAGTTCGTTATAACCGTAATTCGTTATAAGCATATATACAGCATAACGACTGCAAATAGTCGGGACTAAAAATGTAGTTCGATTTATCCGTCAGTTCGTTATAAGCGTGTTCGTTATAACCGTAGTTTACTGTATATAAAAGGCAATGCATTGAAGGCATTTGTCAGTAACCTACTTGGAACTTTGAGCAGCTTTCTTCTTTGTACGAATTTTGTACAAGATTATAAATAGCCAATAGCATCCGGCACAAACACATGCAAAGGAAAGTCTGCCCCAGACCCGGGCTAAATCACAGTACAGACCAGGGGCGGTGGGGTAGCCTAGTGGTTAAAGCGTTCGCTCGTCACGCCGAAGACCCGGGTTCGATTCCCGACATGGGTACAATGTGTGAAGACCATTTATGGTGTCCACTGCCGTGATATTGCTGGAATATTGCTAAAAGCGGCGTAAAACCATACTCATTCACTCAGTACAGACCACCCCCACCTGGGGTGTACAGACAGGGTAGGTCACAAAGGGAGAAGAGTCAGGGGTGTGCAGACTTGGTAGGTCACCAGGAGACGAGTCAGGGGTGTACAGCCCGGGTAGGTCGCCAGACACACGTCAGGAGTGTACAGAATGGGTAGGTCACCAGGAGAAGACTCAGGGGTGTACAGACCGGGTAGGTCACCAGGAGAAGACTCAGGGGTGTACAGACTGGGTAGGTGACCAGGAGAAGACTCAGGGATGTACAGACTGGGTAGGTCACCAGGAGAAGACTCAGGGATGTACAGACTGGGTAGGTCACCAGGAGAAGAGTCAGGGGTGTACAGACTTGGTAGGTCACCAGGAGAAGACTCAGGGATGTACAGACTGGGTAGGTCACCAGGAGAAGACTCAGGGATGTACAGACTGGATAGGTCACCAGGAGAAGAGTCAGGGGTGTACAGACTGGGTAGGTCACCAGGAGACGAGTCAGGGGTGAACAGACAGGGTAGGTCACCAGACACACGTCAGGAGTGTACAGACTGGGTAGGTCACCAGACACACGTCAGGAGTGTACAGACTGGGTAGGTCGCCAGACACACGTCAGGAGTGTACAGACTGGGTAGGTCACTAGAAACACATCAGAGGTGTACAGGCTGGGTAGGTCACCAGACACACGTCAGGAGTGTACAGACTGGGTAGGTCACCAAACACACGTCAGGAGTGTACAGACTGGGTAGGTCACTAGAAACACATCAGAGGTGTACAGGCTGGGTAGGTCACCAGACACACGTCAGGGGTGTACAGACTGGGTAGGTCACCAGACACACGTCAGGAGTGTACAGACTGGGTAGGTCATCAGAGACGGGTCAGGGGTGTACAGACTGGGTAGGTCACCAGAGACGAGTTAGAATAGGTCACCAGACACATCAGGGTGGTACAGACTGGGTAAGTCATCAGAGACGAGTCAGAATAGGTCACCTGACACATTAGGGGTGTACAGACAGGATAGGTCACCAGACACACGTAGAGACAGGGTAGGTCACCAGAGACGATCAGGAGATGTTCAACCCGTGCACGTCGTCAGACACAGAAGGGTATAAGACGTGGGTATCTGTACTATTTTGATAATTGGGATGCTTCGTGATCAGAAATGGTGGTCGATAAACAATACTATTACCTTTCTAGGTAAAGTTGAAAAACAGATAGGACGTCAGCAGAGGTACACAGTAACATGGGAGGATGGCAAGTGCGGTGAACAGATGTCCATCCACATCTATGGAACCTACACCAAGACGATCAAGTTCAAGGTCGACAGCTACATCCTGGCACTTGCTGACCCTGACAACAACTATTTTCCTTCCGGGTGAAGTGACAAGGGTCCACGAAGATGGAGATGTTCAAAGGCTACACGTGGTGTTCGTCAATGGGAAAAGGTATTACTAGAAGATGGATAAAGGATTCTGTTTTACTTTCATCAAGGCACGGCAAATATACTCTTCAAAAAGAGAAACTTGACATAGATGTAAAACCGCTTTTTGCCAAATATCTAAAATAATTACATTAAATGAGAACCAAATAAGTGTTAAATAAGATGATGTGTCTATAATTCGCGAAAACACATGCAAAGCACGTAAACGTAGCGTTTGGGGATCAATTTTACAGCTTCATCCAAACGCAACCGCCTGTAAAAAACGTGCAGCACAGGATCCTGCATTTGGGCATGCAGGTCCCCCTGCTGAATGGGTATAAAAATCCACATCAACGGCTGTTCATACAGTCCTTATAACGGCAGTAGAAGCGGTGACAGAATGCCAAGACTGAATGCAGCTCAACGGAACAACTCCATTGGGAGATTACAAGCTGGAGCAACTCAGCAAGAAGTGGCCAGGCACTTTGGCGTATCCAGACAGACTATCTCCGCACTGTGGACCCTATACAACAACACCAACAGAGTTGACGACAGACCAAGGTCAGGAAGACCAAGGGTGACAACCCAAGCACAAGATCGATACATCCAGCTGCGACACCTCCGAGACCGCACTACCAGTCACGTCTACAACCACACAGGTCCCTGTGGTACGCAGAATATCAGATCAAACGGTACGCAACAGATTGAGGGAGGCTGGACTTTTTGCACGAAGACCTGTTCGACGTCATGTATTGACCCCATGTCATCTGGCGGACCGTCTGCTTTGGTGCCAACAGAGGGTTAGATGGGCACGTGCAAGGTGGAGAAATGTACTGTTTACTGACGAGTCCTGTTTCCTACTCACACGTGCTGATGGGCGCGCACGTGTCTACGTCGGGGTGAATGTTACGCCCCCAACTGTGTGCAGCAGGTTGTCCCATTTGGCGGGAGTGTCATGGTATGGGCCGGAATTCATCACGGTGGTAGGACGCCTCTCGTGCATGTGGCAGGTGCATTGACAGGTGTGCGTTACAGAAATTTGATCCTACAGCCTTACGTTCTTCCTCACGTCAACGTTCATGGCGGAGAGTTCCAGCAGGACAACGATCGACCGCATATTGCACGTGTTTGTCAGGACTTCTTATAGCACAACAACATCCAGACATTACCTTGGCCAGCCCGGTCACCAGATTTGTCCCCGATTGAGCATCTGTGGTACGAGTTGGATCGACGCGTTCGCAGAAGGAATCCACCGCCCCAAACACTTCCGGCGCTTCTCGATGCACTTCAGCATGAATGGCAGCACATCCAACAGCGTGTTATTGACAACTTGATTGCATCTATGGGTCGTCGGTGTCAAGCGGTGATTGATGCACGTGGTGGGCACAACCGATACTGACATTTTCTGTACCCCTGTGACATTAACTGAATCGTGTACGTGTGTCTGTCTAGGTGACACGATTAATGTTTTGAACATTGTGTACATTTATCTTCAAACAGTGTTTCAATTATGGTTTCTGTGTTCTATTTTGAAACAATAGCATTATATTACATCTTGAAAGTCAGTGTCAAGTTTCTTTTTTTTGAAGAGTATAGATTTGAAAACTTGTTTTCTTATCGTGATCAGATTCAAATGTTTAGTTACGGATTACCATCATCTAATAACTTCATCCCTTCATCGTCATCATCATCATCATCATCATCAGCATCATATCCCATTAACAAGTGGATGCTAATTTCATTTCCATCCCAAAGAGGAGTATATAAGGTGTATGTAGACAATAACACGAGTTGCTGATATCGGAAAACAGCACACGATACGTTTTGTTGCTGTCTCCTATCTCGTTACAAGGACGGTTTCTAAACTTGCTTTATTGAGCGAAAATACGCCTTACACATCCATCACTATTAAGAATGACACTCAACGACAAAGAGATTATTACTCGTGTGTATCCGTATCTTAAATGTTATATATTAGAAATCATTTCTTCCCTTATACAGTAAACTACGGTTATAACGAACTTAAGGGACCACTATATTCAGTTCGTAATAACCGTGTTCGTTATAAGCACATATACAGCATAATTACAGCAAATGGACAGGACCAAGAACAGTTCGTTATATCCGTCAGTTCGTTATAAGCGTGTTCGTTATAAACGTTACTGTATATGCAATTTTCGGTACTGCATACTACCAACAATTCGTACTCCAACTGTAAAAACAAGATATTTGATGGATGACAACATCTTTATTATATTATGATGCGACGTTTCGGTCTTGTCTTTACTGTTATTTCCCAACTCCTAAAAATGCCAATCACACAGTTCGCATTCCACCAGTTTAAAAGCTTTTGCGACTCTCTAGGCTCTTTTTACTACTTTCGCCTCATATTTTTTAATCATGAGCCAAAAATGTATTTATTTTTGCCTTCGTTAGTCATACCATAGATGCCTGATAATAATCACAAAAGACCCATTTCAGCAGCAGATAAGACATATATATGTATTTACGATTCAGGAATTGTGTTTTCGGTCCCAATGGTAGCATGTAATAGTGAATAGTGAGTGTGTATGGTTTTACGCCGCTTTTAGCAATATTCCAGCAATATCACGGCGGGGGACACCAGAAATGGGCTTCACACATTGTATCCATGTCGGGAATCGAACCCGGGTCTTCGGCGTGACGAGCGAACGCTTTAACCACTAAGCTACCCGACTGCCCCTGTAATAGTGAATATGTGACAAAGGGGAACTAATCTCAGATATATGGTGCCAAGTTACTGGTTCTAGATTCTGTAATTAATACCTGCAGACACTGCCTTTGTGTAGTTCCTGTTGTTTATTGTTCTGATCTCGGAGTCACCAGCAGTGGAGGTCGAGGGACAGTAGTGACGAGGAAGAGTTCTCTCGTTAAGAGTCGGCTGCACTCAGCTCATCTCCATCCCATGTATGTCATCTCGGATAACATCTGGAGGAATCCAAATTGAAACTAGATTTACCAGTTTCACACTTCGCGTGACTTTGACATAATAATATGGCACAATTTCTTTCTCAAAATCTGCCGCCATGTTGTACGAGCTTTTCGCCAAGGGATCAGTCGGTGTGCGGTCTACGGTGAATTCATGCAATGTCTCTACACCATTGCTGCCCGAGGTATTATGTAGGTGACGGAGTTTCCCGAGTGGAATTGAATGGACTATGCAGCTTGTTAAAACATCTTCTTCTCTGTTTCATCAACGAGTTTTTTAAATGAAACACGATAACAAACGTTGAAGAGCAGTTACGTTTATTTACAAATGGTCAACAGTACATTTGAGAGTGTGAACATATCATTGCTACTTCAATCAAGCGGGGTGGTTTTCAAATACAGTAAACTACGGTTATAACGAACTCAAAGGGACCACTAATCTTAGTTCGTTATAAGCGTGTTCGTCATAAACGTAGTTTACTGTATACCAAATGCTGATAGTATCATAGACAATAAAACCCCGTTAATCCCGACAGTGTGGACTCTGGTGAACTATACCGGAAAAATCAACTACAGTAATCTACGGTTATAACGAACTCAAAGGGACCACTGATTTTAGTTGGATATAACCGTAGTTCGGTAAAAGCATATATACAGCAAATGCCCGGGACCAACAATATGTTCGTTATATCCGTCAGTTCGTTATAAGCGTGATCGTTATAAACGTAGTTTACTGTATATAAATTAGGAATCTTTGGTCCAGAGAAACATATCTATATGTTGACGTTTTTTACAGTAAAAGTCTGGAGAATAAGGAAGTCCGGTTTACGGGGGGTTCAGTTTATACAATTTATACTGCAGCGGTAGTCATTGGTACAAGGCTCTGCGATTTTAGCCAACAGACTGCGGCGACACGAATGTGGTTAAACTCTGTTATATATACGGCTATTTTATGTACGCTAGGTTTCGTTCTGTCGACTAACCTTCTGAAACCCGAAACCCTCTGCTCTGCTGGTGTTAGTTTGTATGTAGGTAGTCTGCAACTTGTGTCATTCGATACCAAAGACCAATGAAACCCATGTTTAATGCCGACCAATCGCATTCTCCAAGAAATAGGCCACGACCAGTTTTACTGGTTGCACTCGTTGGTCTACTGGTAGAGCGTCCTCCCGGAGCGGAAGGTCCGGGGTTCGAACTTCGGCCTCGTCATACCAAAAGAAGTTAAAAGATGGTACGTGTTGTTACCCTGCCTGGCGCTCGGCATTAGGGGCTAAAACAAGGACTGGTCTGCTCGGAGTCAGTGTCTGATTGGGGTATTCATGTTAAACTGCATTATAGTATCTCAGTGGGCTAGCACTATAAAATCGGCACACACACATGGGTGTATGCACGTCGCTTTATAAGTGCGATAATCTTGAACACGACGTTAAACCCCATTTCACCTCACGTCACCTACTGAGGTAGACAGAAGCCCAGTCTAACAAGCGATGACGCATTGTGTGAGAACACAATGACGTTGAAGAACTAAAACTGTAGTGATAAATATAATTTGCCAGCCGTGGTAAAATACATTCACTTATTTCAAATATTCTATGATTCAGAGACCCGTGAAGATCTGGATTAGAATTGATCTTCAGCAACCTAGCTTGTCGTAAGAGGCGACTAACGGAATCGGATGGTCAGGCTCGCTGACTTGGTTGATGCATGTCATCGTATCCCAATTGCCTGGATCGATGCTCATGATATCAATCACTGGATTATCTGTTCCAGACTCAATTATGTATAAACCGCCGTCATATAGCTGGAATATTGCTGAGTGTGGCGTTAAACAACAAACAAACAATTCTGTGATTCAATATAATTATCTCCTTTTAACTATTTTTGTTCAGGTATTTTGATCAGGTAAATCATGATCGTGTCTAATGAAAGTTGCAGCAGTGTTAGGAAATTATCATTGGTGTTGAATATGACATGATGTTACGTATTTTTTTTAAAGATTTTGTAAAGAAAAATAATAAATTGGTACAATACAGTTTTAATGTTGTTAAACATGTCTCATGTGTATTTTCTTCTTTTTCCATCAAAGAGGTAAGAGGCGACTAACGGGATCGGGTGGTCAGGCTCGCTGACTTGGTTGATTCATGTCATCGATCCCAATTGCGTGGATGATGCCAATCACTGGATTGTCTGGTCCAGACTCGATTATTTACAGACCGCTGTCATACAGCTGGCATAGTGCTGAGTTCGGCGTTAAACAACAAACCATCCAACCAAATCTTCAAAGAGCCCTGGATGGGAGTAGAATAACTGCGTTTAGCGCCGCTTTGACCAGTACTTCCGTCCAATCAGAACGTGTCAGATTAACGTCGAAAACCAAAGTGACGGAGCCCTTTGACATTTATAGTGAGAACACCCAGTATCATAATCGGACAGAAGCAGGGATTCACAACATGAAGCTGATCCTGACTGAAAACATTTATTGTATCAATTATTGTTATTAATACATGCACAGCTGTTAATTTCAATAGTTATCAAGAGTGTATATTTGGAATATACAAACGAAATAACTTTGCTGTTGCTCTTACCGGTGTGTACTTGTTTTTCGTCGATCGTTCAGTTTTGTTCTACATAATCAACCTATATATTGAACACAATAACGATAGAAGGAACCGCTAAAATTGCAAAACAATTTCTGCAAGAGGTAGTTTATCTAAAACCGCCGACTGAGTAAGTGAGGGAGTTGGATTTAACGCCATTATGATCAGTGTCCAAGTAAAATCACTGCATGTGAGTTTATTGTGTGAGTGAGGGAACTGGATTAGTGAGTGAGTGAGTTGGGGTTAACGCCACTTTTAACAGTATTCCAGTTACATGACGGCTTGTGGGAGGAAAGCCCAAAGTGATGCAGGTCTCAGACGTTTACCACTTCGGTGAAACCCACGAGCACGGGTATGGTGCTGGCAAACCTAGAAACATGACCTGGCGTGCCCAAGGGACGCAACTCTGCACAGCGAATCGCGGCGCCTCAGACGATTGGGCCACCCGTGCCCCCGGGAACTGGATTAACGATGACGCGGCATGTGTATGGTGCTGACAGATAAAGGATCCTAATTAGTGTGTATATGGGATTCAAACTCGTGAACAGAGGATCCTGGTATGCTGAGGGACGTAACTCTCCACGACACCTCTTTGAGGAATGTGTTTCTTTCAGGGTTAATTCTCAGAAATGTTAGAGTTGCAATTGTTGCGAGTTGATCCCCAAATTGACACGCGAAGGTCAACACAGACATGGGTACGCACAGAACTAGCTGGCGAAATCGGTAAAAAATGACACAAGATGAATGAAAAATTAACAAATTATTTAAAAAAAGAAGAAGATAGGGTTTACATTCATAAAAGGCAATACAATTATGGCATATATGAGGCAGCAGTATTATATAAAAACAGGCCCTAAGTCGGACCACTCACGAATGTTCAGTATGTGCCCCAGCCCGTGAAGATTCCGGGGTAGAATAGGTCTCCAGCAACTCATGCTTGCCGTAAAAGGCGACTATGTTTGTCGAAAGAGGCGACTTACGGGATCGGGTGGTCAGGCTCGCTGACTTGGTTGATGCATGTCTTCGATCCCAATTGCGTGGATCGATGCTCATGATGTCAATCACTGGATTGTCTGGTCCAGACTCGATTATTTACAGACCGCCGTCGGGTAGCCGAGTGGTCAAAGCGTTCGCCCGTCACGCAGAAGACCCGGGTTCGATTCCCGACATGGGTACAATGTGTGAAGCCCATTTCTGGTGTCCGCCGCCGTGTTATTGCTGGAATGCTGAAAGAAAAGCGGCGTAAAACCATACTCACTCCCTCACTCACTCTAGACGATACTGCCTGAAAAGTAGTTCCTGACGGAAGTTGATAACTTGAAACAAGTCAAGCTCATCACAACGGAGCTTTCCATACCGGTAGGGTAACGAAAGTGTGAAGCGGTGAATGGAGCAAGGTCAAGGTCACTATCAACACGTGACATTTAATGAGTGCCTCATTAAATTACTGTCAGTTTCATTCATCATAAAATAAACATACAATATACACTGTCACGCGACACAGTGTATCAATATGGTAATTAAATGTGACACAACCTTTTCCATATTAAAAGAAATCTCTGCAAAACGTACAGTCAATTGTACTAGTCTATCATAAAGACCCTGAAACAAATATATCCAATACAGCCCATGCAAGTCTATAAGTCGTATTACTGCAGTATGAGAATGAAGAAAGTCTCTAGGCTCCTTTTTATTATATTTTACAACTATAATTTAACAACTGTTTTTTTTCTCTAAGAGACTAGATGTTAGATTCAAGAGCACATGTTCATGAATGACTATCAAAAAGTGATGACACCAGGTGTTCGCGAAAAGCTGAACGTATCCTGTCCCAACGGTGGGACCCGTCACAAACACATGCAAAGGCAAGTCAATCGTTCACCCGATAAAAACACGGGAACAAATGGTATAAGTCAAAATAGGGAATTGCATAGAGCATCCACATGTCCTCCACGTGTCTACCATAAAACGATTGGAAAACTTTACTGGGGTTTTGAATGTTGTAATCTTGATTAAACAACTTTTGAGCAAGAGTCGTATGACGCTCGTGGAAAACACGCCTGATAAAATTGCAAAGAGGATTGTTATCCCTTTTTCTGCGAACGCTTTTACCAAAAGGTTAAACCACAGCCCCGTTCTTCCTCGTCCGTAACGTTTTACTCTACTTACTATTTTTTTTTGTATGTTAGGATAATATGAATGTCTGAAATATATATTTTGTGGCATGATGCTTTTGAAAAATGGTTATGATCATAGTTTTAATTAAACTACATCGGTATATACAGGTAGTTCGTATGAAATAGATATTCAAAAATTATTTCATATGGAGGCATTTCTAAGGGGCACGACGCCTACCATATTATGTCATAGTCACGTGTATTGTGAAACTAGTGCATCTAGTTCTAATATGGATTCCTCTAGAGATGCTTTCCGAGATGACATACATGGGATGGAGATGAGCCGAGTGCAACCTAGGCTTAACGAGAGACCTCTTCCTTGTCACTACTCTCGGGGTGATGCATCCGAAACACCTCCTCCGCCTCAGTGTAGGCCATCTTATTCATCCAGTAACTATCCGTGGAGAGGGCATCCTTTGACCTGAAACCAGAATCAGTGAGTGACAGAGTAGGTGTGTTCGCCTCCATACAATACTGCTGTAGCCCACGACGACGAACCTCCCTGTCTTTATATATATACCCATAGAAGGGTTAGAACCCTACATCACGGATGACATTTTAAAAGAGGACTTGGCACGGGCAAATTGGCAGTTCCAGCAATGTATTTCAAGTCCCTCGATCTCCACTGCTGTCGTCTCCAAGAAATCAGCACTCAACAACAGGAAAAACACCGAGACAATGGCCCAGTTTCTGCAGGTATTAATTACAGAATCTAGAACTCAGCAGACAATGTCTCAGTTTCTGCAGGTAATAATTACAGTATCTGGAACCAGGCAGACAATGTCTCAGTTTCTGCAGGTATTAATTGCAGAATCTAGAACTCGGCAGACAATGTCTCAGTTTCTGCAGGTATTAATTACAGTATCTGGAACCAGGCAGACAATGTCTCAGTTTCTGCAGGTATTAATTGCAGAATCTAGAACTCGGCAGACAATGTCTCAGTTTCTGCAGGTATTAATTACAGTATCTGGAACCAGGCAGACAATGTCTCAGTTTCTGCAGGTAATAATTACAGTATCTGGAACCAGGCAGACAATGTCTCAGTTTCTGCAGGTATTAATTGCAGAATCTAGAACTCGGCAGACAATGTCTCAGTTTCTGTAGGTATTAATTACAGTATCTGGAACCAGGCAGACAATGTCTCAGTTTCTGCAGGTATTAATTACAGTATCTGGAACCAGGCAGACAATGTCTCAGTTTCTGCAGGTATTAATTACAGAATCTAGAACTCGGCAGACAATGTCTCAGTTTCTGCAGGTATTAATTACAGTATCTGGAACCAGGCAGACAATGTCTCAGTTTCTGCAGGTATTAATTGCAGAATCTAGAACTCGGCAGACAATGTCTCAGTTTCTGCAGGTATTAATTACAGTATCTGGAACCAGGTAGACAATGTCTCAGTTTCTGCAGGTATTAATTGCAGAATCTAGAACTCGGCAGACAATGTCTCAGTTTCTGCAGGTATTAATTACAGTATCTGGAACCAGGCAGACAATGTCTCAGTTTCTGCAGGTATTATTTGCAGAATCTAGAACTCGGCAGACAATGTCTCAGTTTCTGCAGGTAATAATCACAGTATCTGGAACCAGGCAGACAATGTCTCAGTTTAACGTCATGTCTTTTTATGATCAACGAAGGCAAATATAAATTCATTTTTGGCTCACAATTCAATTAAAAATACTTGGCGGAAATATAACAACCTTGTGTTTCTGACAAGGAATGTAACTTCACATTGCAAACGACATTGGTCATGATGAGAAGCAAACAAGCAGCATCAAGTGTTCACAAAAGATAAAAAAGAGAATCTATTTGCTGTGTCTTGATGAAGATAGAACTGAATCCTTTATACACCTTCTAGTAATACCTTTCCCCGTTGACAAAATCCACCTGAAGCCTTTGAACATCTCCATCTTCGTGGACCCTTGTCACTTCACCCGGAAGGAAATAGTTGTTGTCAGGGTCAGCAAGTGCCAGGATGTAGCTGCCGACCTTGAACTTGATCGTCTTGGTGTAGGTTCCATAGATGTGGATGGACATCTGTTCCCCGCACTGACCATCCTCCCATGTTACGGTGTACCTCTGCTGACATCCTATCTGTTTGTTAACTCTACCTAGAAACGCAATGGTATTTGTTTATGAACCGCCGATCAGTTCGTGGCACTTATAAGGCTCCGATATATACTGATGTTCTACTCGATGTGTCTCTGGTGACCTACCCTGTCTGTACATCCCTGACTCGTCTCCTGATGACCTACCCAGTCTGTACACCCCTGACTCGTCTCCTGGTGACCTACCCAGTCTGTACACCCCTGACTCGTCTCTGATGACCTACCCAGTCTGTACACCCCTGACTCTCTGGTGACCTACCCAGTCTGTACACCCCTGACTCTCTGGTGACCTACCCAGTCTGTACACCCCTGACTCGTCTCCTGGTGTCCTACCCAGTCTGTACACCCCTGACTCGTCTCTGGTTACCTACCCAGTCTGTACACCCCTGACTCTCTGGTGACCTACCAAGTCTGTACACCCCTGACTCGTGTCTGGTGACCTACCCAGTCTGTACACCCCTGACTCGTCTCTGGTGACCTACCCAGTCTGTACACCCCTGACTCGTCTCTGATGACCTACCCAGTCTGTACACCCCTGACTCGTCTCTGGTGACCTACCCAGTCTGTACACCCCTGACTCGTCTCTGATGACCTTTCCAGTCTGTACACCCATGACTCTCTGGTGACCTACCCAGTCTGTACACCCCTGACTCGTCTCTGATGACCTTTCCAGTCTGTACACCCCTGACTCGTCTCTGGTGACCTACCCAGTCTGTACACCCCTGACTCTCTGGTGACCTACCCAGTCTGTACACCACTGACTCGTCTCTGGTGACCTACCCAGTCTGTACACCCCTGACTCGTCTCTGGTGACCTACCCAGTCTGTACACCCCTGACGCGTCTCCTGGTGACCTACCCAGTCTGTACACCCCTGACGCGTCTCCTGGTGACCTACCCGGTCTGTACACCCCTGACGCGTCTCCTGATGACCTACCCAGTCTGTACACCCCTGACGCGTCTCCTGGTGACCTACCCGGTCTGTACACCCCTGACGCGTCTCCTGATGACCTACCCAGTCTGTACACCCCTGACACGTCTCTGATGACCTACCCAGTCTGTACACCCCTGACGTGTGTCTGATGACCTACCCAGTCTGTACACCCCTGACGTGTGTCTGATGACCTACCCAGTCTGTACACCCCTGACGCGTCTCCTGATGACCTACCCGGTCTGTACACCCCTGACGCGTCTCCTGATGACCTACCCAGTCTGTACACCCCTGACTCGTCTCTGATGACCTACCCAGTCTGTACACCCCTGACTCGTCTCCTGGTGTCCTACCCAGTCTGTACACCCCTGACTCGTCTCTGGTTACCTACCCAGTCTGTACACCCCTGACTCTCTGGTGACCTACCAAGTCTGTACACCCCTGACTCGTGTCTGGTGACCTACCCAGTCTGTACACCCCTGACTCGTCTCTGGTGACCTACCCAGTCTGTACACCCCTGACTCGTCTCCTGGTGACCTACCCGGTCTGTACACCCCTGACTCGTCTCTGATAACGGCCTCCTTCCCCTCCCAGTCTTTCTCTCGCTGTTGAATGTCCTCCACGTCCTTGAGATATTTCTGTCGGTTCCTGGCAGGATACACGTCCCATTTCTCGATGTTTGTCTGATTGTTGTCATAGAACCGGACAGTCAGTTTCTGACCAATCGCTTCTATGACCCGGCCAGGGGCGTAGCTCCAGTAATATACAGGATGGGGAGCCAGGACACGGACACGGTCTCTCTGGGATAAAAAGGGAACTGACTCACTCGTGGTTTCCACAAAGTACGGGTTACACAGAGGAAGAAAATGGTTGAACATTTTAACAAGTTCATGAAGATGTGTGTTTATCCACGCGGTCGGTAACATTCCACGCAACTATAAGTCGGCGGCCTTTAAATAATCGAGTCTGGACCAGACAAACCAGTGACTGATATTATAAGCAACGTTCCACGCCCATTCATGACCAACCCGTGTAATTAAGGGACATGCCACTTCTTTAAGGTTACGAGTGAGTGAGTGAGTTGGGTTTAACGCCGCTTTTAACAGTATTCCAGTTACATCGCGGCGTGTCAGCTTAATGTTGGAGGAAAGCTCGAAGTGATGCAGGTTTAGACGTTTACCACTTCGGTGAAACCCACGAAACAGATCCATTAAGTCCCACCGTATGACGGGTATTTGTTCCATGGACGCTTGGTCGCTCGTCACGCAGAAGACCCGGGTTCGATTCCCGACATGGGTACAATGTGTGAAGCCCATTTCTGGTGACCCCCGCCGTGATATTGCTGGAATATTGCTAAAATCGGCGTAAAACCATACTCACTCACTCACTCATTCCATGGACCCTTTTCTAACCCGGAAGTCCCAGGGGGACGACAGAGGTTCTAAGAAATTAACAAATACGCGAAACACCATTCTCAGACACAAGGAGATAGAGAATAAAGAAGTTTGGGACTGTTTGGACTTCTCTGTTTTCTGGAAATACAAAATATAGGATGGCTAACCTTCGCCTGGACCATCCTCCCGACAGCCGACAGTTAAGTCTGATTTCCATGGCAACCGTGTCTGATAATGCCCAATTTGTGGATATACTTTGATGACTGGCTAGTGTGAGGTCGGGGGATACATGACCCGTGAAGATTCCGGGGTAGAATAGGTCTTCAGCAACCCATGCTTGCCGTAAAAGGTGACTACGCTTGTCGTAAGAGGCGACTAACGGGATCGGGTGGTCAGGCTCGCTGACTTGTTTGATGCATGTCATCGTATCCTAATTGCGTGAATCGATGCTCAAGATGTCGATCAATGGATTGTCTGGTCCAGACTCGATTATTTACAAATCGCAAAAATCTAAATATTGTAGACGGCACACCACATGCATACTGAGAACCAGTTTTAAGATGATGCATGCAGAAATGACCGGGTAATGGCCAAAAATGACATTTGCATATGATCTCTGTAGTTTCGGATTAGATGTAAAAAATACAAAAGATAACGATGTACGGACAACCGGAAGGACAGACATAAGACAACGTACAACGACAAAAGCTCACATCAGACAAATACGTACGAACGCTGCACAAAGGAATTATCACATACAGGCATACGCACACATATAAACGGTCACCTTGCATGTTGCACAGGTAAAACCCTTATTAAACCTGTCGAGGTATTACCTTGATAGTAGACACAGCGTCGTAATGGTCAGTTGTCTGGATGATATGGTTACAACAGGCAAATACGCATGAACGCGCACTCTATCTAGCCCACAACAAATTCTCACACTCACAAACACACAAGCACATGCACAATTGTTTCATTTACAAGATACACATAAATAACCTTCACTAAACCGTTGACCAGTATGTATGTTATACAATGGCGTGGGAGGAAAGTTGGAAATGGTACGGTTCTTAGACATAACCACTTTGGCGAAACCAGCGGGCGGTACTGTCAAACCTAGAAAAATATTCTGTTGAATCCGGAAATTTGAATCCAGGAGAATGTCTTTCTGGCACACCTAAGGGAGGCAACTCTGCACAATGAAGTGTGGCGCCTCAGACGATTGGGACATCATACCCTAGATTTTTGCCGCTGGGGAAAAGAAAGTGTCTGACGTTTAACAAGTTTCACATAAATGGCCCTCACTAAAGCTCTTCCGTTATTACCTTGTCAGGAGACACAGCGTCGTAATGGTCAGTTGCCCGGATGATATCCTCCCAGTTGATGACGTCACATTGGCTTGTGCTATCTTTCACGCAGTAGTAGTTGTTCACATCATAGCGCCGGGCGATCCATCCTGTAAAGGTAGAATAGGTCTTCAGCAATCCATGCTTGACGGAAAAGGCCACTATGCTTGTCGTAAGAGGTGACTGACGGGATCGGGTGGTCAGACTCGCTGACTTGGTTGATGCATGTCATCGTATCCCAATTGCATTGATCGATGCTTATGATGTCAATCACTGGATTGTCTGGTCCAGACTCGATTGTTTACAGACTGCCATCATATAGCTGGAATATTGCTGAGTGCGGCGTTAAACAACAAACCAACCAACCTTCCTTTAAAGACGAAGAATGAGGGTGTGAGTTAGGTAACGTGCCACTTTGAAGAGTATTCCTGATATATTACGGTGTGTCAGCTTAACGTGGGAGGAAATCCCTAATCAATGCAGATCCTATACGTTAACTGCTCAGGTAAAACCCACGATGGATGTAATCAGTGCGAATCAGGGATTCGAACGCACGATCCTAGGATTCTGTCATACCTAAGGGACGTAACTCTGCAATGTACAGATAATAGTAGGTTTATCAAATGGGAAGTAAATGGTTAAATAGCAAAGATGTTTATTCTCAGAGATTGACAAAAGGCAACATAGCAGGTGAGTGAGTGAGTGAGTGAGTGAGTGAGTGAGTGAGCCAAGTTTATTTATTTTTCAGCATTATCACAACGGGGCACATCAGAAACAAGTCAGTGTGGGGAATCAAACCCCTGACTTTTATGTGATGAGCGATCGCTTCAACTACTAAAGTACTCACGGAAATGAAAAAAAACTGTTTTTTCGATCTCAGATTTTCAATAAATGCAGTTAATATACAAAATATATAAATATTCAAACAACACAATTAGTACTAATTGGGCCATGGCGCAAATACAGCGTATCGAAGGTTTTTATGTCTTTTTACACGTAAAAGTGTGTAAAAATATGAACAAAACAGACTATTGTGAAACTGAGCATAACCTGGTGTTAGTAGATCAATGTGAATGTCCATGACCTATGACACCTTGACGACAGGTGAAAACAGGTGCTTGAAACCCACGTGCATGTGATTTGTCAGTGGTTAGTGATTTGTGAGTGGCATTGTGGGATAGGGAGTGAGTATGGTTTTACGCCGCTTTAAGCAATATTCCAGCAATATCACGGCGGGGGACACCAGAAATGGGCTTCACATATTGTACCCATGTCGGGAATGGAACCCGGGTCTTCGGCGTGACGAGCGAACGCTTAAACCAATAGGCTACCCGACCGCCCCTGTGGGATAGTGAATCATCGTCAAAATATCAGAACGTAAAAGTAACATATTCCCTTCTCAACCAGGACCGCCTCCGTGGTCTTGTGGTAGAGCGTCCGCCCAGAGAGCGGAAGGTCCAGGGTTCGATCCCGGGCCGCGTCATACAAAAAGACGTTAAAAGATTGTACTTGTTGTTACCCTGTCTGGCGCTCGGCATTAAGGGGCTAAAACAAGGACTGGTCGGCTCGGAGTCAGTATACTGTGTCTGAGTGGGGTATTCATGTTAAACTGCGGCATGGTATCTCAGTGAGCTAGCACTATAAATCGGCATCAGTTCGGACTAGTACAAGCAGCCACACACACAAATACACGTGCATGCACGTCGCTATATAAGTGCAATAATCTTGGACGCGACGTTAAACCCAATTTCACCTCACCTCACCTTCTCAACCAACAACTTACAGGTCATTATTATTATGTACATAAACGTAGCTGTTATTTTTATTGTTGTTTTGATAACTTTTTTCCAGGCTTATGTGCATAATGCCTATAGCCTGTTTCTGCCATGTCAATTTGGACTTAGTTTTATTTTTGAATGTTGGAAGTGCCTACAAATTACCTTCTGTAAAATACAATTTGTATTGAGCACTGAGATAAAACTAGCAAATGCAGACTAGTACTTTTCCAGTTGTTTTGTTATTTCGTATTTACATCTACGTAATGCTTTGTGTCGATTATTAAATCCAGCAAAACAGTTTTTTCTCATTTCCATGAGTGCTTTAGGATACCCTATCACCCCTCAGCAGCTTACGCCACGTGACTATATTTCTCAAAGAAAATCCAACTTCGAGTCGTCTTTCAATGTTAATACGTTATCATAATTGCAATGAAAACAATATCAGTCCTGAGCAAAAATATGGAAGAGAATTGTAAACAGTATTTTGCCATATCGCGGCACCATCTTCACAAATAAATAATAACTGTGGCTTCTCCCACATTTTAATGACGCAGTGAGGCTAACTGTGTGCTGAAACCAATCCTAACAGCCATGCTTCTTACCTTTGTAGTACCATCTGTCATCCTCCCATCGGGCCAGGACTTCCTCACCATCATAAAAGGTCGGACCAGGATCAATGAATGGTTCATGGTCTTTGGTTCTTGAACAAATGATAATATATATTATTACAGACACCATTGATTCAAGTATCACTGCAAATTATCGACGTGTCATGAGGAAAATTGTCGAAATAATTATGTTAATGGCCCATCTGGTTTCCTCTACTGTCTGTCTGTTTTGGGGACCTACTCTGCAACCTAAATAACGAACGTAAATTAATTTTATGCGAAACATATGTTTTGTACATCACTACATAACTGCTTCAGACATGTCGGTCGGTGATGAAGGATGGAAGAGAGATACACTATGCCCTTTAATACATCCTTTACCAGGGTCTTCAGTGACATATGGGGGCACGGGTGGCCCAGTCGTCTCAGGCGCAGCGACTCGCTGTGCAGAGTTGCGTCTCTTAGGCACGCCAGAAACCTATGATTGTCGGTTCGAATCCCGGTTCGCCCCAATATGTTTCTAGGTTTGTCAGGACCATACCCGTGCTTGTGGGTTTCACCGAAGTGGTAAACATCTGAGACCTGCATCACTTCAGGCTTTCCTCCCACATTAAGTTGACACGCCGTGATATGACTGGAATACTGTTAAAAGCGGCGTTAAACCCAACTCACTCACTCACTCACTCAATGACATATACTTTCAGAAATTCTGTTCTGTTATTTACCAATAAGGGAACACATTTTTTATATCAAATGTAAAAGTACCATCCAACAACAGATTGAGATCAATTTCACTGAATTTCTTTTTCAATGAATATTATTTTCCTGACCTCAAATGACAAATGACAGAAATTGTGACAATAAGAAATCTATACATGTAAATCTTTAATGTCTTTTGAATTTGAGGATATCTTTTTTTATCATGATAAAGTGTGTGTTTTTATCATGACCAATCGTGATAAGAAATCTATCCATGTAAATCTTTACTGTCTTTTGAATTTGAGGATATCTTTTTTTAACATGATATAGGTTTTTTATCATGACCAATCGTGATAAGAAATCTATCCATGTAAATCTTTAATGTCTTTTGAATGTGAGGATATCTTTTTTTTTTATCATGATATATGTTTTTGTATCATGACCAATCGTGATAAGTTATCCTGACAAATGACAGAAATTGTGGCAATAAGAAATCTATACATGTAAATCTTTAATGTCTTTTGAATTTGAGGATATCTTTTTTTATCATGATAAAGTGTGTGTTTTTATCATGACCAATCGTGATAAGAAATCTATCCATGTAAATCTTTACTGTCTTTTGAATTTGAGGATATCTTTTTTTAACATGATATAGGTTTTTTATCATGACCAATCGTGATAAGAAATCTATCCATTTAAATCTTTACTGTCTTTTGAATTTGAGGATATCTTTTTTTAACATGATATAGGTTTTTTATCATGACCAATCGTGATAAGAAATCTATCCATGTAAATCTTTAATGTCTTTTGAATGTGAGGATATCTTTTTTTTTATCATGATATAGTTTTTTGTATCATGACCAATCGTGATAAGTTATCCTGACAAATGACAGAAATTGTGGCAATAAGAAATCTATCCATGTAAATCTTAAATGTCTTTTGAATTTGAGGATATCTTTTTTTATCAAGATATAGTTTGTTTTTTATCATGACCAATCGTGATAAGAAATCTATACATGTAAATCTTTAATGACTTTTGAATTTGAGGATATCTTTTTTTATCATGATAAAGGTTTTTTATTATGATCAATCGTGATAAGATATCCTGACAAATAACAGAAATTGTGACAATAAGAAATCTATCCATTTAAATCTTAATGTCTTTTGAATTTGAGGATATCTTTTTTTTTATCAAGATATAGTTTGTTTTTTATCATGATATTGTTTTTTTTTATCATGACCAATCGTGATAAGAAATCTATCCATGTACATCTTTAATGTCTTTTGAATTTGAGGATATCTTTTTTTTTATCATGATATAGGTGTTTTTTTATCATGACCAATCGTGATAAGAAATCTATCCATGTAAATCTTTAATGACTTTTGAATTTGAGGATATCTTTTATCATGATATAGGTTTTTTATTATGATCAATCGTGATAAGATATCCAGACAAATAACAGAAATTGTGACAATAAGAAATCTAACCATTTAAATCTTAATGTCTTTTGAATTTGAGGATATCTTTTTTATCATGATATAGTCGTTTTTTTATCATGACCAATCGTGATAAAAAATCTATCCATGTAAATATTTAATGTCTTTTGAATTTGATGATATCTTTTTTTTATCATGATATTGTTTTTTTATTATGACCAATCGTGATAAGAAATCTATCCATGTAAATCTTTAATGTCTTTTGAATTTGAGGATATCTTTTTTTTAAATGATATAGTTTTTTTATCATGACCAATCGTGATAACATATCCTTAAATGATAAATGACAGATGCCTTTTGAATATGAGGATATCGAACAGCCTTAATAGTGTGTCCCCCTGTATATGTCAAACCATCATGCCTTTATAAGTTATTTACCAGATGCTAATTAAAACTCTATAAAAGGTAACATATGTTATATTTGGGATAACACTTTCTTAGTAAAGTACAGATTCTCGTATTTTTGGGGGTTGAGTCCCGTCCGGGATTCGAACCCACACTTGCCAGAGTAAGGCACTGGTACTCTAGAACACGTACTTTGAGTACCCCTCTGACAAGCGTAAATTGGCACGGCTCCCATGGCCGAACACGTCTAGGCTACCAGTTGTCGGACTTTCATTTTGTGGAAGCCTCGGTGGCTGAGTGGGTTAGATCGCTGACTTTGTGTGCTGGCGATTAGGTGGGTGTGGGTTCAAATCCCGGACGGGACTCAACCAAAAGAATTCGAGAATCTGTACTTTACTAAGAAAGTGTTATCCCAAATATAACATATGGTACATTTGACCACTTTCTAAATGACATTGTGTATTCATAACTCTATAAAAGTCAATGCAGCGAAGGCATATTTCAATAACCTACCTCCGACTTTGAGCAGCTTTATTCTTTGTACGAATTCTGTAAAAGAAAAAAAATATGGGATGATCTTGTCCAACCCTTTACACCCTTCACATGCAAGGGCAAAGCAATTGTGCACCTGACAAAACATAGGAACATACATTTATGGTACAATTCACAAATAGGGGAAGTTGTTGTCACTGATGCGTCATTTTGTAAAATGTCCTCAACATTTCTACCCTAAAACCTTTCTTAACTTTACTGAGACCTTGAACACTGTAGCCTTGATCAACCAAATCTTGAGAAAGAGCCGTATGAAGCTCTTTAACACCTTCGTGGAAATAGCATGCTTGGTTGTACCTCAAACGTTGTGAAATGTAAACACCAAAGGCTGAGCTGCTTGAATATTGCGCGACATGAAGGTAAAGTTGACTATTTGAAAGTTGAAGTCATCCCTCTTGTCATACAGTCTTGTGGAGAGATTTTGGTGACCCTGAGTCGTTATGCATAGGTGTAAATATGAAACCGAAGAGACGATCTCCTGTATTTCTAGCTCAAGTGGGTAAATAGTTAGAAGGAAATTGGCTATTTGATGGTTATTGAACGATATCGGAAAATCGAATACCCCCTACCCAACTGATGGTACTTCTGGAACAACCTGCAAAAGAAGTAAAAACAAATAACATGTAGTCTACTTTCTTTCCTCAAACCCTGGACTCCACGTACCTATCAGTCTGTGTCGGTCTGTTCCTCGTGCGAGGTCTGCAACACAACACAGAGAACCAAACACCTGGATAAAGGTCAAGCATCTACACTTCTTTATATTCATATATCTCCAACTTCATTTTTGACATATGTAAGTGGAATTATCTCATATAACACAAAATTTATCATATGATTTTACCATTTCGCACTTAATTACATTCCGGTTTTTTTAAACGTTTACAAAAACTGAATAAGTGAGTGAGTTTGGATTAACGCCGCTTTGAAAAGTATTTCAGTTATACAATGGCGTGGGAGGAAAGTTTGAAATGAAACGGTTCTTGAACTACCACTTTGGCGAAACCCACGAGCTCGCGGGCGGTACTGTCAAATTTAGAAAAATATTCTGGTGAATCTGGGATTTGAGCCCACAAGCACGTCTTTCTAGCACACCCAAGGGACGCAACTCTGCACAAAGAAGTGTGGTGCTTCAGACAACTGGGCCACTATACTCCTTATTAACTGCACGTGTTCTAGATTTTTGCAGCTGGCGAAAGGGTAGTATCTGACGTGAACAGTGCTAATGTTCATCTTCCAATATTTTCAAACACCCAACTGAGTTTAGCCCCATGAACATTGCCCGGGTATTGATACAGACAAGATAATGATTACCTTGGAGAATGATGATGATGAGGAGGAGGTTGAGGAGGTGAATGATCCCTGCTGTCAATGCTGTGAACAAGTATTAAAGTAGGAAAGATTAGATAGAAATCTTAATAAATAAAATCGTAACAAAACCTTACCGACCACAAACTTTATAAAGTATACATTCAGACACAAGGGTATTCTGTTGTTCACGCTGTACTAATTGCAACATTAACATTTTAAGGTTAATAAAGGGTAAACAGGAATATCAGAATGATAGTAACAACGGTCTTAAAGCGTTACCCAACTGATGGTACTTCTGGAACAAACTGCAAAAGAATGAAAAACAAAGTACATGCAGTCTACTTTCTTTCCTCAAACCCTGGACTCCACGTACCTGTCAGTCTGGGTCAGTTTGTTACTTGTGCGAGGTCTGCAACACAACACAGAGAACCAAACACCTGGATAAAGGTCAAGCATCTACACTTCTTTATATTCATATATCTCCGACTTCATTTTTGTCATATGTAAGTGGAATTATCTCATATAACACAAAATTTATCATATGATTTTACCATTTCGCACTTAATTACATTCCGGTTTTTTTAAACATTTACAAAAACTGAATAAGTGAGTGTTTGGATTAACGCCGCTTTGAAAAGTATTTCAGTTATACAATGGCGTGGGAGGAAAGTTTGAAATGAAACGGTTCTTAAACTACCACTTTGGCGAAACCCACGAGCTCGCGGGCGGTACTGTCAAATTTAGAAAAATATTCTGGTGAATCTGGGATTTGAGCCCACAAGCACGTCTTTCTAGCACACCCAAGGGACGCAACTCTGCACAAAGAAGTGTGGTGCTTCAGACAACTGGGCCACTTTACTCCTTATTAACTGCACGTGTTCTAGATTTTTGCAGCTGGCGAAAGGGTAGTGTCTGACGTGAACAGTGCTAATGTTCATCTTCCAATATTTTCAAACACCCAACTGAGTTTAGCCCCATGAACATTGCCCGGGTATTGATAAAGACAAGATAATGATTACCTTGGAGAATGAGGAGGAGGAGGAGGTGAATGATCCCTGCTGTCAATGCTGTGAACAAGTATTAAAGTAGGAAAGATTAGATAGAAATCTTAATAAATAAAATCGTAACAAAACCTTACCGACCACAAACTTTATAAAGTATACATTCAGACACAAGGGTATTCTGTTGTTCACGCTGTACTAATTGCAACATTAACATTTTAAGGTTAATAAAGGGTAAACAGGAATATCAGAATGATAGTAACAACAGTCTTAAAGCGTTACCCAACTGATGGTACTTCTGGAACAAACTGCAAAAGAATGAAAAACAAAGTACATGCAGTCTACTTTCTTTCCTCAAACCCTGGACTCCACGTACCTGTCAGTCTGGGTCAGTTTGTTACTTGTGCGAGGTCTGCAACACAACACAGAGAACCAAACACCTGGATAAAGGTCAAGCATCTACACTTCTTTATATTCATATATCTCCGACTTCATTTTTGTCATATGTAAGTGGAATTATCTCATATAACACAAAATTTATCATATGATTTTACCATTTCGCACTTAATTACATTCCGGTTTTTTTAAACGTTTACAAAAACTGAATAAGTGAGTGTTTGGATTAACGCCGCTTTGAAAAGTATTTCAGTTATACAATGGCGTGGGAGGAAAGTTTGAAATGAAACGGTTCTTAAACTACCACTTTGGCGAAACCCACGAGCTCGCGGGCGGTACTGTCAAATTTAGAAAAATATTCTGGTGAATCTGGGATTTGAGCCCACAAGCACGTCTTTCTAGCACACCCAAGGGACGCAACTCTGCACAAAGAAGTGTGGTGCTTCAGACAACTGGGCCACTATACTCCTTATTAACTGCACGTGTTCTAGATTTTTGCAGCTGGCGAAAGGGTAGTGTCTGACGTGAACAGTGCTAATGTTCATCTTCCAATATTTTCAAACACCCAACTGAGTTTAGCCCCATGAACATTGCCCGGGTATTGATAAAGACAAGATAATGATTACCTTGGAGAATGAGGAGGAGGAGGAGGTGAATGATCCCTGCTGTCAATGCTGTGAACAAGTATTAAAGTAGGAAAGATTAGATAGAAATCTTAATAAATAAAATCGTAACAAAACCTTACCGACCACAAACTTTATAAAGTATACATTCAGACACAAGGGTATTCTGTTGTTCACCCTGTACTAATTGCAACATTAACATTTTAAGGTTAATAAAGGGTAAACAGGAATATCAGAATGATAGTAACAACGGTCTTAAAGCGTTACCCAACTGATGGTACTTCTGGAACAAACTGCAACAGAATGAAAAACAAAGTACATGCAGTCTACTTTCTTTCCTCAAACCCTGGACTCCACGTACCTGTCAGTCTGGGTCAGTTTGTTACTTGTGCGAGGTCTGCAACACAACACAGAGAACCAAACACCTGGATAAAGGTCAAGCATCTACACTTCTTTATATTCATATATCTCCAACTTCATTTTTGACATATGTAAGTGGAATTTTCTACACATGACACAAAAATTATCATATGATTTTACCATTTCGCACTTAATTACATTCCGGTTTTTTTAAACATTTACAAAAACTGAATTAGTGAGTGAGTTTGGATTAACGCCGCTTTGAAAAGTATTTCAGTTATACAATGGCGTGGGAGGAAAGTTTGAAATGAAACGGTTCTTAAACTACCACTTTGGCGAAACCCACGAGCTCGCGGGCGGTACTGTCAAATTTAGAAAAATATTCTGGTGAATCTGGGATTTGAGCCCACAAGCACGTCTTTCTTGCACACCCAAGGGACGCAACTCTGCACAAAGAAGTGTGGTGCTTCAGACAACTGGGCCACTTTACTCCTTATTAACTGCACGTGTTCTAGATTTTTGCAGCTGGCGAAAGGGTAGTGTCTGACGTGAACAGTGCTAATGTTCATCTTCCAATATTTTCAAACACCCAACTGAGTTTAGCCCCATGAACATTGCCCGGGTATTGATAAAGACAAGATAATGATTACCTTGGAGAATGAGGAGGAGGAGGAGGTGGAGGATCCCTGCTGTCAATGCTGTGAACAAGTATTAAAGTAGGAAAGATTAGATAGAAATCTTAATAAATAAAATCGTAACAAAACCTTACCGACCACAAACTTTGTAAAGTATACATTCACAAGGGTATTCTGTTGTTCACACTGTATTAATTGCAACATTAACATTTTAAGGTTAATAAAGGGTAAACAGGAATATCAGAATGATAGTAACAACGGTCTTAAAGCGTTACCCAACTGATGGTACTTCTGGAACAAACTGCAACAGAATGAAAAACAAAGTACATGCAGTCTACTTTCTTTCCTCAAACCCTGGACTCCACGTACCTGTCAGTCTGGGTCAGTTTGTTACTTGTGCGAGGTCTGCAACACAACACAGAGAACCAAACACCTGGATAAAGGTCAAGCATCTACACTTCTTTATATTCATATATCTCCAACTTCATTTTTGACATATGTAAGTGGCATTATCTACACATGACACAAAAATTATCATATGATTTTACCATTTCGCACTTAATTACATTCCGTTTTTTTTAAACATTTACAAAAACTGAATTAGTGAGTGAGTTTGGATTAACGCCGCTTTGAAAAGTATTTCAGTTATACAATGGCGTGGGAGGAAAGTTTGAAATGAAACGGTTCTTAAACTACCACTTTGGCGAAACCCACGAGCTCGCGGGCGGTACTGTCAAATTTAGAAAAATATTCTGGTGAATCTATGATTTGAGTCCACGAGCACGTCTTTCTGGCACACCCAAGGGACGCAACTCTGCACAAAGAAGTGTGGTGCTTCAGACAACTGGGCCACTATACTCCTTATTAACTGCACGTGTTCTAGATTTTTGCAGCTGGCGAAAGGGTAGTGTCTGACGTGAACAGTGCTAATGTTCATCTTCCAATATTTTCAAACACCCAACTGAGTTTAGCCCCATGAACATTGCCCGGGTATTGATAAAGACAAGATAATGATTACCTTGGAGAATGAGGAGAAGGAGGAGGAGATGGAGGAGGTGAAGGGTCGCTGCTGTCAATGCTGTGAACAAGTTTTAAAGTAGGAAAGATTAGATATAAATCTTAGTAAATAAAATCGTAACAAAACCTTACCGACCACAAACTTTATAAAGTATACATTCAGACACAAGGGTATTCTGTTGTTCACCCTGTACTAATTGCAACATTAACATTTTAAGGTTAATAAAGGGTAAACAGGAATATCAGAATGATAGTAACAACGGTCTTAAACAATAACAACAAAACATAATGAAACGTCGCGCTCAAGATCCTTACGCTTATACAGCGACGTGTGTGTGCGTGCGTGTATGGCTTCTTGTTCTAGTCAAGACCTATGCCGATTTAATAGTGCTAGCTCACTGAGATACCATGCCGCAGTTTAACATCAATACCCCACTCAGACGCTCAGTATACTGACTCCGAGCCGACCAGTCCTTGCTTAGCCCCTTAAATCCGAGTGCCAGGCAGAGTAACAACAAGTACCATCTTTGAACGTCTTTTGGGATCGATCCCCCGACCTTCCGCTCTCTGGCGGAAGCTCTACCAGTAGACCAAGGAGGCGGTGGCAAATCTCAAAGATCTTTAGGGTGTGTTTCTCGTTTGACGCCACACTCAGCAATGGTCCAGCTGTATGATGGCAACCAAGTAACCGAGTTTGACCACCCGATCCATTTAGTATTAGATCTCTTATGGCCAGCGTATTGTAACCTGGAATCCCCGCGGGGTTCGCCTTTATTGGCCGTATTGTTTCAAGATTATGTTGCAGATACTGTATCAGCATACCGGGATGAAGGAAAGGTCAGATGAAGTAAAACCGCCCTGATTTACGCTCACTTAAACCTTCAGTTGAGGTGAGGTAAAATACGGTTTGATTTATCATACACATCGTCATTTTAGGATGAAGACAAGATGAAGATACCTGGAACTACGAGGTTGAGAAGTTGGAGAAGGCGTCGATGAAAAGCTTTGAGAAGACAAAGGATTCCTCTCAGTGATCCTTTAAAGAAACATGAAGCTCATCTATAGTATCGTTTAATGTATTTCAGAAGATTGAAGTTATTGAATGTATGTTATGAGTAGATTCAGCTCATGAGAATGAGGCCATGCGTGACTATACTACCAGGATAGATCAAGTTCCTGCATTTAGAGTGTTAGCCCAATTACGTCGAGAGAGATGGTCCACACTACTGCTACTCACACTACTACGAACTTGATACAATCCCCAGCGTGTATCTTGTACTGTAAACATAGAAAATATATTTGTCACCAAGGGATTCAATGTCAATCATGTATCTTCTTTTACTGGAAGGCCACAGGCTTATAGTATACATTACACTTCACTGGTGGCGGTTGATTATTAATTACGTTGTTTTGCTTAACACTGCGTGACATACATACATAGATAAGCTGTGCAATATACACACCTGTGGACATTACTGTTATAAATTTACATATATTGTGGTTTACACGGATAATATCGTTTTGGGGGCAAATAAGAGTGAGTGAGTGAGTTGGGTTTAACGCCGCTTTTAACAGTTTTCCAGTTATATCACGGCGTGTCAGCTTAATGTGGGAGGAAACCCCGAAGTGATGCAGGTCTCAGACGTTTACCATTTCGGTGAAACCCACAAGTACGGGTATGGTGCTGACAAACCTAGAAACATAATCAGGGCGAACCGGGATTCGAACCCACAATCATAGGTTTCTGGCGTGCCCAAGGGACGCAACTCTGCACAGCGAATCGCGGCGCCTTAGACGACTGGGCCACTCGTGCCCCCTGTGGTATATTTAAAGTTAAATGTGGACATTACTGTTATATAAATAAATTGATATATGTTGGGCTTTACTGAAATATTACTCGAGATATATACCACGGGTAATATTGTATTTGGGGCAAATAAAAAAATATACTCATCTTCAATAGATCTTAGCTGTACATTTTTTACATATCATTTTTTTATCCTTTAAGATCATGGCTGATAATATCAATGACTGACTTGTAGGGTCGAACACACGACTATTTACAAACCGCCATCATACGGGTGAAATAGTGTCCGGTGTTAAATATCAACCGCAAGATCCTCACTAAATATAAATACCTTCAAGTGTTTCCCGTTGAGATCTATGAAATACAGAGATGAGTCTTTAACTGGTGTATTCCATTGTCCTCTCTGACGTTTGATGAACCAGAAGAAGAAACCCCTATCATCCGGTTCTTCCGCTACACGGGCAAGATGGTTTGACAAGTCCTTAAACTGGAGGTTAAAGACTTTGCTATTGAAACGTGTATTTTTATAAAGGCTAAAAAAGCGGTTGTATGGCTGGATATTTGTTCAGTGGTGTGTGTACCCTTTAATCCAACCTCTGAGTAATCCAACACACTAGTGAAGACTCTCGCTAAAGAAACCCCTAAATAAACCACCACTCTTGTTAAAACGCCATCTCTATATTCAAACTCTCTCGCCACATGGACCCCAATGTAACCCAAACGCCTCGCTACACCTTCCTTTACACTTCAGTTAACAAAACATTCCTTCTCAATCCTCAAACTGAACACTCTCCCTACACAAAACACCGCGTCACCCTTAACATCGCTACACATTCCCCTTTGTATTATAACACCCTCGCTAAACAGGCCCCTCTGGGATCTGAAAACTATTGCTACACAAGAGCCCATACAAACAACCCTCTCTCTACAAAGACCCCTTGTAACTCAACACTCTGGCAACCAACAACAATGTTTACACGAGCACATCTAAACAATCCAAACATTCTCAATACACCAGGCCCTCAATAAGCCAAACTCTTTGCTACACCGACCCGCTCTGCTACTAAACCCATTCGAAGCTATATTCGAGAGGGGTAAGTTTAATTTACAGTCATCAGTAAATAAATGAAAATATCGATCTTGTTGCTGGTAATTCAGTGTAAATAGAAACACCTTTCTGAAAGGTTCCTCATCGGGGAGATCCAGGTGTATTGCAATGACAGCAGGAGAGAACCGTCGGAGACGCTCCACCTCGACCCGCCCCTCGTGAAGGAAGACACCGTCTCGGGTATTCACGTTAACAAGAGGATACGGAATCTCCTGTAATGAAATATTAATCAGACATTCAGTCCATCAACACGTGGAATTAGAGTGCATTGACACACTGCAACTAGTATCTCCAACATGTGGTAGTTATTTGGACCCACTGAAGTTTCATGCAACACGACATTCACACGGCGCGGCGAGTTCCAGGTCCACACGATGCCATATATTGGATGCAAAATTTGTATTCAGAAATCACAATGTTTGGGAGATTAAGTCATATATATATATATGGTAATAACTATGGTAATAACTATGTATTAAAAGCTCAAATGACTGGCACTTTATTACTATATTGTGCCTGAGAGTTAGAACTTTACGCTTTATATATATATATATATATATGACTTAATCTCCCAACACACTTATATATATATATATATATATATAAAGCACATGTAAAGCACAGTAAAGTATACATATATATATATCCTTAGAACAAATTACTTTTTGCCAGTTTCTTTAAAAAATATCCTAAACATTTATTTATTCACCCCAAACCTTCTAAATCAACACCTGTTAAGCAGTATGTACTCACCACTGTGCACGGGCGTCTGATCCTGTTTGTAAGGTAGATGCCATGAGAAAGTCCGTCCGTGATGTTAAAGTCCCGTGTGTTCCCACTGCTGCGCGTTGTCCCTTCGCTTGTGTTGACATTTATGTTCAGCAACCAGTTGGGTCCGCTTGCTGAAGTCATAACATTGTTGGCATTATTTACTAACCTGTGTTTGAGACTTTGGTCATTCGTCACCAGACATCTTAACTCAATCATTTGAGTTATTTACATCAAGTGTGTCACGCTAGGTCAATCGTCACCAGCATCTCAACTCAGTCATATGAGGTATTTACATCAAGTGTGTCACGCTAGGTCAATCGTCAACACACATGTGAACTGAATCATTTGAGTTATTTACAAACAAGTGTGTCACGCTGGGTCAATCGTAACCAGACATCTCAACTCAGTCATTTGAGTTGTTTACAAACAAGTGTGTCACGCTAGGTCAATCGTATGCACACATCTTAACTCAGTCATTTGAGCTTTTAACCTACAAGTGTATAAGACTATGGTCAATCGTTTTTTCACATCTCAACTCAGTTATTTGGGTTGTTTCCTAACAGGTGTATCACGCTAATAGTATGTTAATCATCGTCGCACATCTCAAATTTACCATTTTGAGTCATTTTCTAAAAATCAGTATCACTCAAGATCAGTCATGTCTATACATTTCTGTGGGTGTACTTACCGATTGTCCACCGTGGCCTCTCCTGCAAATCCCGCCACACATCTCGACCCCTCACCCGATTACCGCCCCAGGGACGCCCTCGGTGATTGAAGGCACTGATCTCATTGTCAATCAGATAGTAGTCTGTATAGATCTGTTCGGTTAATACATCAAAGCATGACAATAGGGAAAATCATTGGCTGGGAGTGAGTGAATGAGTGAGTTTTAAGGTCGCATACACACAAACGAAAACACATTTTCAACACGGTAAATGGCCTTGACGCTATGCGTACACCACTGATGTTAATACAAAACGCTGATGATATATCCATTGATTATCCACCAGTTAAGTTGATGATACACCAGTGACGTTGATGATACGTAACTGTGGTTGATGATACACTAGTGACCTTGATACAACATCAAGTTGGTGATGATGCAACACCACTGACGTTGATGATACAACACCATGGACGTTGATGATACAACACCATGGACGTTGATGATACACCACTGACGTTGATAATACATCCCCGACGTTGACGACACAACACCATGGACGTTGATGATACACCGCTGACGTTGAAGACACAACACCACTGACGTTGATGATACACTACTGACGTTGACGACACAACACCACTGACGTTGACGACACAACACAACTGACGTTGATGATACACTACTGACGTTGATAATACACCACTGACGTTGACGACAAAACACCACTGACGTTGACGACACAACACCACTGACGTTGATGATACACCACTGACGATGACAACACAACACCACTGACGTTGATGATAGACTACTGACGTTGACGACACAACACCACTGACGTTGAAGACACAACACAACTGACGTTGATGATACACTACTGACGTTGATGATACACCACTGACGTTGACGACAAAACACCACTGACGTTGACGACACAACACCACTGACGTTGATGATACACCACTGACGTTGAAGACACAACACCACTGACGTTGATGATACACTACTGACGTTGATGATACACCACTGACGTTGAAGACACAACACCACTGACGTTGACGACAAAACACCACAGACGTGGATGATACACCACTGACGATGACGACACAACACCACTGACGTTGATGATAGACTACTGACGTTGACGACACAACATCACTGACCTTGACGACACAACACAACTGACGTTGCTGATACACTACTGACGTTGAAGACACAACACCACGGACGTTGATGATACACTACTGACGTTGATGATACACCACTGACGTTGAAGACACAACAGCACTGACGTTGACGATACAACACCACTGACGTTGACGACACAACACCACTGACGTTGAAGACACAACACCACTGACGTTGATGATAGACTACTGACGTTGACGACACAACACCACTGACGTTGACGACACAACACCACTGACGTTGAAGACACAACACCACTGACGTTGATGATACACTACTGACGTTGAAGACACAGCATCACGGACGTGCTACTTAAATCAAACTTTACCTACTTTTTCCTTGGTGACATATAGCCTTTCCTCATGGCCACACAGAGCCAGCCAAACAATTTGTGCATCAGATATGGGAATACAGTTTCACACACAAAAAACGCTGTAAAACGTGCAGGTATTATACGTGGTTCGAAAAATGCATCGAAGGAAAAAAATGTTTCTGAAATGACTGCAGAATAACAGATATCCAAAGCATGGCAAAGTATACACAATGCCGTGGCGCGCTATGATAATCAGTGTATCCATATAGCTCCATAGCGACAACTCTCACATCGAAACAAACCTTTCAGCTCAAACAAACTTCAGCAGTGCGAGTGAACATAAACATGCCATAAGAGCAAAGCTGAGCGATTTCATCAATGGGCGTTTGTGATTTGGTTGCACGCCCACAAATACGTTTAACAAAACAGTTCAGTTCATTGTCGTACGTTCCTCGAGATTTTCACGCCTCTGGTTTCGTGGATTTGTAAAGTGGAACACTACAATACGAATGCTATTCACTATATACACTGAAATGAAATTCGCGGAACTCGAGTATCTGGTATTGCTCTAAGACAGCTACAGGACTCGTGGCAAAACGGTTACGAAACAATCGGACTCGGTTCTCCCCGTCGTTTGTTTTCGCAACTGTACCTTATATACCGTTAGAATCACTCGTCCTCTATCTTCTACATGAATCTTATTTTAACAAGCACACGAATCAGTATACTACAGCTCCCAAATTCGTTTTGTGGAGTTACGTCCCTTGGGCATGCCAGGATTCACTGACCGTGGTTATTCGCCACAATTATAATTCTTGTTTGGTCCGGACCATAACGGTGGTGCAAATGGGTTTCACAACAATGGCGAATGTCTCGTTAGGTTTTCCGCCTTTATAACGATACTTTTTCAAAGCGGCTAAAAACTCGACTCACTCACATACTCATCATTGCATTAAATACCATGTAGGATTGTTGATGTTGACCACGGACAACATACTCTCCTCTAGATACAAAACACGGGAACTATTCCACAAGAATACTCACTGGCGTTCTCGAGTGCGTCCCTCCAGCATGGGAGTACAGTCTGACATCCACCATGATGTAGTCGTCTATGAACAGTTAATGTCCCCCTTTTTTTTAACGCATCTCCTTCGTACAATGAAGCAGCCATACACCGTTTCTACATGTCTGGCATCTGTCAGCTCCCACAGTACGTTGTCCTCTACAGATGAAGCAGACAGACCAAGGTGCTCAAGTGATTGGATGCAATATTCCGAAACGCCACCCGGGATCTCCCTTCTGATACGAATGAGACCCGTTAAGAAGCCTCATTCCACCCTGTGTTGCCGATAAGTGTGTTGCTGCCAGGCTTAATAGAAAATAACACAATATAGATTTCTACGTTCATAATTGAAGGTGGAACCATGCATTCATAATAAGAGGTAGGGAGCAAGGTTGCACAACGTAAAATATATTATTGATCGGCTCGTTGCATTACATGTGACACTGTTGATTGAGCAAGTACAATGCTTGTCACTATGACAGATATTCATGTATAGAAACTGTCCGAAAGGCACCATTCAGAGCCGTACGAGCAGACTTGCGCAATGTATTGATCAACAACGAAAGCTAACAATACCATTTCTTGGAAAACAAGTTTCCCTGGAACCGATAACATATTGATTAACGATGACACATTTGTTATCAGGCTGTGGCCACTTCTGTCATTTCCTAAGTATCGAAATAGTTATTTTGTTGAAGCTATTGGGCTATTATATTGTAACGGAACGGCCAAAGACTGGTCGATAATTACTTGTGGACAAATTACTAAAATAAATGGATGCTGCCACCAGTCACAAAATGTGACAAAATAAATACCAGAGCTTGGAGACGAGGTTTAGCGAAAATATATCACAAGGATCTATAAAGTTACGAATCTCGAAACTAGCGAAATGCAGGAGGATCACACAAGGAGTAGGTAAAGTTCAATAACGAGTTTATTAATTATTCAATGAACTGAAAAATCTTGTACATGGTGTCGAGATCGCGAGACGCGATACCGGCTTTGAACTGTACTGGAAACATCAGTCGCTCGGCATTGTCTGTCACATCGTGGCTCTAGAATCCGGCACTTGTCTGTATCCCTCCCACGATTGATATATCTGAACTGTTAAAACAATTAAACTTTGAAACTTGAAAATGTACAAACTTGGCTGTAACCGGAACTGGATCCATGTAATGTAAACAATACATTCCGGAAGTCTAATCTTTATTTCACATACTGAAGAGGCCACAGGCCTATAGTACAAGTTGAAGAATATACAGTTTTATACAATTTATGTACATATCTCACCAGATCACCTCACGTCATTCCACCTCGCATTTCAACGCATTCACATAATTTCACACATTCAGTACAATACCATACCCTGTAATTTCACATTATCATAACATACTATACATACCATCGTACCATATATCACAACTATATTGTATCACATTTCAACATGTCATATCACACAACACGTTAGCAATGTCATAGCTTGTCCCATCATATCTTATCATATCATACCATATAATGCCATGTCTTTCCATGCCAATTTATTTCATATCAATCAATCAATATTTATTCAATCACTGGAAGACCGCAAGCCATATAATATGTACACTGCAAGCCATATAATTCCGGAAGTCATGTGACCCAGAATGAATGACAATGAGGCCACACCTCCGAGAGCGAGCTGTCAAACTGCAATTTAAGTCAGCATGAAGCCAAATCCTAATTAACGCTTGGAATTAAATATATAGGATTGATTCTAGAACGATCCCTGTAAACATCTGTAGATAAAAACCATTGACTGTGATGGCATCATCACGCGACTTGATAATGTAAACAATCCGGTCGGAATGACCTCGGCCCCCCCGGATCGCGATGACAATCGACGACTGTCAAAACATCTAAACATAGTCTGTAAACTGTAATATTTTATACGGACGACAAATCACTTGCAACTTTTGATAACTGTAACTGTAACTGTAACTTGTATGCTTGAATAATTACGATCTTGGAATATTCCGTCGGAATGAATCCGGAATGGCTGTCGGAATCTCGGAACTGTCAGACGTCATCCGGACGTCAACAAAACGTCATCCGGATGTCCACAAAGGTAAATAATCACTAATCCACGATCAAATACTTAGAGAGCAGACCAAGTATTAATATTAGCCATTTAGATTAAAAACTATACAATAAAAATCTCTTAGGATGCGAAAGATATAATTTAGCTGTGACGTAACCCTGGAACCCTACCCTGCTTGTCAAAGTCAAAATTACCGCCCCGAAGTTCACCTTGACAAGTCTATTTATAGGTCACGTAAGGTCACATGATACGCAAATGTGACGTCAGAAAATCAAAGATGGCGACTGTAAACATGACTGACGTGACTCGAGTTGGAATTTACTGTTATACTTGATTCTGTTACTTGGAAAAACACTGCTTAAAGGTATGTCGACCTTATAACATACAACATGATGCTGGTACAATAGTTCAAATTAGTGTGAAGGCTGGGAGTTGTTCCACTGTCATAAAAGGCTGTCAGTGTGATCTTTGAAGTACCTGTTAACCTTGCTAGATCAGGAATTTTTGTTACAATATTATAGAAAAGTTTATTGTATATGTATGTAAATGTTTATCAAGGTGTTCAAATGATTCAATCATTTTGTCTAAATTTCATTGCACAATATTAAGATACAGGTCACAAATCACAACTTATTCTTTTTATTTTAGAGATTAGAGTAAATAAATGCAGCAAAGAGGATTCGGGTGATCCTGGCAGAGCCAGGCTGGTAAGGCTCATTGCCCCCTCTACACGCAGCCCTGACAGCGAATGGGACTTCTCCCAGGAAGTGCTGCCTGGTCGAACCCACCGAGAACTTTTTCACCAACACTCTAGCCTTCTGCGGGGGAACGGGTGGCCCAGTCGTCTAAGGCGCCGTGATTCGCTGTGCAGAGTTGCGTCCCTTGGGCACGCCAGAAACCTATAATTGTGGGTTCGAATCCCGGTTCGCCCCGATTATGTTTCTAGGTTTGTCAGCACCATACCCGTGCTCGTGGGTTTCACCGAAGTGGTAAACGTCTGAGACCTGCATCACTTCGGGCTTTCCTCCCACATTAAGCTGACACGCCGTGATATAACTGGAATAATGTTAAAAGCGGCGTTAACCCAACTCACTCACTCACTCTAGCCTTCTGCAATACCCAGGTTGTCTGTCAGGCTGTATTCCTGGCAGTAAACCCGGGCACTCTCCCAATGTCAGTCAACAGATTGGGAGGTCCAAACCTAAGGCACCGAGAAAAATGGGGAGTCGGACAACTTGGTACTTGGGATACAAGCGTGACATTTCGAAAGCGATGTCTGCATATTTGCCATGTTTTTCCTCAATCTTGTCAATCAAATTAGTGTCAAAAGGGACAGAAAATTCAGTGACATATATTATTATTTAATTGGACAAAAAGGACAAGATCAGGTTTGTTGGCCTGGAGAGGTCTGAGGCTGTATACGGGCATATTCCAAAGAAGTTTATGTTTATCATTTTTCATGACGCCCTCTACATATTCTGGGTCGTACCATGGATGGACCTCTGTGTCATAACCACAAGCATGGAGAAGACGGTAATAAAAGGATCGAGCTTCGCCATCTTATCGCTTAAGATATCTTGTTTGTGCCAAAGCTGGGTATCTACTGACAATGTGTTGGAAAGTCTCATTAAATTCATTGCATAATCTTCATTTCAAATTAGATTTTGATGCAAAATCACGCATTGACGGTTTAAAGTGGGAAGTGACTGGTCCCGAGCAACAAACAGAGTGTTTCACTGTTCAGGCCAGCCGAAGGACTCTGCAGGGTTGTTTTTCTTCTCAACGCGCTGTACATAACTCGATGCAGTGGTCGTTCAGAATGCCTCTCCCTGAAAACTGCGTCTGGGCCGATTTGATATTGCACTTCGCTTGGTTGACACACATTTCTCTACTGTCCAGCACTACAGAAGCGTCAACAATATTAACATCGACATTTACCATTAATAAGTGTATCATCAGCAGTAGTAGTGTTGTAGCACCAACGTCAGTGGCGTTGTCACATCAACGTATGGAGTATCATCAACGCAACTGATATACCGTCAATGTCAGTAGTGTGCCATCCACGTCATTAGTGTGTCATCAACGTCAGTAGTGTGCCATCCACATCATTAGAGTGTCATCAACGTCAGTAGTGTGCCATCAAGGTCGGTTTTGTAGCATCCACGTCATTAATGTGTCATCAACGTCAGTAGTGTGTCATCCACGTCAGTAGTGTGTCATTAACGTCAGTAGTGTGTAAAAAAAGTGCTCAGAAAACCACTAGCCAAACCTAAAATCCTACACCCCTCTAAAAAATTGACAGATTAATTTCAAAACTCCAAACAGGACACACGAAACTAAATAACCACCTAAAAAAACTTAAAAGACACACCACAGGCAACTGCCCCCACTGCAAACAACCCGAAACCACAGAACACGCACTCATCCACTGCACCCACTATCAAACACACAGCACCACACTATAAACCACCCTCAATCTAAATAAGGTTCCTATATAGCTACTCTAGATCAAATACTAAACCCTAAAAAAAACTAGAAAACTTCAAGGCCCTAGGCGTATTCCTAATCAAAACAGATCTAATTAAGCGCATCTAAAAACTCATTAATCTACCAATCCAAAATCCAATAAACATACAAATACCCACCTCACCCGGCTCCCTTAGTTCCCTCCTCCACCCACCTCGGCATTTATTCCAAATTTTAAAATTCCAAAAATTCAATATTATAAGCAACCCCTAAAAGCCCCCTCTTGGGTTGCACACACCACTTTCACCCCTTTCGGAATACACTAAATGGCCCGGCAAGGCCCGTGTGAGAAATACGCTACAGTCGGAAAGCACACGTTAAATATCCTATATCAGTCAGTGAGTCAGTCAGTCAGTCCCTCATTCAGTCTTGCTTGATAACGGTATAAGGATCTTTACCGAAACGTCGCTTTTTACAGTATTAAAGAAGTTGTTATCCATAAAGTTGTGTCTACCTTGTCATCCGCCAACTTCTAAGTAATGCCTATCAAACAATTTATACAGTATGACTGAACACATTTAACTGTATCTAGGGAATATTTTTAGATGCGCGACATGGGTAAAATCAAAAGTTATTCCCGAAGTACTTGATGTCATACACGCATTCTGATTGGTTCGTCGTATTTTCGCACCTAACATTCGTCGATAGGGGGACGAGTCTTCTAGAAGGTTACGGAAAGGGGCGAGTAGTGACGAATGGAATTGTTTGGTCCACATGCAATGTTTCACGTGTGTTTGGGCGTTAGGTTTTTGTTCAGAAACCGTTCTGTGTTTCT